ACTTTATTATTTTTATTTTAATTTATATTTTATGGGATTTTTTTTTTTTTAACGAAAATCATACAAAATGCATTATTAAAAGATTTGATTTAAACTTGAACCAAACAAACTCTGTATTTGTGTTTTTTAACTCAGTTTTGTATTTTTTTAAATCTTTTAAATCTATATTTATTTTTTTCTATCATTAGAAAATATTCTTTTCTTTTAATAACAATTACACGTTAATTATTTTAATTAAATATTTTTTTTGTTTTAATAGATTAAAAAATAGTAATATTTTATTATCTAGTGAAGTTATATAAAATAATTTTTGATATTTTTATGGAAAATACAATGAAAATGAATATTTTTTTTTTGTTAAAAAAAAATATTTTGATATTTATATACAAATTACTTTTACTATAACGGAAAAAGTAATATTTTGATTGGAATGACAAAATGGTAAAATGAATTCATTAAGTTAGAATGCACAAAGGTTTCTTTCTTTTTAATATTTTATATCAAAATTAACACTGTTTGTATTTATCATGTACAAATTTCACATTATTGCATCTTACAAAATATCAAATTAAAATATAATTTAAACAAAAAAAAAATTAAAATTAACATTTCTTATAATCATATACTCTCTCTGTCCCATAACAAAATATATATTTTATTTTTTAATAACTATATTATCTATCTAACATTACAAATACCCTTACAACTTACAATATATTACACAAATGTCATTATCTTTATATCATACATACTAACAAGGTTATTTTAGTCATTTATATTTTATTCCCACTATATCTCAATATAATACTAATATTTTTAAAACTATGTACAAAAAGCAAATGAATATTTCCTCTTAGACCGAGGGAGTAGTATATTCTTTAAGATATTATCATTCATTTGCTATCGAAATTTATGTCATTTGATACTAATTTTCTTTGAAGATGCTAAAAAAAAAAATTATAATATATAAAAATGAAAAAATGAAACTATTTGTTTTACTGAGGAAAAAAAAAGGAATATTTATTTATAAAAATAAAAGGGCATAAATTTGATAACAAAAGAGTATTAAATACTCCATATGTCTCAATACAATAGTCTTGTTTGCCAATTTTTTTCGTTCCAAAATAATAGTTTCATGTTTATAAATAACCACATTACCATAAAATTATCTCTATTTTTTTATTATTTTTACATAATTGCCACTATTTTTTACACTAATATACTCATAAGAGCAAAAAAATTATTTATTTTTACTTTTTATCAACTACCAATATAATATTAATATTTTTTAAATTTCGTACCCAATACAATAATACTATACTTTTGGGCAAAAAAATTATTTATTTTTATTTTTTACCAACTACCAATATAATATCAATATTTTTTAAATTTCATACCCAATACAATAATACTATACTTTTGGACAAAAAAATTATTTATTTTTATTTTTTACCAACTATCAATATAATATCAATATTTGTACCCAATAGAATAAGTGTATACTTTTGAAACGAAAGAGAATATATAAATTGAAACGAGCGTAACAGGAGTAGTAAGTAATTACAGGCTGGAGGATGGATCCCACTCGGCGAAATGCAGAGAAAATCTCAGCCACACATCTTGTTGTCAATCTTACTTAATCTTACTTGTCTCCTCCGCCCGTGATTCATTCATTCATTCCTTGGCAAAATATGGGGTTTGTTTGTTTATATTTTATTTTCAGATTTTCTTTTTATCTTTTAAATTATTTTTTTTTAAAAAAAAATTGAATAATTTGAACAATTAATATAATTTATTAAAAATAATGGTTTACACAATTAGATATATTTTTTAGGTAAATATATTATTCATAAATATTATTAAAAAAATATAATATACATACATTAAACTATAATATAATATAACATATATAATAATTTATTTTTAAAAAAAATTATTTATTATATTTAAGTTTATCTCCACATTAAAATTAGTTTTTACTCTATTCTTGGTGAGGTAACTCATTTAGTTAGGAAGACAATTTATCTCATGAGTAGTGTTGTTGATATTTTAAATATTTTAAACATTAAATTTTAATAAAATATAAAAGGTTATGAATAACATTATAGTTTTAAAATATAATTATTTATTAATTATATTGTTATTAAATTTTTATGTCTATAATAACTATCGGATAGAGGGAATAAAAAGAGTAAAATATTAAAATGAAACTACAGGGAAGGGTTGAATTAATTATTTTCAAAATTCATATTGCTGTATTGACCTTGTAGTGATATCAGGCTCGAATAAATTAAAATAAAAATAAAATTAAATCAAATAATATATATATATATATTTTTTAATCTTATATACTAAACCATTCCCATAAATAAAAAAAAAAAAAAAATGGCAGAAGCAAGGAGTGGCCGAGTTAGCGAGATGGATTTGTGATCATGAACTTGAAGTCTTTCGACTTTTCTTGCCACGTAAGCATCGTTTACTAGTGTCACTTAAATTACTAGCATAATTTAAGTTATTAATTTCAATAAGAAATTCAGATTTATTTACTTGAATTTTACTTTATATTTTAGTTAGTTTATTTTAGTATTTTATAAAAAATAATACTCCATCCGTCATGCAAAATATGTGCTTATTTGACCGGCACAAATTTTAATAAAAATGAGTAATAATTGTTAATTTTTTTATAATAAAAAATAATACAAAAATGAAATAATTTTTTACTTAAAAAAATAAAAATATTTTTTTATGACAACAAGAAAGACAAATGAATATAAATTTAAATAATTGAGGTACCAAGAATGATCTATTCCATCCATTCTATCATGAATAACTCAATTTTCTTTTATTTTAATATTATATACTCCTTCCGTTCCAAAAGAAGTGTCTTATTGAGAATTGACACGAAAATGAAGGAATAATAGTATTTAATTAAAAGTGAGTATAAAATAGAATGTAAATAACTAAAATGTCCTTGCTTTTTGAAAGATTTTAAAGAGTATGACGTTAGAGTAAGAATAATTTTGTTATAAAGTAGAGACTACGGGCTACTAAATAAAGAAACAAAATAATTGTTTTGGGATCGGACGAAAATGAAAAAACAAAGACAAATATTTTAGGACGGAATATATATATATATATTTTATTTTTCAAAATTTAAAAATCTCCAAAAACGTCAGTCTAAAACGGACCCATAATATGTGTGTGTCCTGTAAGCCTTTTTCTTTTGAACATTTTGGCATTTGGGATGGAATGGTGTTAAGAGTGATGTGATTAAATTGACTGACGGGACATACTCGGTTCTTTTTAAGGCGTCTAATCAACAGAGTGGTTTACAGATGGACGGTCACGATTGGCCCCTCACGGCTGTCTCCCACGCCACTCACCACATCCCAACACCCATCGACTGTAGGGTTAATGGATCCGTAGCCGGATCCGGATCCGCACCAATATTGTTTCTGATGCAAGAAGTCCAGGGGAACTTGCCTTAATATAAAAATTATATTTTTTATTTTAGTAAAATATATTATAATTTTAATATAATAATAATTCGATCAAACCAATAAATATTTATAAAAAATAATAAATATTAATATAATATATATAACGCTAATTGCAAATTAATTTCATCCATTAATAGCCGCAAAAAATAATATAGGGAGAGTATATCTGTATGTGTTTGATTCTACTATGTTCTAATACTACTTTAAAAATACCATTTTCATTACTCACCTAAAAAAATAAGAAAATAAATAATATCATAATTTACTATTATTGACTTACTAATTTATTATTTTATAATTTCTCATTATGTAATTAATAAGTAAATAAAAAATATATTAATAAAAATAATTATAATTCAAAAAAAATAAATTATAGATTAAAATTAAAATGATTAAATAATCTAGTTAAAATAAAAAAAATTATACATTATAAATGTGATTAAAATATATATTTATATTTTTTAAAATATAACATGACAAATTATGTGAGACCAACGAAAATAAAAATAATAAATAAATAAAATATTGTATATGTAATAATATATTTGTAAGTATAAAAAAAATAAGAGTATATAATTATTTTTTTAAAATAAAAAAATATTTTAAAAAATAAAATATATAAAAATGACAAAAAAAAAAAAAAATTGAATTGAAACGAAGAAAAAATACATTATTTTTTAATTTAGCACTATAAAAGATAGATTTGAACGAGACTGAACAAAACAAGTATATTCAAATACTAATGCATAATTTAGATCAAAGATAAAATAGAATTTGAAAACAAACACAGAGACTAAGAAAAGTGAATTAATAATTAGAAATTAGAATACGTCCAAATCAGACACTCAGGTGCAGCAACCCCACCCTCGTACTTTGTGTCGGATACGTGGCATCACCCCACGGCCCCTCACAATCCACTGCTATTCCTATTCCTATTTTATAATCCTCAATTATCAACGCTATTTAAGATGAAAAAACTAGAAATATAGTATCGACCACGAATGTCGCGACCATCCAACCGACCCTAATGTCTTTTTCTTTTTAATGTAGTCTAACTCAATAATAATATTGCAGCTAATAAAGTCCTAAATGAATAATTATATATTTTTTAAAAAATAATAATAATTCACTATACTATTTCCTTAACAAGACTACTGAAAATTATCAATCGATAGTGCCAACTGTGAAATCAACAATCATGTCAATAATCAAATTCGACTGCTTCAAATATTTGACTTAATACACAAAATTTATATCGGTCACTAGAAAATTACAACGCAAAAGAATTATTACAGCATTATATATAATTCAACTTTTTTATAATGATACATGTTTAAAAGTATATTATTATTTCTATCTAATAATTATCAATCTTTTAAACCTAATAAGTAATACCCCACTTAAGAAAAGACTAATTTAATTACTATAGTACTAATATTTTTCTTCCTTTACATTAAGGAATCCAGCACTATTAATTTATTCATTTATTTCAACAGTATGAAGTCAGTCATTAACTATCCAAAATGGATCCGTTAATTAATAAATCTAATAAATAGTACTTCTTTTTCTTTTTTTTTTTTTTTTCACAGGGCAACCATGGAAGAATTAAAGCATGTTTTGAAACAAAATTTCCACCTCCCTTAAAATTTTTTACCCTAAACACAAAATTTTAAGGCAAAAAATAAAAAAGGAATCTGTATATTTTTTTTGGCGGGAAAAGAGAGAGAGAAGAATATTTTACTCTTATGGCGGTGGCGGCGACGGCGGCGATGAAAGTCTCCGCCGCTTGTTTTCCGGCTGGGAGTCGCCGGATCCGGGTAGGGTGGTGGCCGGATTTTCGGAATGGGTGTCACAGCTGGCACATGTGGCAGCGTCAAGTACGCCGCTGGGACTCGGTGGCGCGAGCGGCTCAATGCTCATGACTTTAAGACCTTCAGAGGGACACGTGTCCAGCAGGTATTCCTCCATTAGTTGATGACAGCTTCTTACCATTTCCTGTCCCCGGGAAAACCACCAATTCAGTAATTTGCGTTTTGGCCCCTGTGATTTTGAGTTTTCTAATATACCTCCCCCAGAGAGTGTCGGATACCTCACCCCCCCCCTGCCCCCGCCCTATCTAAACGAACTAGAAAGTTCCAAATTAACACACACCAGACCAGAGACTTACTCTGTCCACTCTGCCATCGATTGCATCGAGCAGATTGATATCCTCTCCGGCGCCGGCGGCGGATATCACGGCGGCCGCTGCGATTACCGACGGAGGAAACTTGAGAAAATCTATCACTGATTGCAAATTGCAATTGCATACAAAATTAGACAACAAATCAGTACATCAGTTTCAGATAAACCAGAACGATAAAATGTCAATTGGATAATGTTTAATTGATTTGAGGAATTTTACCGCGTGCGGTGTTGAGGATAATGTCCGATGCCAGAGAGCGGTGAGATGAATCTGAATAGGATTTGGAGGAAGAGGAGCAGGATGAGGAGGAGGAAGGGAGCTTGGTGAGGAAGTGATGGAGGTAGTCGAAAGGAGTGACGGAGCGGAGTCTCCACTTGAGAGTTGTCAAAACTAAGAGCTCCATTCTCTGGATTGTTTTAGGCTCGAAAACATACGCCGTCTCGAGCATTTGCAGGTCCAAGAGGCAAGGAACGTACAGTTCTTCCATTTTCGCAGCCAGAGACAAACAAGTCATGGATAGAAGCTGAAACGGCCATCCTGTTTCCTATTTTTGCAAATGGAACGCTATAGATGTTAATTTTGCAATCCAATAGACGAATCTGTATCCGAAGAGAAGCAGTTCTATACAAACACAAAAACAAACACATCGAAAAAAGAGATTGAAAGCGAAAAAGGCTATCTACCGGAAGCGTATAAGCAGAGAGAAATCGATCGAAGTAATTGATGGAGAGGAAAGCAGTCACCGGCTTGAATTGAAAGTGCGCATGAACCTAAATGAGGTGAAATCGAATATAATGAAAAAACCACAAAACAGCATAATCATCAGTTCCATTATTGTTCAATTAATTACCATAAACAGACTCCATCCGTGCTCGCGCATACCTTGAGGATCGAATTGATAGAGTCCTGGCGAGAAGTCATCTGAACGCCGCGATTGTCGCACAAACCAAGGTAATCGGGGTGCGGCATGTACTGAGCCTCCAAATCCAACATCCGAGCGACGAACGCCGCCTCATCGGATAACGAACACCGCCGAGGAGGAGGAAGAGGAAAATGAGTACGCAAGCCTCCGGCGTCGGATCTGGAGCTTTCTTCGGCTAATCCGAAGCCAGCGGCGGAATCGTCGGACATGGCGGATTAAGCAGCGCAATCAGCGGCGACGGCGAGCCACGAGCATTGGCCGCGGAAACACAGACGGCCATCCGCCGGCTACGCTTCCCAACCGAGTGCCGCCATTCTCGCACTCTCGAAGAAGAAGGAAGATAACTGCACAATACTGTATCTCTCTCTCTCTCTATATATATATATGTATGTATGTATAAGTTGAGAGGGGTGGGGGGTGTGAAGAGAATGAGTGGTGTGAAGTGGGGAAGAAGAAGGAGGTGGGTGGGAAGGTAGAATCACCCCAATATTAATTTATTAATTTATTTTATTTATATATATATATCAAATATAAATTTTTTTTTTAAAAAAAATCAGTTAATAGTTAGAATGCAATAATAATCTTATTTAATACTACAAATATAAATAAATAACCTCATAAAAATTAATTCAGATAATTCTTTTGCAACAAATGGGTAATAATGTCATCCTATATGAACTTATGAAGTACGTATGAATAAATGAATGAATGAAAATTAATAATCTTTCTGTTCATAAAATTTATGTTTTATGAACTGAACAAATATTTTAATAAATATTATATTATATTAATTAATTACGATATATAATATGAATATTAAAAAGTAGATATATGAATAAATTAATAAAATAAGAAAAAATAATTTTATAACTTTAACGTACAAGTAATTATGATATATTTGTAAATAAATATAATAATAAATTGTATAAATTAAATAATGGCAAAAATTATTTACTAGAAGAATAATCCCTAATCCCTCCTTTGCTATGTTTATATGTTTGGTAGGACAAAAAAATAAAAAATAAAAGTATTTAATATAAAATTGAAGAAGTAAACATTTAAATAAAGTATTAGTATAAAAAAATTATTAAATAATTAATAAATAAATAGTAGTGTAATTATGTAAAAATAGTTGCAATTTACTTATTATTTATCAAATAAAAATAAATAATAAAATTATGAGTAAATATTTTTTATTAATAGATCATTCATAAGTTTAATAAATACGAAAAAAAAAATAATAACAGACTTCTTTTAGGACGGAGGGAGTATCATATTTGAATTAAATAAATAAAATAATTGCTTAATCATTTGGTTTATAATTTTTTATAAAAATTAGATCATATTTGTCTAAAAAAAAATTATTAAATAAATAATTGATAAACTATATAATCTCTCTGTCTTGCTGCAAGGTTACTATTTGATTCTTGCGTCATTCTATTTGACATTAAAAGTATCGTTATATTTGAATAATATACTCTACAAATGTCATTCTATTAATACGATAATAGACTAATAAAAATATTTTTGTCTTATTCTTTTGAATTGTATTACGTGTTAATATAATAATTAATATTAAAATACAAAAAATTAATGGCAATCTTTCAGGACGGAGGAGTATTTGTTTTAAAGTATTTTATTATTTTTGTTTGTATAAAACATGCACAATTATATGTCATTTTATACACTAAAAAAAAATAGTATATTTGTAATATAATTATGTTCCTAAAGTTTACATAGCTAACGTAATTTAATCTCTAATTCCGCCGCTAATATCATTAGTAACGGAAAAAGTGGATTTAGAAACGAAAAAATATCGTTACAAAATTGATATTTTCTTGTAGTGATAATTAAACATCAATTTTAGAAAAATATGAAATTTTTTGCATAATTTAATTTAATATAAAGAATTTATTGTAATAAATAAAAATTACATATTTTTAATGCATTTTTACTAAAATACGAAAAATATTATATTCCCTCACTTTCAAACATAATGCAGCAATTGTTTTCAACACAAAATTTTAGTTGAATAATATTAAGTTTAATAATTTGAAAATTATATGATATGTAAAAGAGATAAATGTATCTTTATTTTTTTATTTGAGTACTTAAAAAATATTCCATATATTCCAAAATAATATGAACATTTGAGATGGACACGAGAAGAAGTAAAGAATAATAATATATATCGATAATTAGTGTAAAAATATTTTTAAAAAATCAAAATGCTCCATTTTATGTAATCATTGTGAAAAAAATATAGATAATTTTGTAAAATATGGGAAGATAGTCACAAAAAAATAAAAATTAGGCTATTGTTTTAAAATAAACAAAAATAACAAAATAAAACTAATATTTTAAAACAAATAAAGTAAAATATGAAATATAAAATAAATATCTTTTATTTTAAAAAGATTCGAGAATACTTAAAATAAATAAATAAATAAAAATATTGCACTATATTATTAGAGTGTTAGGTAGGAGGAGGGCTCTTTTATTAATTATTGACACATCATTCTCAGATTTATCACTGGTCCCTTTGATTGATTTAATTTAACAATTTTATTGGAAATAAAATGTAATTCTGTTCCTAATTTTAATAGTATTATTATCAGTTCTTACTACATAATTTTAATAATAATAATATTATTATTATAATGTGTATATATATATATATATGTATATAAGAATAAGAACAAAATTGAGAGCTTAGATATTCGGGATTGACTAGTCTTTGAGGTGTGTGTTTATTTTAGTATTTTATTTTATTTTCAGTTGGAGTTTTAATGGCGTCTCTGTATATTTAGTACAGTATTTCAGTCTCTTTTGCCCATGTGCTTTCTTGCCTCACCTCGCCTGCCGCATTTAATTTTTATTTTTATTTTTATTTTTATTTTATTGGATAATAAAATATATGGACATTGGTTTTTAATAAAATGTTGATTTTGATGTGTTTGTTTGAAGGATTAGGAGGATTTATAATGTTAGACATCAAATTTTATACCCAAAAATATTACTATTAAATATTTATATTTTATATTATACTAAAAACATTTTTATATTTAAACTATTATATTAATATTTAATTACATTACTCCGTTCGTTTCATAAATATAATCTTAATTAGATTGGATACAAGATTTAAATAATATTGATATTATATTGGTAGTGGGTAAAAAGTATGGATAAAAAATTTTTTTGGTCCTTGTGAGTGTATTAGTGTAAAAAGTAGTGGCAATTGTGTAATAAAAATGAAAAAGTAGAGGTAGTTTTATGGTGATATGATTATTTATGAAAATAAGACTATTGTTTTGTGATGGACAGAAATGGTAAACAACACTGTTATTATATTGAGACAAAGAGAGTATATTATATTATACTACTATTTTAAATTAATTTTTTTTACTATTCAAATTTCAATCTAAAATTGAAAGCATGTGCTTTGGGAAAAAACAATGGGTCCATGAAAGTTTTGATAGTATTTATTTTAACTAAAAATTATTTGATATAATGATTTTAATTTAAGTAATACTCGACTTATAAATTTAAATAGTGAATCAAAATATTTTTTTGGTGAGGATAGAGATGAAGATGGATGGAGTCAGCATAAATAATCAGTCTGTTAATTTAGTAATTTTTAATCTAACAATTTTTTTCGTAAATATTATTAAAAATTTATATATATACACACATTGATATAATATATTATACACTCACAAAATGTCAATTATTCAACCAATTACCAATATAGTTTTCTATATTAAACAAAAAAAAAATATTAATTCATCTACAAATATTGAATGAACACACTGAATATTGATGATTTTTTAATTATTATTTATTAAAAGTTTTGGATGAAATGTTTGATATAACTTCCAAATATCATACTTCATTCGTCCCAATTCCGGGGTTTTTTTGAGTTTTGTAGTAGAATAAAAAATTATATAATTTTATTGATTAGTGAAATTGTGTAAGTTTTTTGACATTTTACCCTTTGACTTTATGTACATATGAATTATTGTAATTTAAATAAAAATCAAGAGTATTTTGATATTAATATATAATAATTATTTTTTTAAATAAAAAATTTATAATTTAATGTGAGAAAATAAAAATAAAAATAGTACTTTGAATTGAAATTAGTAAAGTAAATCTCCAAGCAATAGTATTCATTTGAATTTTTACAATAAATTATAAAATAATATTATTTTATCAATTAATGTAAATATATTAGATAGTTTCATTATATCGATTTTGTTGATTATATATTTTTAAGATTAATTGCAATTATAATTCATTAGTTGAATGAATAAATTATTTGTTTATGATTCAATTTTGATTGGTGCTAGAAATATAATGATTTGAAGAATTATGTATGTCGATACCAATTTTCTATATCATAGTCGAGAGAATTATAGATAAGTAAAAAAATAAATCATGTAGGACAAATTAAAATAAAAATATAGACAAATTACGTGGAACATAAAAAGTATGTGATATTATCGAACTTGTCATTATATATTCAAAAAAAAAGACTAATATATTTATCAAATATCTAACAAATATCGAATGTCTCAGCCTCAAAGCTATTCATATAATTTTGAATAAAATGTTAATATGTTCATATTATATTTTTAGAAAAAAAAAATAACAATTTGTGTGAGACGGTCTATTCATGTGGGACGGATAGAGTATAATAAGAAGAATGTATTTAGTACAAATAATTGAAAACAAATAAATAATTTATTTATTGTCTATATAAGATAAACAGAACTCGACAAAATAAATAATTTTCATGTATATCTTATTTGCAAGAAAATACAGAGAAATAAATTCTGTGTACCTAAATGTGAATGTGTATTTTATTTATTTATTTGTTTTACTATTTAACTTTTGTAATTTCTTTTAAAAATATAGTGTTCCGATTTTATAAAATTAATATCAAAATTATTACTATTATTTAAAAATATATTTTATTCACAAAATTTTTTTAGTATAAATTATCTTTTATTTATTTATTTTATTTTTGTTATTCATCCGATTTACATCTATCGTTATGATTTTTCTTATAATCAAAATCGGAGAAATAATTCTTATTTTTTGTTCCATTCATTTTATCTGAGATTTTTTCTCAATTTCATTAATTGTACTAAAAGCATTTGTTTGTTAATTTTTTAATTCTAAGATTTTTTGTTTTTTTATTTTTTTTGCGTACAGATATATAAATTATGTCGGTAATATAAAAAAATAATATTTTATGTTAAAAATATTATTTGAAAAAAGTACTATATAATGTAAATATTATATATATTAAAACTTATGTCAGATAAAATTATTTGGATGAAAAATATTTTTCTTTTCCCTTAGTATGTTCAATTTATCCATTATTATATTTAGCTAAATTAAAAATTAACATTTAACTAATATTACTAACTTTATTATCTCATGTTTTCCTATACATAAGTATTTTCTAAGTCCGTTTTGAAGGGATACATTTACATTTTTTTTTATGTACTTAATATAAAAAATCTCTTTATATTTGAATAATTTTTTCATAAATATATTTATATTAGTACTATAATACACTAATAATTTTTTTTTAATTTTTTTTAATTTATATTATATTTTAATATAATAGTTAATATTTAAAGATCAATATCAAATAAATAAATGAGACTATGTCCGGACAAAGGTAGTATATTTTTTTTACTACTAATTTTATAGAATACCCTAACTACTAGTTTTTCTCACTATTTCAACCCAAATGACTATTTTTATCGGACGGATTTTGTACATAGATAACTGAAAAATAAATAAATAAATAAAAAATAATAATAATACTAAGAGAAACGTACAAAATTCAGCCCTATTGTCATAACTGAGAGATGTGCAATTCGCAGACGAAAGCTAATTAGGGAAAACTGGGGCGTTGGGTGTTTTGCGGATCAGATCTAGAAATCAGGATTAGAGTCGTTATTTTCGGGTAATACTCGATCATTAGCCTCGTTTGATTTGGATTTCTGCTGTGCGTTGAACCCAATTTCTATATTTTGATTCTTGTTAAGAAATTAGGGTTAGGGTTTACGTTTTTGCGAAACCGGGTTTTTGTTTCTGTGCCATGTGGCTGGTCATTAGCAGTCGCTGAATTCAGGCTGTTTTTGCTCTCCGAGTTTGTGATTTCCGTTTACATTTCGATTCAGGAAGTCACTGCTGTTTCTGTGGCGATATTATTTCCTTCATTTATTTTGTTTTCCAAGCTTGTAAGGATTTTCTTTTATTGTATTTGAGTAAGTACCTGTTCAATTTCGCATGTTGAGCAAAAGCAATTATTCTTGTGGAATTTTGCTAGTGTAAGTGCTAGGAAATTGCCGTTCATTGATTTATTTTAGTTTATTCCCCGCCACAGCATTCGTTTTAAATGGCTAATTCTTAGCTGTTAAGGTTGTATTCTGTTGGAAAACTGCTGAGATTACTCTAATTGATTGTGCTGGTGGAAGTTTTTGTGCAGTTAGAACTCTCCCGGAGGTATTTATCTGTTCCGGATATATATGGGTGCACCTAAGCAAAAATGGACTCCAGAGGAAGAAGCAGCTCTTAAAGCTGGAGTCATTAAACACGGGCCTGGGAAATGGCGTACTATTTTAAAGGATCCACAATTCAGCGGAGTTTTGTATCTTCGGTCCAATGTTGATCTGAAAGTAAAATTTCATTTTAAAACATATTGGCATTGTTAATGGTATATTCGTTACTAGACCTAACTATTGATTTTGTTTAGGACAAGTGGAGGAACTTGAGCGTCATGGCTAATGGATGGGGCTCAAGAGAGAAGGCCAGGGTAGCACTAAAACGGATACACCCAGTCCCCGATCATGGGGAGAGCTCTATGGCACTTGAAGCTGTTTCAAGCCAAAGCGATGATGACTTAGTTGATAGTCGGCCTCATCCTCCTTCAGGTGGTTCTTCACCGAATGATGGTCCAAAGCGATCAATCATGAGGTTGGATACGCTTTTTCCGTGCAAAAGTTGCATGAGATTATTTGTTTCTTTTTGTTAGTGTTTGTGATGATCATATCATGTTTATTGAAGTTAGTTCCAAGTTCCAAACTTTGACAAGCTAGACGCTTCTTTGGGTGTATTTTGGATTAAAAACTTTTTTGAAAAGAGAATAGGTTTTAGTGTGATGTTTCTTAGCAGAAAAAATGTAGGTTGCATGGTGCGAAAATGAGAATGAAGCATGAGAGTTAGATTCTTCGTAGATTTAGAGTATTTGCGTGTTATAAGAGTTATGTGATGCACAATCTAGTGCTTTCATATTATCGCTGAACACTGAAGTGTTCCTGCTTGCATGCTTTCATTTGGTTGTGTGTGTTTGTTTAGACAATAGTGTTGGTGAAATAATGAATGATCTATTAGAAAATCGATTTTGATTTTTTCCTTTTTATTGCCAAAGACTGCTGATGGTGGATATTTATTTATTTATTGAATGTTACTATAGGCTGGACAATCTCATAATGGAGGCCATAAACCACTTGAGGGAACCAGGTGGTTCTAACAAGAACTCCATAGCTGCCTATATAGAGGTGCTTTGAAAGTTACTAGATGAATTTTTTCCATTCTTTTCTATGTGATGCACTCTATAAGGTTTTCTATAGTTTTACACCGTCATAATGGACGCGTTGGTTTATGATTGCATTATGGTCAAAGTCTCATGTCGGTTTATGATTGCATTATGGTCAAAGTCTCATGTCACATCTGCAATATGCTAATTACCTCATCTATATTGTATGTTTAATATTAATTATTATACAATGATATGATGTGATAGATTACAGAGTAGTTTTAATTGGTTATGTTTTAGGATTTCAATTACCAGTGAATGTGAATATGGATAAATTTGAAGAGGGGATAGTGATTAAATATTTATTGAATTTTGAATGTTTTTATAAGTATGAAACAAAGAAATGTAGCATGAATTACTGTTTGCTGTTTAGTTTGTTAAATATTTGTGTTTGATTTTGGTGGAAAAAGGATACACCGTAACTGTGTAGGGTTTGTTTAGTTGTGTTTTGGAAGTATTTTGGTGTTTTGATTTTTGAGAATAGTAAAAAGTTTGAATGAGAAATAGGTGTTGGATGTGACACTTTTAGGGGAAAAGTTTTGATGAATAGTTTGAAAATGTAGTTGAAAACATGAGTAATCAAACCCATAATTTTCAGACATGCAGAATTCTCCATTAAAAATTGATGTACAACTATTAAAGGCTTGAATTTTATGGCAACTATGACCAAACTACAACATTTTTGTTTGGTGCTACAATGATATGATTATTTATTTTGTTGTTTGAGTTTAATAAGCAAGTTCATCACACTTTTTGTTTGAAAACTTTTGAGTTTTTCTGATGCAAGTGCATTGATTATGGGTCTAAACTCGGGAAAGCAAAGTACTGAGAACTTAAATCTTTTCTTGTTTATATTGTCAATTTTATTCTATTATTCCCGGCCTCTTATTGTTTTTTGAGTGCAATGGATCTCCCCCAGCTGGAGTTGCCTCTTATAGATATGACGTGTCCATACTTGTAATGGCGTGCCACGATGCTGCCTCTGTGCTGTTGCAATGGCACAGAGTGCAAGGCACGATATTTTTTTATTTATTTAAATTTATTAGGGTTAGTCACAGTAATTGGGGTTTATTATCTTTTTATTACTAGAAGGTTCTATTCTTTCTTTCTCAGTCCATAGCTGCCGCCTTTCTAGCCCTCTGGTATTTATATCTCCTTGCTTCTCATTACTTTCTTCCATCTTCGACCGCATTGCTATCGCCGCTGGTCAACAACCACCAGGTAAGGCTGTGGCCGTTCTGTTTTCCTCATTATTTTCTCTCTTTTCTAGTTTATGTTTGAGTTACTGTTTATGCTTTTTAGAAAAGGAGAAATTATATTAGATCTGGTTTTACATATGGTTACAAGAGACAGAGAGAAATGGCAGAGATTATAGCCAACAATGAGATTGGCATACCCTTGCGCACCATGCTTAGCGCAGAAAAGGGTGTGCTCAAAGGAGAGGGAAGGGCATTTTGAGATATGGCGGCGAGGTTCAGTCTTGGTCAATGTATATATGTTGTGTGGTATATGTAGGTGTATTCAAGATGTATTAATAGTAGTGTGTGCTGTTCGCCATTTACAAATATGGACGGTGTCGCAGACAATTTTGTTAGTTAAAGAAAAAGAAAGTTTTTGATCCTTGGTTGCAGGATAGATTACAATATAAAGTGTAGTTTATGCTAGCCAGTTGATTTAAGGGTACGGTGTCTTGTTAATACTGAAAACAAGGGCTTTGTTTAGATATGATTGGGAATTGTTTTGTTATTTTGTATTCTTTGGGAATGTTAAATTTTTTAATAGAAAATATGTATTGTATATGATGCTTTGAACAAAAAATAGGTTTTTAATGTAATATTTTACATGAAAAATAGGTGTTTGTTGTGATGTTTTTTTTTTGAAATTTTTTGTTATGAATAGTGCGAAAACAAAGTTGAGGACAAGTATCTTATCATCTATGTAGATGTATCGAGCAAGTCCGTCTTTTAAGTTCTACTTCCCCTTCATGTTTTCTTGGAAGGGCATCTAAATTCAACCTTCTTATTCCCCTTTTAATTGTATTACACTTTGAGTCATAGTGGAATAGTTGTATGTATGAGGCTTCAGGATGATCCAATTCATCTCTCATAAATTGATCCTCTGTACACCTGATTTTCTACCCCGAGATTCATACTTCATCATTTACAAAATGTTTCGTGGATTAGCTCTAGTTTTCTACAACTTATTTGAGAAATATTGACCTCTAATGATTTATTTAATAGTTAATCATGTTAGTCAGTTCTTACAACTTAATTTTTTCCGTGTCTCCGTAGGATCAATACTGGGCTCCTGCAAACTTCAAGAGAATATTGTCTGCAAAGTTGAAGCATTTGGCTGCCAACGGAAGGCTTGTTAAGGTATATTTTACTCCATTATGCTTGAAATCCCCAATGTTACTACATCCATTTCTTGATTATGGTTAATGGTTTAAGATATTCTACATAGACTCGAGCGTTGAGGCTGCTTGTCTTTTGCAGATAAAACGCAAGTACAAATTACCTGGAACTTCTACATTATCTGAAAGAAGGGGTCCTATGGAAGGGAGACAGGGTATTTCCCCAAGAATTGATCGTGAAGAAATGAATAATTTAATAAAATCTCAGATCGATTCAACTATTGCCAGTATAAGTAACATGACTGCACAGGAAGCTGCAGCAGCTGCAGCTCAAGCAATTGCTGAAGCTGAGGCTGCAATCGCTGAAGCTGAAGAGGCCGCTCGGGAAGCTGAAGCAGCTGAAGCTGATGCTGAAGCAGCACAAGCTTTTGCAGAGGCAGCCCTAAAGACAATGAAAGGAAGAAACACTCCTAGAGTGGTAAAGTATATATTTCCGTGAAAAATTACATATTTGCTTCGTGCAAATCTGCAGAAACTCCATCTATGGTAGAAAAATAATCAAAACCTTGTGATATGAGTTTTCTGAGTGGCGTAAGAAAAGATTGGCTTTGGAATCTGGAGTTTACCGTTCTAATGAGAAATGCTTTAGTCGTTAATTTGCTGTTATTTGCCTTTAAAACTGAACTACCTATTTGATCTCAAATGTGAAATTCAATTGGTTTGAAAGTAGCCTGGCCATGGTGGGAAGTATGTTTTTGTTTGTCGTGAGGAAATATATATCTATTCGTGAAATGGCCTATATAGACTTGTCAGCCTCCCAATTAAATTCGCCAACCACATTCGATGCTGTGACTTTCACTGCACATCTTGCTCTATGTTCTGCCATTAAAATTATTCACTTGGAACTAAGTGCATATTCATGTTGTCGCAATGCTCAAATTCTATTGATTGATAAATTTTACTCGGCACAATGTACAGATGGTCCAAACATGACGGCATGAGGATCCGTGATGATTGACCACTCGGTTTTCCTCCCTGTACAAGGCCTGTTTGCCTGCATCTCTTTGGACCTTTTTGTGTTCTATGATTGTAGATATTTTGTTGTGAAGGATAATCGATAATTAGCTGCTGATATAGATGGGGTTGGTGTCTTATTAGAACCATGTGGTTGTCCGGCCGGCCGGTTTAGACCATTTTCCTTGCCGTTACCGAATAGATGTATGGTGTAGCTCATTGTTGAATTGTTGCTGAGAATTTGGCAGCTATTGAATGTTTGCATGAATGTTAGTTACATAATGTTAAAATAGGAAATTTGTCCCAATTGAAGAAAGATAGTACCCTCCTTATCAGCTATATTCATGTTTATTTTTCATTGAAGTTTGTTCCTATAATTTATACATTTTTATTTTTTCAATGTGCGTTTTTTTTACATTTATAATGTGAAAATTTTCAATTATAAACCTCAAGGTGAACTTTTAGTAGGCTGTTAGACGAATTACACTAACCGAACTTTAAGTGTGAAAAATTCATCTCATCATACTAGTATATCATTCTTTACGGTCCTCAAATAGGAGAGGGAAATGATCTTTTCGAGTTGCTTCATTTACCGTGAATTTTTAGGCTATCTTTCAAGTGTCGGGATCTGATATTTTGAGATAAAACTATACGGGGAGTTAAAAATAAATATAGATCCAGAGATTTTCGAACAAAGAGCGACCGCAAGAAGAGTGGTGGTTACTCATATACCAGTTCCACTATTCCAATGCTAAATTCAAATACAAAATTCAGAGGTGAGTTATTTCCTTCCATCGATTTTATCATCGTCAAATTCTTCATAACTTGTTAGAGCACGGAATAAGTAGAGCACTTCCCGTGTGAGAAACTAACATTTTCGGGTGATAACCTATTTCAAACAGGTGTTTTCGGGTTATAACCGATCCCAAAGAGGTGTCTTCTTCGAAGGCTCTTTTATTCTTTGTGCCAAATTAAATTGTGAATTCGAATCGAACGTCGGACTGAGTCTCGATTAGGCTTTCTCCTTCTTCATATCTGTCTCATATTTTCAAACACATTAAATTATTAATTTTTTTTTGTTGTAAATAGTAGAATATATATTGTATTAATGTATAAATATATTATATTACTTTTGTGGCGCAAGTAGTCTGGTATTAATATTATATTGATTTATAGTTAAAAATGACAAAAATACTAAAAATATATATTTATCTTTAGTTAGTATCTTTAGTTAGTCATAAGTAATAAAAATATATATCAATACTATATATATATATATATATGCTTTAACAAAAAGTGGCTAATAAATATAACTATTTATTCTACTATATTAATTAAATTTATTAATTCTATTATACAATAATATTAAATTTATTAATTCTATTATATAATGATATTATATTTATTTTACATAACACAATTAAAATTTATTTTTATTGAAATTTACTTTTATATTAGGATATAATAATTATAGGATCTTTTGTTTGAAAAAAATAAATTCATGTAAAAGATTTATACTTTTTGACGGATTAGATAATACAAAATAAAAATAATTAATGCATTTTTTTTTTGTTCATTTTTGTTTATTTTGCTTTCAATGCGTGCATGATATTTTTTAAAACTATAGATAATTAATAGAGTAATATAAAAAATATTTAGATTAAATTTTATATAAAGAATATTAATATATTTTGAAATATAATTGTACTAATCATTTTTTTATATATATTTTAAAATTGATCTATAACGTTTATTTATATTTATTTGTATATATAAAATATTTGTATTTACTTTTATGGGAGATTATGTTTAAATTAATTTTTCTATAAATATATTTATTAATATTTAATTATTCATGTTATAAGGAAACTAATTATATATGATTCATATTGACATTAATTTTAATTTTTTTATTTTTTATTTAAGTCTTATGGTTTGTTTGTTTTGTGAAAGACAATAGATTTTGTACTAATCCGATCAAGTCAGTGTGGTGCTGATATGACCGAATCAACATATGCTATAGAAGTGCCAATATATGTTTATACATAGCTCAATTCTCAACCCATGTTGTGTTACTAGATAACATATGCTGAGTTACGACATAATATATGTTGTATTATACATATACTGAAATATGTATAAATATATATTGGTCATCCTATAACATATGTTAATCTATGCCCTCTGTGAAAACAAATCAACACATATTCTTACAAGATTAATATATTACACTCATTTGTTATTTTTATATTATCTATGCAATTCTTTGTATCATACATAATATATATATATATCTCTTCGACCAATCCGTCCAGAGAGTTTGCCCCAGGCATTCCTCAATGGACTCTATCATTTTTCTCAAGAATCTTTTCGTCTTTCATTTTGATATATCGATCTCCCCGATTTTGATCGATCAGACGGTCGCAGATCATTCAACCACCGGGGAGATCGGACGGCTGCTGGTCGGCATTCCGGGGAAAACCCTAAAGAATCTCTATAAATACAAAGAAGAAGACCTGATTGGTCGGAAATTTTGGGACAGACACGTGAATGGCTGTGCGCTTCAAATATATGACATGGAATTGGAAACCATACTCTCTCTGCATTCCGGGCCGATGACGGGAGATCCCATTTTCTTTTTTTTTTTTTTCGCTTTGTTTATTTACTATAGTTACCTATAGATTGATTGTATTTACAAATGATTTACGGCAGCGGCGAAATTAGGATTAAATTAAATTTGAAGGGAGAGAGAATAATTTATAAAATAATAATTTTTATTTTTATTTTATTACAAAATAACTGTCACGACTCCACTTACACTATACTACTAACGCTAATTCACATCCAAGTAAACGATAAACATGTTATAATCACTCTTAATTACTTACATATATAACAACCTGTTAACCCGCTATAAATTTTTTTTTTTCTCAACAAAACATAAAATAACTCAACACTAACTTGTTAACATTCACCAAAAGGATCTCAAACCATATCAAAAACTACACAATTGACATACTATTTATAACAATACCATACCACTTCTAAAACAGACTTAATATAGAACAAGGGAAGCAAAACAAACCACGGTCTTGCCCACAGGTCGTCATCTATGTACACGGTAACTCAAAATGTCTGTAAGAGCGCCACGGCTACTCCAGTCTGTCCACCAAGTCATATATCATCAGGATTACCTACACTACATAAACTGAGTGAGATTTATAAATTTCTGTAAGTAGGAATTATGCATGATATGAAGTTTATTTCAAAATTCTCGCTATGCAGAATGTGCTCTCGTTTGAAGTCACCAATTTATTTATGAAATACTCTCCAGGGCCCATAGACACACTGTTATACACCGGAAAGAGCTCAATATCCACGTATTCAAATCAAACGGTGGCCTACACCAGGTAGCCTACACCGGGTTTCCTCGCAAGGTTTCCTCGGGTCGCTTCTTCCCAAGTCGCCTCTTCCGAATGCATTGTTTATGCATTGTATGTAAAGTCACAATAGACGGTGGCCAAGTAGCCTACACCAGGGTTTCCCTAGGTCGCTTCTTCCTAGGTCGCCTCTCCCGCTCTTGGTGTATAATCAGCGGTCTAACATGGTAAAACAATCTTATTTAATTTCAATATATGCATACTTAATGAAAATGCAATGCAACATATTTCACAATATACAGATATTATTGAACTCACTGGTTCAAAACTACATCAATTTTGGAGTTCACAGACTCCTTCAACATTAAATATAGAGTTCATATGCTCAACCATGTCACATACATGGCTCACAGGCTGAAACCAATTTATATACGGAGCTCGCATGCTCAAACCACATAATCATAGAATATTAATCACGTATTGCAGTTTTATGATATTCACATATTATCAATCAAACATAAATAACTCACAAATAATATATTTATGCATTGTAGTTGCAAATGAATTTCTACTTACCTGAAATTTGCCAAAAAGTCAATAACTCCAACTCTTAAAGTCTTTTTTCTCGATTCCAGTATCGTATCTAAAAACAATTAATTATAAATATTATCCCAATTTACTAAATAATTATTTCTATTCAAAACTTCATCTACTTAGTAAAAATAGCAATAATTCGTAAACACGAAAAAATACCCGAATTAAACTTTTAACGAATTCGGCGTAAATTTTCTTTTGATCTTTCTTGTTCGTGTAACCTTCTTGCCCTTTTGTCTTTCTCCCTATCCTATCCTATTTTCTTAATTTGATATGGATAATTGAGGTGGAGGGTTGGGGATTATTACCCCGCTCCACCACCTTAATTAATTAATATTATTATTATATATTTATTTATTATTATTATTATTATTATTATTATTTATTTATTTATTTAATTATTCTATTTATTTTATTTTTGTTTTAATTATTATAATAAATTTTTAAATGATCTATATTTAAAGTATATCGCTAATATTCAAATAATTTATCTAATTTATTTATATCTTATTAAAATCTGAGATAAATTATAATAATATTTTTTTATTAATAAACAGGCAAGTTATATACCAAATTATAAACAATTTAACATATAAGTAATTTATCAGCACCTAAATATGAAATATATATTGACCAATGAGTAGTGAAAAACTCGGGTATCACAATAACAAACTAAAACTATATCAATATCTATATATATGGTAAATATTTATTTTTGTAATTTTTAAAAATAAAAATTAATATAATTACTTATTAAAAAATTCATCACTTAGAAATTTATATTTCTATTAATCTTTTTTTATAATTAATTTCAAAATTTGTTATATATTATATGTATATATTTTTAAAAGTTAAATAAAAATCCCAATAGAGCAGGGATGAGTGTGCCCTTGCCACATGTAAGTCCGTCCCTAATTTAAAATGTATATATATTTTTTTATATCTCAGCCCGTCAGTCCGACAAAGCAAGTTACATTAGGTGTAAGGGGTTGAATTTTAAATTTGGATTTGAACAGTAAGATCTTTGAATTTAAATAGTGGTGTGATATGATATAAATAAGTGTGGAGGTAATGTTTTAAATATAAAATTAATTTTTAGTATAATATATATAAAAAAAAATAATGTTTGATTTGATATTTTCTGATGAAAATTTTTGATGAATAATAAAATTTAGAGAAAATCTCTAAAATCATTTCAATCACTGGCTAGGTTCGGCAGGCCAAGTTCACTTGAGTACTTCCGGTTGCAGTTCTCATGTCATTAAACTATTATTTCGATAAAATATATATATATGTATATCTATACATACAAAATTCTTGGCAATAATCTTTTCAGTTTATTTCCCATGTTTTTGACCTTCAAAATTAGAGTATTAATCTCATTTTTTTTTTTCACCTTAAAGAATCATCAATAATTATATAATATCAAATGATATGTCATTAAAAAAAAAATCATATTTTCTTAAATATTACATCACTTTTTTTTTTTTCTTGTAAATTTTTTCAATAAAAAGAACAAAGAATATAAATTATTACACTTTTATTAAAATTCGTACTAAAATAGTTGAGCAGCCAATTTGATGAAATTTATTCTTAATTTGAATAATATTTTATTAGATTTATAAATGTAAATAAAAAAATAGTAATGATTTTATAGAATATTGTCTACGATATTTATGATATTTTTCAAAAAAACATCATCAGTTAATACTGTTATATACAATAACATTTTCATATAAATAAGTAAATAAAGCAATAACTATGTTATAGCAACAGTTATTATCAAAAAAATATTATATATAATGTGTTTAAAATCACAATAGTATTTGTAATTAAAAAGTAAAATTTAAATAAGAAATATAGATATCCAAAAATTAAGTAAACAAATGAAATAATCAAAATATTATAAAATTATATGGAATGAAAAATTATAAATTTGATATTTAAATTTAAATTTTAAGATAAATAAGAAAAAAATAAATAATAGATAGAATAAAATATACTAATATTTTGGTGCTTCCCATTTGTTTTTTTAAAAAAGCTATTTTATTTTTATTTTTACTTTTATTATTACAAAGTTAATAATTTTATTAAGGAGAGCGATATGTCAAATTTTTTTATTTTTTTTTATTTTTTATGCACGCCTTGCACGAAAGTGATAAAAAAACGATTTAGGGTAAAATAGGAATATTTGTAAAAAACAATTAAAATATTTATAAAATATGTATGAGAATCGTATCTGTTGCCTCGAATAGAGAAACAAGTTATAAAATAAAAATAAATACATAAATATAAAATGAAACAGGAAGACTTCAGAATCGTCGGACGAAATTTAGCTCCAGCTGATCGATTTCCGATTCCGGTAACTGTTCTAGCCTAAGGCTAGGGTTTCTCACAGTGTTAGCATTGGAATTTCTATTGCGGAAAGAGGAACTGCAGTGACTTTGTTTTTAATTTCGTTCTGTGCTATTTTTCGTTTTATTTGTTTGACCCTAAAACTGATGTTTCGTACTCTTGATGTCATTTGTTTTTAACATTTTTTAGTTGCACTGATATCATTATTGTGCTACGCTATTTGGAACTGGGTGATAATATCCTAGGTTTGATTTTTCAGACATGGATCAACATTATCCAGACAGGGAAACGTTAATTGCTCGTGTTCAGCAGTTGGAGCTCGGTATGCGTTCTGGTGCTTGAAGTTAATTTAAATCTTCGATATATATATATATATATTATTGTACCATTTTTTTTTAGTAAAAAATTTTCGATCTATGAGTTGTGTTCTTGGTTGGACAGACAAACTTCTTGGTTCCATCAAAATAGCAAATCATACAGGAGTTTGTCTGTGTTCAACGATTAGAAATTTCTTTGAACTTATTGATACCTGATGCTTACGTGAGATTATAGTCGTTTTTGCAAGCTCTTTATGTTGCAACTTATCACATACAGATTAAGTTTCCTCGTATAAATATGTAAGCTCATTTGATAAAAAAAAGGGTTCGTTTGGTTGGAAGTTGGGAGGTGTAGTTGGAAATTTGGTTTTTCTATTGAGTAATGAGATGTTATTTGATTGTAATTTTATGATGTAATATACTAAGGGTGTGTTTGTTTGGGGGATTGGATTTGAATACACTATTCATCCCATTTTTTTCCCCCAAAAATATAAAATCAAACACCTATTTTTCATTTTTTATATTATACTAAAAATCAATTTTACATTGAAAAGATTGCATCAACACCTATTTATATCACATTATACAATTATTCAAATTCAAAATTTTTACTATTCAAATTCAAAATTTTTACTATTCAAATCCCAAAATCCAAACCCCCAAACAAACACACCCTTATAGTTGAATTTATTTATTAGGCTGAATAACCTAGTAAAACGAAGTTAACCATTTAGTGCTGAACGTATTATTAAATGCTGAATGAAATATCACATTGATTTATGTATTGTTTACATGACGAGCACCATGAGAAAAAGAAAATTTTAAAAAGAAAAAAAGATTGCAACAACAGTTTATTAGGTACAGAAGCTAATAATTCCACAACTTTAATGATTTAGCATTATGCATGCATTTCAGCTTTGCCTAATGCCTTCTATGTTCTATTAACTAACGTGAGAGGTTTACACTATGTTAAGATTATTATTAAATGATAAAATTTGTGATGAAGCATGTAATTTATCTTGTAAACTTTGGTGGAAATGCTTATGTGTTTTTTTTCTTTTGGTGGTCTTTCTTGGAATTTCTAATATGAAAGGTTTACTTTCTGTTAAGACTATTTTGTCTTTCTACTTAAAGTTCAGCGCAAATTGTTGATATCTGCTGCAGAACGCGAACAGCTGCATAGAGATGTTGAGCAGCTGTGTATGCAACAAGCAGGACCTGCTCACTATGGAGTGGCAACACGAATTCATGTTGAGAGGTGGGATTTATTTTTCTATTTTATATTGATATCGGTATTTATGTAGCTCCTTTTCATTGTTTGAGTCATTAGAAGGGGCGGGGATTCATGAAACATGTATCACCTCCTGTTCCCCTGCAAATGATTGATCCTGGAATTTCTCCAAACTAGGACTGCTGGATTGGAGGAGCAGATTCAGAACTTGAAAAAAGAATTGGCTGCTTGCACTAGAGAAAACCGAAATCTTCAAGAGGAGTTATCTGAGGCTTATCGTATTAAAGTAAGATCCAGTTTGGTTCATCACTATTAGTTTCAGGGTCTCCATTTAATCTATTTAAATAAATCCCTTACCCATGCGTGTGTTGTTTTCAGAGTCAACTTGCCGAACTACATAATGCAGAAGTTGTGAAGGTCTTTCTCTCTCTCCCTCCTCCCTGTTGTAAATGCATATTGATCTTGTTGTTATAGATTTGCACCACTATCGTAATATGCTTGACCCTTTCTGTGTGTGTATTTTTAAATTTGAAGATTGAAACTGAAAGGAATAAATGTTAGCTATCCGTGGTCAAGTATTTACTGCATTTTATTTTGTCTTCCAGAATGCAGAAGCTGAAAAACAACTTAAATTTTTCCAAGGATGCGTTGCAGCTGCATTTGTTGAGCGAGATAATGCAATAATGGAGGTTAGCTTTTCTTCATGTGGCTCATCGTCCGTTATCTAGTCTCCCACCTTGTTATTCTTATTTGGTTCCATTCATGTCTAATTTAAACTTCACGAACCCTTTGTGGGTGGCATAAAGCTTGGGTCCTAGGTTGCATCCCAACATCCATTGTTAGGATGTTTTGTGATGCCTTTTGATGGTTTTTCAATTTTACTTAAAATTTGTGACACAATAATATTTCTGTGAGTTTGGGTTATTAATTGATTCAACATGGTGTTCCAGTCTGAAAAGGCTAAGGAGAGAGAGGAACAGCTGCCACAGGAGCTAGAGAAATCTCAAAGAAGGTGTTTCACTAAATATGTTGCCCATTCTGCCCTTGAGTAAAAATGTGTTTATGGAGAGTCCTGAATGTCAAAAGTTTATCATTTATTTTCAAAATTTCTCTTACATTACTATATGTGGTATGAATGTAATGATGATGGTGGTGTGGAAGGCATAGGGAAAGCTGGTTTATAGGGCTTTTTTATATATACAATCCTATTGCTAGTAAGGCAATTATCTGTCTGGAACATTATTTTAATACACAACATACCTGCATGAAATTTAATCTTCTTGTCTACATGCTTTTTTGCAGCAAAATGAAATAAAAATAACATAACAACTGAGCGCTTCAAAACTAACTTTCTATATCATGCAGGGTGGGAGAGCTGACGGCTGAACTTCTTGAAGGAAAAGAATTAGTCACTAATCTTCAGATGGATTTAGAAAACCATGAAAGGCAGATTGAGATTTTCAAAGAGGTGGTTGTCTAGATACTTGCAACATTTATTATGTTATATGGTTCCAATGTAAATGATTAAATGAATCCCATTTGATGTTATAGTATATAACAATTAACAAAACTCGAAAATTTTACATGATGCTCCCAGCATTATGGCCAGTCCATCAGTGGGTGCTTCCAAAATGAAAATTGACATTTGTCTTACGAAATTTCTGTTCTCCAATTTAATTAATGTTCTCTTTATGGTAGGTCATTGATAGATTTTATGATATCAGACAATGTTACTTAGAGGATTTTACCGACGCAAGCTGGGAAGAGAAATGTGATCGTCTGATGAGTGATCCAACTGAAATGTGGAGGTTCCAAAATGATGAGGACACTGCCACTGCCAATTACATTGTAAGTAACAAGATAATTCTCCATCCTAATTGATTGTTCTTTTTCAAGTAGCTCCCGTACAGAAACAAAGTTCCTTCTACTCCGGTGTTTCCATGTTGCAACTTTCTCAGCCGAAAACTTTTGCGTTTCTCTTTCCCACCCAGAGTATTATCTACCTTTTTATTTGTCCAGTGAGTTAATTTGGCTCCTGACTTGTGTCTTTTAGGCCAAAGTTTGTCCCATGATACCTTATTTATTGTTTTGTAATATGCTGCATTATGGCAATTTAATTACCGAGAAGTTGGATAAGGGATACACTCTGTGGGTGCACAATTTTAACATTCAATTTGTCACCATGTGCATCCAATGCTATGTCAATGCCTTTGTTTTGGATATGTTCGTACATACATTCTTGATTTCAGACCATCATTTCCTATAAACATCGAAAACCTAAAAGCTAAACAACTGTTAGCTTATTCGCTAAGAGCTTGGAAAGTAGAGTATCTATTTCCTTACTTCCCCATTTTGTTGATTAACAATTCTTCAGACAGAATTCTCTTGAAGCAGAAATTGAGAGTCTGAGGAAAAATGTGAGTAATATGCAGAACAAGCTGCGAATGGTGAGCTTCCTCTTTGAATAATGCTATCCATAGTATTTCTGTGTTAGTGCTCTTGAATTTTATAGTTTCTTCTTTATGTTGGTAACTAGGGACTGGATATTGAAACTCATCTAAAGAAGAGGGTTTGCGATTTGGAGAAAAAGAGAGTAAGAACTTCATCTTCTGGGCTGAGTGATGGAATATTAGTTGCGGCATATGGTACTAATTTCCCACTATTAAATGTCTAGATACTAACAGAAGAGAAGATCAAGGGGCAGATAGCAGCATTACTGCAACAGCATTCTCAATACAGGACCGATATCGTGAACTTACTTGGGGAGGGGTCTTCAGAGCTGAAATCAATTAATGATTCGATTATTGAGAAGATAAGGCAGTTTGAACTGAGTAGTGAAAGCAATATAAAATCTTCACAGATACAAGACAAGGAACTACCTGAGAGTGAGTGCAGAGATGTGCATGTTAGTGCTGATTCTGGTCAAATTTCGATCTCTGAGGTATGTCTGTGTGTTGCCTTGGTAATCGTTGTTTTAACTGTTATTTTTTCTTTGTGTATTCATCTTCCACAGCTAGTTTTGTGGGGCTTCTCTGGTATTGGATTGGTTTATTTATCTTTTTGCTTTGTGGTATCAAAGGATTTTGATGAGTAATGGATCCCAAGTTTATTCTTTGTCAATAGAGGAAGCAATGACCTTGTTATCACTTTTCTTTCTTTTTCTTTTTCTTTATATTTTTATTTTTTTGGTATGGTTGTAATTTTTTATTGTGACAGTATTGATCTTACCTAGTCACGTCACATACTTGTTGTAATGTTTTCCTCGCATTTTGAATAATCAAACAACAACAAAATAGTCTTTTTTTTGTTTTTAATGGTATCTTGAAGTCTGCTAAGTGTTAATGTGTTATTGACAGTTTATTTATTTGCTGTCATGCTAGAACTCATTAAGGGAATTCTAACATTTGTATTTATCTGCCCCTGTGCACATGCTTCCCTTTATTGTTTCAAATATGCAGTGTTGCAGTTCAAAATTTCTAATGCTTTACAGAATGTTAATTTAATTGTCGTAAGAATTATTCATTGGTGATGCCAATCATTAAAGTTGCCTCGAAAACAAGTGCTATTATGGCATGGAAAATAGCTTTTGAAAGAAGTGGATTAACTTTTTTTTTTTTTCCTCTGAGGGAGCATGGCTGTTTCTCATATTAGAAAGCATTGGTGCCTCATTCAGCATTGTTGGATATACTTACATGGAATCTTCATACAATTATGTACTTGTTAATCGATACACTTCCAGGCAGTTTTGCATGGAAGTGTTTTGCATGCTAATCGATACTGTTTTGCATGTTTCAGACTGACAACCCAGGCTTGCCAACCGTTAGTGCTCCAGATCCTTTTGACACCTCCGAAGCCCTTGCTCTGGCTTTGCAGGAGAAGGTCTCCAAATGAGTTCATTTCTTTCTTCTGGCATGTGAAATCATGTACGTGCTAATGGATTTTTTGTTCATATCCAGGTTGCAGCATTATTACTTTTGTCACAGCAAGAAGAAAGACACTTACTAGAGGGTAATGTAAATGCAGCTTTACAGAAAAAAATTGAAGAACTTCAGAGAAATCTACTACAGGTAATATCATATCCCTATCCAGTTTAAATGAACACATTTTTTGCATTGCTGATAAACATGTTCATATCTGACAGTATGTATTATCTTAAGCGTGCCTTACTATCATATGAAGAAAATTGGATTATGTAAAATTTTGATTGTCTGATGAAGTGGAAAGCAGGCAGCTAGTAACAGAACCGTAACACTGTTGGGCTATGTTCATATTAGGATTTGTGTGGAGTATTATTTTAATATATTTTGTATGAGCTTGTTACACTTTATTTTGGGCAATAGAATTCCGTGCAGCCCTGGTTTTACTTTAATTATTTTATATAAATTACTTAAATGTTGAATGATTAAATGCCCCTAAAAAGTATGGTAGAGTAATTCCAAGAAGGGAACATGGGACCCTTAATTCACAAATTTAATTTTGGACAACACCCTCACTGTATGAAGAAAAGATAAAAATTTCCTTCTTCCATTTGGTCATAACATTGGCGGATAGTCTATACTTATTTGATGCTACACGATCATCTTGTCATTTCTCAGGTTACAAATGAAAAGGTTAAAGCTCTAATGGAGATAGCTCAGCTGAAACAGGAACTGTATACACTGCAGGAGTATGCATCTTTCTGAACTGTATATCTGGTCTCCTTTTTGCACTGTAATTTAGATGTCTCCTTTTTGCACTGTGATTTAGATGTCTCCTTTTTGCACTGTGATTTAGATGTCGTGCTACAATATGTTATCAAGATTTCTATAATGATTGAATGGTTCATTTGGTCGTGCAAGGATCAAACTGGAATCGGGTCGTAGTACCTGTTTTTTTCTTTTTGGCTGTTGTAGGATACTAGGATATTCCACACCGTTACTGGTATATCAAAAATTGAACATTCGAATAGGAGTGCCTACATCTATTAGTGATTATTTCATTTAGCAACAGTATTGGAATTGAAGCCTGGCTAATGTTCTAATCACTATGTAAGATATTGCAGCTTTTGCTCATTGGGTACTTTCAGTTACGAATCTCTGTCAGTCGGGCATATATTTGATTCTTTGATGAATTCCTTCCATCCCTATATTTGATTCTATCCACGTTACAATTTGGTGAAACTGTTGTTTGTTTATCATTAATGACAAATTTTAAGGGTACCTTTTAGTTGCTGTCCTTTCTGTTTTCTTTACCCTATCTTGTATTCATTACTATTTCATTGCCATGTTTGTAAGATCTGCAAATTTTTTCAGAAAGATCAACAAGGACAGAACAGTACATAATTTATCCGAGACTGTAGACCAAAAAACGGTGCAGCAGGAAAGAGACGGGAAAATAAGAAATCTACTGAAGCGAACTTACTTGACGCGCTGGGTTGGAGCTTCAGATGGAAACAACTCCGAATCATATGACAAGCCTAATCATCAAATGGACTACGCCAAGTATGCTTATTAACTTTTCCATGAATTAATTGTTTCGATTATTCTCACTCGACTCCATTGCAGGATGAAGCTCGAAAATGCAACCCTTAAGGAGAGCCTCGAAAGCATGGACCATCTGCTTTCTTCCATCCGTAGACTCCGCGTTTCTCTTCTAAAGGTAATCGCTCTTGTTTACGCTATAGCCATGGATGATTTGTCTATCACTCCATATCGTCAAGACCTCAAAATAAATATGCATTTGCAGGTCAGAGAATCAGCAGAGCAGACGAGCGAAAACAGCCTCTGTTTCGATGCTATTGATCAGATCATGACAGAAGCTGACCTGGTGAAGACTGCCCTTAGCACCTCTCTGTCCGTCGCCTGGTCGGGCACGATACATGAAACGTCCGGCGTCGCTCATGACGCCGCACGCGACAAATTCGACGTGGTCTCAGCCGCCGGATTGGAGATGGTGGAGCTGCTGATGTTCGCTGCACATGTCCTGAAGGAGCTGATTTCCGGAAAGAACTAAAAGAAGATGTCTGAAACATTACATTATTATGATGACACAGAAACTAGTGTTTTGATTATTTTTGTTTTAATGCAATTTCCACTCTTTCATGTAAAAATTGGATAATTTATTCACGAACAATATTCATCTAATTCACTCTTTGTGATAAAAATAGAATAGCTGCGGATTCCACGAGATTACAAAAAAAAGTTGTAGACATGTTTGTGTACTTAATGGTTTTATTATTATTGTATTAATTATATCATAGGGTTATGTTTAAATTTTAATCAAATAATGTTAGAAATATTTTTAAAAATTAGGTGTAATATATAGGATAGAGATAATCCATGTTTAATGTTGTATATATCTTTAAATTAAATGGAAAAAAAAATTGCAAAGGGAGTCTTAGTTATGTTTTGAAGTATTTATTGTTAACGAGATTGGGATTGTACCCAATTGTGATTTTCGCATCTTTAGGTCCAATTTTGCAAAATGATAACTAATACCAGGAGGGACTAAAGCGTAAATATCAATCGTATATATTTTTGGCGCGTTTCGTCAATCATCCCATTTAGGTCGAACTTCCCTCACTGTTTTTCCTCGTCAAAGTTTGTAATTGGAAGCGCAAATTTGAATCCTCGGCGTGCGATCCTGTAGGAAAACTCAGGAATTGAAGAAGTCATTGAAGGGAGGAATGGAGGAGGGTGAGAGTTCGAAATCGAATTCCGGAAACGATTCGGCTCGACCATGGGAGTCATACAACACTGTTTATACGACTGCGAAAGCAGGTAGGGCTTGGAGTTCATCGTCAAGTCTTGTTAAAATTCACTCTGTTGATGTGTGTTGTAGCTTTTTAAAAAATTTAGTTTGTTATCGTTTGGTTGATTGGTGGGGTTTTATTCGTTATCAGGGATGGAAGGGGTGGACAAAGAAAAAGTGCAAAGGGTAGTGTACGAGATGAGCAAAGGGTCCAAATATTTTGAAAACGAGGAAAGAAAAGAAGCTTACATGAAGCGGAAAATCGAGAGTATGCGAGAGCAGCTTGCCAAGCTTACTCCCTACGATATTTCTAATTATCAAAAGGTATAAGTCAGTATCAGTGAAGCAGACCAGGATATATAGTTAAATATATACATGTATATGTGTGTGTGTGTTGGTTTATATGAAGCTTACTCCCTTCGGGCATAAGATTTCAGCCCTGACTTTACTGTTCAAACTTTTTTTTTTTCTCCAAACACATCAAATCAAACGCTCAATTTTTATTTATTTTATTACACTAAAATCTAATTTTACATTCAAAACACCACATCAACGCATATTTATATCACAATCCAACAACTATTTCAATTCAAAATTTTTCTGTTCAAAATCAAAACTCAAAACTAAAAAGGTATACACACCCACTGACATAGGATTAAATGCATTCGAGGATTCATTGTGAGGTTGGATTTTTTATGAATTAGATGTTGCAATCGTGTTTTTATTTACTTTCTATATTGTCAGTTTGATCATGCTTATTTGCGTTTGCAATAAGTTGGTAAATGATTCAGGCAATCTTGCTTGTTATGCACATATATAGCGTCTAAGGGTAGTTGAACAACATTTGCAGGTTGCCAACAGAAGGATTGCTGAATTAGAAGCTACACGTGATCTATCAAGGACTTGGTTACATGTGGATATGGATGCCTTCTATGCAGCTGTTGAAACGCTGTGTAATCCCTCTCTCAAAGGCAAACCAATGGCTGTTGGTGGTATGTCTATGATATCGACAGCTAATTATGAGGTCAGCTTGTAGACGTTTCTTGTCGAGCTTTTATCTTGGCTTGGCTAGGCTAAGCTAGGCTGATTTTCTTGGAGAGATGCGTTTATGTCCCATCTAGTTTGTTAATTTATTTTATGAGACCTAAATAATTTATGTAGGCACGGAAATTTGGGGTTCGAGCTGCCATGCCTGGATTTATTGGACGTAAATTGTGTCCACAACTGATATTTGTTCCACCAGACTTCACAAAATACACTCACTATAGTGATCTAACAAGGAAAGGTAGCTACTTATGTTTTCTTTTGGGATTTTCCCTATATGGAATATGCCATAATCTCATGATCAGCTGATTTTATTTTAGTATTCCAGAAATATGATGCCAATTTCTTGGCTGGAAGTTTGGATGAGGCATACCTCGACATAACAAACTTTTGTCATGTCAATGGAATGACTGGTGGTGAAGTATGTTTTTTACTCTTTTGCATTGCTGCACCTAACCACCCCCCCTCTCCTCTTCACACACACGCACATACACACACATGTGTTTTCTAATCTTGGAAATGACAATTTTCATACACTCAGGTGGCTGAAGAGCTCAGAGAAAGTGTTCACACGGAAACTGGACTCACTTGTAGTGCTGGGGTAGCCCCAAATCGGTTACTTGCTAAGGTGTTTTTCACTTTTTTTTTTTCCATGTGTTTCTCTTTAACACAACCTCCATATGACTCTGACTGTGATTTGAATATTACCTTTTCATGTCTTTGTCTTGTCATTTTCAACAGATTTGTTCAGACATCAACAAGCCAAATGGTCAATTTGTGTTACCAAATGAGCGTACAGCTATTATGACATTTATATCTTCACTGCCCATAAGGAAGGTACTCAGCTACTTATTGGTGTGTTTATGGTGCACTTTAATTTTGTTGGACAGTCATTTGTTCCAAATACATCATCCTTATTTTGGAAGGTACCATTTATAGATTGGAGGCATTGGTAAGGTGACTGAAAATATTTTAAAGGGAGCTTTTGGTATTACGACATGTGAGGAGATGCTACAGAAAAGTGGTTCCATCTATGCGCTATTCTCTCACTCATCTGCAGGTTTGTGGTACAGTGTGGGTAATCTCTTTCTATTATTTTGTTCAGTATATTAGTAGCATTTGCAAGGCTTCTTGAGCTGCTCATCTTGGAAGCTATGACAATTTGTTTGGATTGAAGTGAACTAGTTTTTATATAAAGCAATCAATATTGGATATATCATTTGCCCATTTGCTTTTTTGCAGAATTTTTCTTATCAGTTGCTTTGGGACTTGGGAGGACAGATACACCTGAAAAAAGCCAGAGAAAAAGTATGAGCAATGAGAGAACCTTTTCACCTACAGAAGATGAGACAGTGCTTTTCCAGAAATTAGGTAATGGACAAATGGTCACTAAATTTACTTTCTGCATGAATTGTCAAGTGTAATCTAACCTATGGTGGTGATAGTGAGGGATGGAAAGAGACTTGTTCCGATACTGAACTGTTTGGCACTTACTTTGCTTCAGTTGACTTATGCTTATAATTGGCCCTTCAATACTTGTTACTGGGTGATTCTGAATTCAATATGTTGCTTCTAATTCATATATGTTAACTTTCATAGTTCTCAATATGTATTAGGTTGAGGGCTTCTGATATCTTATAGTATCAAGGGGTTTGTTTGGTTGTAGGTTTATCACTATTCATCTCTTTTTTTCCGAACCCAAACCCAACATCCTATCCTACTAAGGAGTAAAGACAACATTTACATATATATGTATATACATGGGGTGTTTGGCAATCTTAGTTACAGGTGTTCATGTTCTATGGTATTTCACGTGGACACATTTGAATGTATTATTGATCTACTCCACATTTGTTTGTAGTGGAGCTTTCTGAAAATCTTTCCTCGGACTTGAAGAAGGAGGATCTTTGTGGAAGAACATTGACTCTGAAATTAAAAACGTCATGTTTTGAGGTAATCACTGCCATTTCCAGCATATTATATTATCTTCTAGAAATTGTATTTATGCATTTTTCTGCATGTTTTCTTTCTTTGTTCAATCTCTCTGTCAATGAAGTTATGGAACTGCCACTATTAATGCCCATTTTTATTTTTGTTTACCAATTTCACTGGTGAGTTGCTTTCTCTGTATATTTGTTAACTGTAATAGGCAAGTGAAAACTTTGCAAAGCTTGATTTCCCTGCCTGTATTGGTACATGAACATGAGATTTACAGTGTTTACTCTAAGAGTTCTGTTCACATCTTTCTGATCACATCAATCTTAATTTCTATCAATTGCATTTATTGACTAAATTGATTATCATTGGAGTACACTGAAATCCAGGTTCGAAGTCGGGCTGTCACTCTGCCAAACTATATTAGCTCAAGTGACGATATTTTGAAGCATGCCAAGAAGCTTCTTAAGGCTGAGCTCCCAGTATCTCTAAGACTGATGGGTAGGACAATGATACATTTCGTTTTGTTCTTCGATCTGTTCATGTACAACAATTACATTCCGTAACATGTTCTAGCACAGATTTGATGGCGGATATATGATTTGTATATCTAGGACTGCGAATGTCACAATTTAACGATGGCCGAGGTGCTATACATGACCCTAAGCAAAAAACACTTGCTAACTTCATTGTCTCTGAGGATCCTCCAAAAGTGCTTGGAGATCAAGCTTTATCAGTGTCACATAGCAACAATGACTCTTTAAATAACGACAGAGTGACTAGTTGCTTTAGCGATGCACAATGGCCATGTGAACCTGACATCCTCAATACCAGCTTCAATCTCATCAGCGCAACAAATGGTGACATTGATACCGAACTTAAGGGAAGTTCAGGTATCCATGTTGACAGGTTCCATGACAATGTAAGAATTATCTATCTTAACATATCCTATTATCTTCTTACCACCAAATATTATTTATTTCACCCCCTGTTCTGATTCTCTTGAACCCTATTAGGTTGATCAATCAGTGGAAAGAGATCCATCTTCTGAACTGGCTGAGCAAAGCAAACAGGGTCATGATCAAAATGCGACCAGCTGCATCGATGATGGGCCAGGCAGTTCATCAAGTCCAAAAGAACCCATAATCGAATGGTTGAATGGCTACCAATGCTCGGCATGTGGGATTGAACTGCCTCCTTCCTTTGTCGAGGAAAGACAAGAACACCTGGATTTTCATCTTGCTGAGAGGCTACAGGATGAGGAGCGTTGCAACGTCAACAGAAATGTCAAATCTAGACAAAGGTGATTAGATATCCATTTTTTCATTTCCTTTCCATTATCCCATATCGAATCCGACTCGACTCACATCCATCTGTAATTTTGATAGGTCCATTAGAAAGGATCAAATTAGCCACGGCCACCAGAAAAAGAAGCAGAAACTATCCCCTTCAGCAGGTAAGCACATTCCTATCGACACATTCTTCACAAAAACCAGTCAAAATTTTTGATGGAAAGACACACAATTTGTATATTTATGTCTTTCCATAAACACCACTCCATTCTGTGTTATCTTGCAAGGCTTGTTAATTTTACATGTTATGGTTTCCTATTTGAGTATGAAAATAGTTGTAAATTTTTAGTTTTAAATTGGTTAATGTTTGTTATATTTTGTGCTTACTTGAAGGAGGAAAAAGAAATGTTCAATAAAGGTTTGTTGAATATGTTAATATGATTTATTATTAAATAGTCATTATTTATTTATTTATTTATTTTTGTGATAATTTGGAAATCCGCAGGCCTAAATTTCTGCCAAACTTATTAAATCTCGGCAGAAATAGGCCTTATATTTATTGGGATGCTGGATTATTTTAAAAAAAAAGCTAGTATGTTATCCATGAGTAATTAGTTGTAGTATTAAGAATTGAAGCTGTCCAGGACTGGTGGTGTAGGGTTAACATGTGGGTTTTCTACGTTATATAAAGAAACAAAAGAATTGGAGCTTTTAAAGATGGTGTTTGTTTGTTTGTAAGATTTTAATTATTGATTAACTTTTTTTTAAAAAGATATAATTTTTAATTTTATTTTATAGTAAAAATTCATTTTATACTTATATCAATATTTATTTTTATTGTTAATAAAATTTAAAATTTAAATCCCTAAATAAAAATACCCAAAACATAATTATAAAAAGTTAGGAAATAATTATATACTGCATATCCGTCAAACTTACAAATGGTTTGTGGTGTGGCCTTTCTTTAAAAAATGAAAGAAAGAAATAAATAAATAACAATAGCCAGCCATCCCTATTTCTCAGCCCAAATGAAATAAAGTACTGATTGGGCTGCTTCTGGAATAAGCCCATGAGCCTTGAAGGGTTTTTTTGGCGCCAATTTGATTTTGGCAGAAATCTTGGCGGGAAAGTACCGAATATAATGAATGAAGTAGTTTGCCCGCCGCTATGGCACTGCACTGGCGATGGCGACGGCGACGTTGACCTTTTGGTAGCGTGGAGGAAGCATGGCTGGGACTGTAGTGCACCATACAGGGGATACTGATAATGGCTGGGAGACTGATATGCGAATCGCTTTCGAGGTTAGGGTTGGAGCTGTGCCCCGATTTCGCCTTTGTTAACATTTTTGGTGCCTGCTTTTGGTATGTTTGCAAGTTTCTTTTCCTGCGTTTCATTTTTATGGTTTTAAACATGGAATATTGTTGCGACTAATTAGTTTTTTTTTTCTTCCGTATTCGGTAAGCTTGCCTGCGGTTAATGAGCGAAAGCTTCTTTGTCTGAGTGTATTGTGTGATGGAGATTAGCACGCTGATGCAAACACAATGGCTGTTTGGAAACAAGTGCTGGCGTGAGTCATGAAGAATTTGGAGCTTGTAATCATTATGAGAAAGGTAAATAACAAGTATTCATGGAGTATTAAAGTCGTTTCAGTTTTGCCATTTCACAGTATTTGATTAGGTTTGAAGCCATAAATATTGTTGTCTTTCCCGCAGTCTACACCGATCTGTACATTTAGCTGAAATAATTAAATTATGTTAGATTATAACGGAAGGAATTAGTGTTTCTTTGGCATCTTGTTCTCCTTCATGGCTTTGTAGCACGAATGCCATTTCAAAACATATGCATTGTGTTCATTCATAGGTTGAAGATTTAGGTGATGGTTGAATTAGTAGTTATATGGTATTTGTAATGTCAGTCTAATTCCTCGTGGCAATTGGGTTTAAATCAATTTGTTGGATATTATTGTCAGATCAGCGGGATGGGAAAATACACATTTTCTCTTGGAATTGAATGTGATGAGATTTAAGTGATGATGCAATAATTATTTTTCACAAATTTGTTCCTGGACAATCCATTGCCATGATGTCTTGATTAATCATCAAAGGTTTTGCTGTGCTAGTAGTATCATGTCATTAATTTGAGGTTAAGATGTCTGCACACGACGCTTATTGTATAATACTACTTCCCCTAAAAGTTTTACCGGTGCCTGCTGAACTACAAATGTTTCTGGTAATTGTAATAGCTTGTTTGAACTTCTATTAGAAAGCCATGAATGTGCATGTACATATATCTTAATAAGTTTGTTCACTTTCAAATATGAGTCTAACATGGAGTGACCATGATCACTTTCTCTTCTGTTTCTTGTTGTACAGTTAAGAAGCCACTAAAGTTAAGTCTATTTGGGCTGACTTATGGATCCGTGGCTGCTGAAGTGGGCATTCATAGGGCCACTATGTCAAATATAGGTTGATCAATGGTAAGTTTTCTTTTTGCTTGTAAATGTTACATTAAAGTTTTAATTCTCCAAGTTGAGATTATTAAGTTATCAGATAAGGGAGAGATAATCAAGGACTTAAAAAAACAAAAAAAAAATGAGCTACAATGTTTTGGAATATGAGTTATGCATTACAATTAGAGTTTTTCCACTCTTAAACTTTCTGAAGATACATTCTGCTCGTGCTATCCCACAGATCAGAGCTATAATGGCACAATATGTGCCACTACACAGCCAACTTGAAGGTGTGGATCACACAAGTGACCTTTCTTTCCTAGTTCGAACGGAAAAGGGGTACAGCTGATTGAATACAGCCTATTCTTGAAATAAACAACTCACACACACTCCCCTTCCAAAAAAGAGCAATACAACAATCACTACACCCACCCCAGAGTATACGCTTCAACAGGAATCGCACAAGGGTAGATTAGAAACCTCTGGTAAAATGCCCGCCCGTCACCCAGTGGATAAAGTACATTCACAATCGTGCTTAAAAATGGCACTCAATTATTGTATTCAAGGGTATGTGGTAGCTTGTGTGCCTGATCTTTCTTACATCATACTTCAAAATTATTTGTCGGGTGGCTGGTGAAAATAGGAATTGCCCCATTATCTTATAATATGCATGCACGTTCGAGTAGGATTATGTTTTGGCCCTTACAAGGGTTAGGTTGAAAGGCATTCATAATATCGACTGACAGATCATGCCCCCTGATTTAACTTAAATGCAACAGGTGCACATATTTTTTTCTTTATTCATCGTGATGGCGTGATGGCATGATTCTTGATGCAATGATAGTCAACATTGATCAGCTATGGCAGAAGTATATTCTCTGTTAGTAATTTAGTAAAGGCTGCTACTAGTTATCCCCGATTAAATGAAGTAAAAATGTGGTGTAAGATGATTTGTGGGAGCAATCTGGCATTCCTGTTTTTAATATTGCATGTGTTGGTAGTGATCATGGCTGTATCATTATTATTATCATTATTCATCCATTTTGTTGAACATCATCAAGTGTGCATAGATCTCAAGAAATTTTACTGACAAATGATAACAAATTGATCCTTTGAGTAAGAGTTGAAAAGCATGACAATTAAGGAAGGGATCCTTTTGTGATCATATTAGATAAATATGAACAAGTAGTAGTACATTTGCATGATCTGCTCACAGTTATTCTGTATTTGGCCATAAAGTTGCAGTACAATTTTGTGATCTGTTTGGTTAGATTCTTGGAATTTGCACTCTCAATTATCATATAATATTATCCATATGCCTGAGTCTGATGTGGGGTTGGTTTCTAAGGGTGGAGTGATCTTTGGTGATGATATTGATCACACATTTGGTCATTGCCAATTATAATATTGTGGATCCAAATCTGAACGAGTGTATTTTAAGGACATTACCAGACTGATTTATAATACCTGAGGAGAGGAGAGGAGAGGATTCAGTGGATCTATCATTAACTAGCTAACAGTAAGACATGTCCATGAATAATAATAATAATAAATGAAAGAAGCTCTTCTCCTATTGCATATTGGAACATGGATGGTGTCATGTAGTAGTACAGTTTGATCGGACACTTCATTATTTATTAATTAGATATTTATACAATTCCATGAACCCTCCTCCTCCTACACTGCCTGCTGCTCTCAAAATACAAAGAAAAACAGTTATTGATCAAGCTTTTGTTTAACTGATTAATTGATGAATGGTTCAAGGGATTTGTCCCTGTTGAAGAGGATATTGCCATTGCCATTTTATTCATTAAGAAACAAAAAAAAAAAAAAAAAAAGAATGGAGAAATAAATAGTAGTAGTGTTCCCAACTAAGGCATGATCATGATCATCATCATCTTTGATGAGGATAAATATTGGCTTTGGTCTGCAGTTGAATTCCGATGTGTATATTAGGAATTAGAATTAGATGAGGCCACCAATGTCCATTCCATTGTAGGCAATGGGAGCATACATCCACAACTCATCTGAGCTCAACATCTGTGCACAGTAATTACTCAACCCAATTAATTCCCAAACTAAATAATAATAAGATTGTCAAGAAAATGGAATTTACCTTGATCTGAAGCTGTAAGAACTTGACATACTGGACAGCTTCTTCAAGCATTGTGCTGATGTCGACCTGTGTAATTATAAATCAGAAGAGTGGCTTTCAGATTCCCATTTTTCATGATCATAAATTCAATTACTACTCTGCTGCTCACCTTAGTTCCATTTGGAACAAGATTCTGCAACACTCTCAGTCTTTCATTTATCCTTTCCCTTCTTTTCTGCAAGGTTTATTATATATATATGATGTTAACAAAATCATCATCTGTGAGTGAGATATGCGTATGTGTGAGTGAGAGAGACAGACAGAGAGAATTGGGAACTGGACTTGAGAACACTTCAAAATGAAACACACTTACTTACCCTTGCATAGAGGCTCTGGGGATCGGTTGCTGAACCTCTACTGGTTCGTGTTTTTCCACTCGAATTTGCCCCACAGTTCCCTATCATTCCTCCTTTCTTTTCACGCGAAGCATTTGAATGGTCTTCCGAAAAACAGCTGCTGCTTAACCGTTGCTTCTCATCACCACCATTAATATTATCCTTGGTGGTATCATGATCAACCTTACGCCGCTTCTCAACTTTCAAGTTTCGCTCATTCCTTTCAACCTGTTTTCACTTAAAATGATAAGAACAAAATTTATACATATATATATATATATATAAACAACATCATAATTTCACCACATGGCATCATTAAAATGCTAATCGATCAACTGACAAAAAAAAAACGAATTTACAATTACTTCTCCAGGGACCCTATATCTTTTCTTGGACTCGGAAGGGCTACTGAATTCATCTTCCTTCGGTCGTTCCGGAATGGACAATGCAACCTCCTTTCCGAGCTGCAACTTCTTCGCTAGGAGACAACTTCCAGACTCCTCGTTGGAGTGTGTGCTGTCGTTACTCACATCTTGGTTCAAGAAGCCATTTCCTATATGAATTTGGGAGCAGCTATTGCTCTTATTCTCCATCATACAATAATCCATCGCCATAAAAGTATTATTGTCAGATACAAAAACGTGATGAGAAGTGCTGGGGTAGAGAGTTTCAGTATTTGTGAAGGGGAAAACAATGCTATTCCCTCCACTGTAACAGCTTGCTTGTGATAAGGAATACAAGCTATTGCCATTAGTAGTATCATCTAATGAGTACATGGGGCATTCGTCAGCCCCAGAAGTTTTTGAGTGAGAAAATGTAGAAGAGACTGCAAAGATGGAAGTGCTCGGCACCTCACTAGGAATTGAATAGTTGCCGAGCAACTGTGCCATGAAATCAGTCTCTTCGGAGCACATTTCAGTCAAGGGATTCCACCCCGCTTCAAAAATTGCTTCTACTTGTTCCATAATCGGGTTTTGTTGATTTAGAAGCCTAAAGAGGAGGGTTTTCTGATCTGATCTCAACAGTCTAATGGAAGCTCTCTCTACCTTATGAATATGTTTAAGGTATTTATAACCCCGTACCTTAGCTGTAATGAGCAACAGTTGTCATTGATTGACAAATGGCAAGCCATTTGTGCGGAGAAAGCATATTCTACTTGTATAACCAATAGTTTAAAGGGAATGGATTGGATCCGAATCCTGAACTAAAGTTAAAAATGCGCGACATGGGACCCATACAATTCATAGATGAGTAGTACATACAACAATGGGGGAGATATATGCAACCTTTCAAAGCCTTAAAAAACCACATTATCTACGAGAGAAATCGCTATCATTCTAACAAGGTGACACGACGAGGATTCCAATCATTCGATGAAAAATATGAAGTGTATATACATTTAACCAGAAATGATGATTAGAGATCATCACATTTAGGAAGGTGGACAAGGAATGGCACCTGACAGTTGACAGAACATGGGGGTTCATTTTCATAAAAAGATTGGACATTGTGATAAATTAATCATATGTTATGACATCATCCACAGGAAGGTCGTGGAGGTGAATCAAACATAGAATATTGTTATAATTTATCTCAAACAACTCAGCTTATAAAATCTCTACCAACTTGGTTTGTCCCCAATGCACTTCTGCATATAGAAATAGGGCATGTATGGAATATATCAACTTAAATAGTTCTGAAGACACGGTCAGATGAATTGAAAAAGCAAAAAATAACATACGATTTCATGGATTAGGATATGCATCAACCATGTCCCCACCATGTATTACAGCACGACTGGTGAATCATGTTGCACAGGATATATCTAAACATTAAAATTAACTCATTCACATATAGCGGCATTACAAATAAACATATAGCATTTGAGACGCATAATATTAAGTTTAATATGGTGAAATTTCAGGGTTTAATCATGATGAAAAGTTCTTGCACAAGTCCTATAGTTTTCAAACAGTTTTTCTAACATAGCAAAATCCCATAAATAAAGGCTATATACAATGGTTATAAGTAATACTAATATCAAATAAAGGCTATATGCAATGGTTATAAGTAATACTGATATCTGAGGGTGCGTGTACTAAATGAGATTAAAGGGGATTATTTTAATCCTGATATAATCCCTAATAATCACCCAAAGTATAAAAAGCCTGAGAGTATAACTTCTACCAGGTTCAAACCAGAATAAATTTGTTTTACATGCTTGATAAGATTTCTGCAGCAGTGGAAGAGTATCATGAAATATAAGGACAATGAGAAAACCCATGGCTATCTGTAATTGATCTAGCAAAATCTAAATCTAAATCAATGTTTATGTGAGGGGGGAACAACAAAGATAGAGAAGACACGTTACATTGAAAAGATATGAAGCCAGAGGGGCAATAGTTGAAGTACTATTTTTGATGACCATAGTACACAGAAACATGTATCAGTAGATTATTAAATTGGAATAATAAATGCCATTATTGGATTATACGTCTAGATACAGAATCAAGCCTAAGAATCTAATAAAAAAATATGGTTAAATCCTTTTAAATATGCCACAAAGAGACATTACAGTGCATGTTGTTACAGATAGCATGATGTGGACAAGTTATATACATATATATTAAGAATCAACATGATTATCCAGATATTAACATCAGTGATTACTGAGTTATGGTGTGTTCTTCTGCAAGTAAACAAAGTTTCCACCAACCACATACTGCTACTCCATAATTTGTCGCCAAGGTAAGGTGGAAACACAATAATTAGTTCTTAATAGGATACAACTTTCCCAAAAGCTTAGCTTTTAGAAAAAAAAATGCAATAGATTAAACAATCAGAAGGCAAGCAAGCAGATATCTTTTGATAAATCACTTCTATATACAACTGAAAGAATGTTAACCATGTATATGGTAGTTTGTTGATGAAATCACGCTTTCCCTTGGTGTTCCAAATCTATCCATTATTTACATCTTTATAGAGGATATTATAATTAGTATTATTCATGGTAGTTAAAAAATAAGAATAAAAGTATAAAAAAAATAATGTATTAGAATACAGTGTGTTTGTTTTGTGAAATGGTGTAAAGAGATATTTTTTATGTAAGGTATAGAGAATTATATAGGTATATAAAAATAACGAATGTATGTAATATATTATTTCTTTTTTTGGAGAACGTGTGTTTTTTTGCAAAAAGAACACACTCAAATGTTAGAAATATGTAAATAATAGAAGTTATATAACCTCACTAAGATACAGCTGTAGCAATGTTCTTCAAATTCTAAATAATAGTAAGCATGATTATGTTTAGTTTAGAACTGATCATTGCTGTGAGCTGTGACAAATATAATATGTTTATAGAAAAACAATTTTACTAAAATGATTTTTTTTGTTTTTTCAAGAGAACATTGAACCAGCTACTGTCCTTCGTCGCATTCCTAGTAAATAAAGTGAAGCAAGTAAACAGCATTGTGTGCTAAATCCCAGTGAAAACATAAAAATATCACCAGGCTTTCGATAAATTAGTGAATACATTTACTTTTTCATTTTTCTATTTGATTTAGAATTATACATGCTCAATTGATCTTGATTAAGTGTGTTTGATTGGGGGTTTGGATGTGAAGGAGACTCTCTAGAATTGGGCAGCAGCTTGGCTTGATTGCAACTCGCCTGGATTTTGCAAGAATGTTGATAGTGTCCAACTTGCCCAAAATCACGTCTTTGATGAGTTTAGCTGGAAGTAAAAGTTGCTGGAATTATTGTCCCCACTCCAATGAACAAAGGACAACACACTTGAATTAGAGAAGCTTGAATAGGACACTAACTTTCTTGAATCATCCCATGAACCTCACTTAAAGCCAGTCTCCAACTTGTGTGAAAGACACTCACTGCAGGGTGATCATTACACTCCTAGTCGCAACACCATCATTACAATCAATCTTGCCTGCTACGACCAAGATCCCCCTTAGCCTACACTTATGACTACATAATTAGTGGGAATCAATTGTTGCTTATTTTTTCCTTTTCCATTTTTGGATAATTAGATTTAATAATTGGCTTAGCCACTATGACTGTTCTTAAATTCTTTACAGATTTATCTGAATTTTCTCTTGCATCAAGTGATTCCAAAAACGAATCCATACATTTAAATTGGATGATTGATTCATTACGGGCTTTCAACTCAAATTCCATGTTCAAGTGATTTTGCAGGTCCTCACCTCTCAATCGATGCTAGGATATTCATTGTTTCAGTTTAGTGATCTTACATTGCATAAGCCTTATTCTTACTTAGGGTCTCTTTGGTTGAACTCTTGAGATAAAAAATTCCAATTCCACTAATATATTTTATCTATCACTTCGACGTTAATTCCATTTTCATATTCCTATGTTTCCACACAACGAGCAGTTACACAAGACATGAGTTTTCATGGGATCCTTCATTATTGCACCAAACTGTCCAAACAGTTATGGGTATCCATCTCGAAGTGTAATATAAACTATTCCAACATGTTATCCCCAGTTCACACTTGAAAAAGATGGCATCTCACCAACTGTTGACCTGGGGTAAAACAACTTAGCACAGCAGTTCAGAGAATCAAGCTGTGTTCTATCCAAGTCATCCATGACACTAGAGTAATAACATTCTCCCAAAACACTTCAATTAACAAGAAGTAATGTTTGCCCTCCAACAAAGGATTTTTCTCAAAGTCCAATCTTCAAAACTCAAACATAATCGCCTATATTCACCCTAGAGTTATCCTTTAATCAAAGTGCTTCAGTGTGTGCTACTCGGGTCTTTTATTTTATAGTATACTAACCATTCAACACTGTGCTGACAATACATCTAATATGAACGGCATCACATAATTCATAAGTTGCATATGATTTATATTAATATAATATAGAATAATAAATAAACTAAAAGTACATGACATAAGTCAACAGGATATCGTCTATATTAATCTAATACAAATACAATGATGCACTAATAGCATAGTCTACACAGCACAAACTACTATTGATCTCATCAACATACTTATAAGTATCAACTGATCATGTGATGGTTTTTTCTTTTCTTGATTTCTTCTTTTATTTTTTTCCTATCAAGATAGAGCATTCTAAATTATGTGCTGGCTTTCTATCTTTCTTAATCAGCTAATTCGTCCGAAATTTAAAATTTGCTACACTCCTAACGTTACATGTCTCTCTAAGTCAGTCTGTCGTTGCCATTGCTAGCAATGCAGGAAGCATTGATCTACTTAGGCAGCAGCAATTACTTTTAAATACGAAAAATAGAAATATCTTTTTGTCCCAAGGCATTGACTGATAATAAGAGACAATTGCATGAATATAATAAGCATCGGAACTCAATCCCAATGAATACACAAAGAGACATATTGCATATCTAAATAAAGCGCCCTTCGCTTGCACCGAAAGGCGAATGTGGAGAATCGTTTGGAAACGTGAAAACTGAATTAAAAAATAATCAAGCTCGCAGTTCTCTAGTATAGTAGTATATGAAAAATGAATTGAATATTAATGGAGGCATATAGAATAACCAATTGAATATTCATGGAGGCAGATACATAGATGATACCTTGACGAGTCAATAATGTCGCTTCCCAACAATCCGGCGAACTTCGCGCTTCCAATCACCGTTCCTTCCTCTCTTAGGTAAATTCCAATTTTCCACCGAGCAAATCGGAATCTATAAATTTCTAAAACTCAAAACCAGCGCAATTTCATGGTTCATATAAAAGCATTGTTGATTAACAAACAAACAATTGAACAAACTTCCGTTCATTACCTCTAGAATTCCAAAAAACTAATCCAAAACCCTAGAAATCGAAACATCCGTAAATGAGTAAATTCCATGGATAGATTTCACAGAGCAGAAGCATAATTAATACGTTTACTTTTAATTAATCTAAGAAATGAACGCGTCTGATCAGCATGAGTATCATTTATTTATTTATCGGGCACACGCTTGTAAGATGAATAAATAATTATTTATTAAAATGATCATGAATACCACTATCATCATCACCAACCAGTTCATAATAATAATAATATTATTATTATTAATTAATATTATAATTAACAATAATGCGGAGGCAACCGTGTCTGCCTCAAATCAAATCAAACAAACAATTCTTTATTTTAATATATATTTGGAAGAATTTTTTAATAATTAAATAAACTGAGGAATGAGATATTATTAAATCTCAATCTGAGAAGCAGTTAAAAAATAAAATACTTGTAAACCAATCATCAGGTTGTATTGTGTAATAGAGTATATAGTCAAAGAGTCTAGTCTCATCTAATAGTGCAGTCACACATGTGCTTCTAAACATTTCTAAAAAAATAAATAAAATTTTATTAACTATAGACATAAATTACACTACTCACACACGCTTTAATAAAGATTGATAGTAGTAAATCTAAATCTAAATCAAAATAAAAGATAAATAAACAATAATTTTGTTCATATAAACCAAACACACCCTGAATCATCAACACAAAGGTCATAAAATCACATTGAAAACCAGAATAGAATCCTGAAAACTCAAAACAAATTGAAAGTGTAAGTACGTATGTGTGTGTATATATATATAGATATAGATATGTATGTATGTATGTATGTATAGCAGCAACTCAATTCAACCAGGCTTTGATTTGAAATCCACAGCAAAAGGAAATAAAACAGGTTTGAAGCAAGGCTATTTTTTATGATGAGGAGTCTTGTCACCATTGCTGGTGTTTCGAATTTCACTCTCTACTCACAGAAACAAAACACAGACGATGATGATCAGCACTTGAGTTTTACAGCAATGCTCAGATTTGATTTCCTTCCCTCAGTCACGAAACGAATAATTCCCATGTCTCATAGCCAACAGGATTTCGGTGGAATGCCATTTACCGGGATGATGAAAAATTGTGACATTTTTCGTTACTGAATTGGCTCTTCATTCGTCATCTCTTGACTGAGCTCGCGTTGCGAAATTCTGTAATACAAAATGCCCATTGTCGCCATGCAAGCCCTGTGAAATTAGAAAATATAAGTGCGGCTAATGAGGAACAGTTAGCGTCAATAGAGCATTAGTTTGAGAAGGAGAAAGGTCTCTTACATAATAGCTATAACTAGGAGGAGTTTCCTCGGATCCATTCTTGAAGATTTGTGGGGCCTTGAACGACCTTCTGAGGCATCATCTGCATGGGATGCTTCTTTTCGTGGTGGTGCAGTCACTGGCAGAGTTGGCAACGAACTAGACCAGAATGGCAGCAGTGATCTGAGGACCTTATGGCGAAATGTACCTACAAATCCGAGTCTAGATCAATTCATGTCGAGCTATTTAAGACATCTCACATGAAGGACCAAAAAAACTCTTTCTATCATAGGAGCCAGTTGGATGATCATAAATGTTTAATAAAGTGACTAAAAGGCACATGATAATAGGTGTTGCACTTCCATGTATAGATTCGGGCCTATTAATGGTTACACAAGTTTGAGAGGCAAACGCTGCAAAACATTGTAGGATTGAATTGAATTGAGTTTCATACACAAATTATACAATCTAAAGCAGCCATCGAATTAAACAATATGCCCAGCCACTCCTCACATTCAAGCCTTCATAATAGCACAAGGATGTAAATGCAACTCACAAGTGTATATAAGTTTAATAATATGGCTAATCCTATGAAATGCAGGTCAAAATTATTTTTTTTTAAAAGAAAGAATACAGATAATTCGTTGATTAGTAAAATAGGGGTAGTTAGAAACATTCATATTCCCCAGCATCATTTTAGCATATACATATATCTTTAGCTATCCCGCCTTCTTTTTTTTTAAAAAAAAAAACAAATAAATCAGTTTGTGCTTCTTAGGTTACAAAATTATTTTTTTGCTGGGTGAATTTCTTAATTGATTGCAGCACCTCCATAGGATTGCATCTAAATGTGCCAAATGAAACTGTCTTATTTAGAAATGTATCTTAGCCATTTATAGCAAGCTTCCACAACTATTATATGAAAATGTGATATCCTTACATATGTCCTATATCACATCTTGCCCTATCTAAAACCATTCCACTATGTCTAACTCAAGCAATGACGACAAAGAATGCAGGTGCTTTTACTTCATTGCAAAAACCAATACCAAGCCAACACACCACCAAAATATGAGAGGCAAAGATTGAATTAATGGCTGGGCATGGACTTGAATTAATGGCTGCAAAGGTAACACAATTTAAAGAATACATGAAATTTCACCTCTTCTTGAGTACTTTTTCTTGTTTCCATCCTCATCATCGGCATAATAAGAGATTTCAGAGTTCTGTCTTTCAACTTGTAATGCACTCTTCCGCGTGGTGGCACCAGGCTAGCATAAACAAATGTTTGGACAAACACAAAGCAAATATTCAGAATATAGCACACAGGGAAAATTATAAATAAATAAAAGGGCAAGGTAATGCCAAGACAATAATGAATCGCAAGAATCTTACAGCAGTTGGACTTGTACTTTTCATGAAATTGGTCTCTTGATTGGGTAAAGATGCTGTGGCAGAACTAGGTCGATCGATCTCAACTATATCCAGACTTGCTGGCCTTGCAGAGCCTGTTGCACTATTGGTTGAATTTCCAACAGAAGAATGAATTAGTGGCTCTGATGAAAATGCAGGCGGAGGGCTTCGAGGCTCTATTCCAAAAGAAACGGGATGATTCCCAAACAAATTCTTCTCCAAACCCGTCTGTAGAAAACGATTAATATTCAAAAGTAAGACCAACCACCAACACTAAAAACCAATTCCACGCCCAAACTCATTATACAGGCCACTATAGATAAAGCAAAAGGTTGAAGTTATAATAATCTAATGCAGTCACAGCTACGCTTACCTGAAAAATAAGTAAGCATTAATGATAGCTACAAATACATGAAGGATCGAAAGGCTGGAACATGTATTCCAAGCAATGAAAGAGAAAGGCTTGATAAGGTGCATGGCACATATGTAACATTACTGCAAATAAGAATCTTAGTATTGCCAAGTAAAATTGGAAATGTCATAGGAATATCTTCTTCATTAATTGTGAAAGGTTATCATTTCTAATGAGGTAAATATCCTCTAGAGACTAGAATTGACAACTTTCTGACTCGTAAGGATATTGATGATTTCCAAAGATATTTTTTATAATAAGAACAGATGCAGTATAATCCAGTCTCAAAAACAGCCAGAAGCCACATAAACACGAATTCATTGACTTCTGAAAAACAAATATAAGTTCTAAGTAGTATAGATGGAACAATATAATACAAACAAGGTATATGGGTTGTTAGAAATGTGTATTACCTCCATTATTACTTCTTTCAGCTTCGAATGAAGACGTGATCCAGAATCTTTGACACTTTTTGGAGGCCATATCTGTATCATTTCAAGCACTACTCACGCACAAAATAGAAACCAGTGGAACAAGCTACTGTGCAACCATGAAATTGCAGAAAAATTATTAATCAGAGATTTTGAGCTCAGGGTTTACTTGGACATCAGAGGTAAATAACATATTATGTAAGTAAAGTCTCAGCAAGATTTTCAATTTATATACTTGTGTGCTGCAAGATAGCGAAGCATACAACCATTATTATGTAGATGTAGATGGTGAAGACTATCAGCGGTTAGTAAGGACAAACACTATCACATTCGTGTGTGAAGTAATGAGGTCACAGAAGCATGAATGCGCATGATAGAGGATTTTAATTACAAAGAAACTTAAGCATCTGTTATTTTAAAATCAAACCACCCAAGAATTATTCCGCAAACACCATACATATTGGAATTGCAATTTTGATAAACTAACAAACCAGATCCATCAAATGACATAGTTTTGGCCTTTTAGGTAGCTATATGGCAAAACCTTCAATGGGCAATATTGAAAATGTGTGCAAAAAAATGATTGGTTGAAATGCGCTCTTGTGAAATTTTCTATTTAATAGTTTGAGATTTACAACAAAGATTAAGGCAAAAAAAAATTCAAAACCTACAATATAGATATCAACATATTCAACATCTTATTTGGAAATGTCCTTATACCACCATTTCACGAAACTAGTTAACTTCATCCCAATTGTGCTAACAGCTTGAGTCAGAAAAATCATTCTATTCCAGGATAAATTAAAATCCTCTGAGCACTGCACACAAAATATTTTGTATGAAGCCACTGGCCTCTTGTCTGAAAGTCGTTGGCATAATTGGTATAATAAATTGGGTCCTTTACAACCTTGAAGCAAAACTATACTAATCAAATGCAGAGAGCATACTTTTTAGTTTTAGACCACAAAAACAAATTGAAGTTACATGGAATCAGAACATACTGGAGTTGAACAAGTTGGACACATATAACCAGCTGGAGCAGTGTGTGGTGGAATACTTTTAATGTGTGAAATTAAACAGCTTGTATGTATAACATCTGCAAAACATACACACGTGTCAAAGGCACAAAAATAGGAAAGTAAAATCGATAAATATATACTTCCAATTTTAACATGAAGGATGGTTAATGTCGGGGATGCACGAGCAGCAAGACATACGCAAACAACCCAATCGTGTGGTTTGTGCGGGTGTTCCCTCTTCAAGAACAGCTTGACAATAGCAGCATTTAGGAGGCCAATCATACTCTCCATCAATTACCCACTCCGAATAAGTGCGTACCTAATTAGTCAGAAACATTGAAACCTTTCTGAGCATATATTGAACATAGATGTCCAAACAGTGGAAGCATAACCTTATCATTCATACCACGCAAATTTGGTGCTCTGGAAAGCATATACACTCCCCACAAACTGGCACCTTGTGGACGAAGCAATACAGTTTAGTCGCCTGCAACCCAAATGACAAGAGGTTAATTCATCAACCATCATCGCCGCATTTCCAACGTCTCCCACAAATTAAGAAATCGTACGACAGTCGAACAAGGAAATCGAACGAATACCTAACGCCATAACAAAAGGCGAAAACTAACATATTATCCACGTATATTCACCAAAATCCACACAACTGCTGATATACCAACGCTAACAGGAGAAACCAAGTTCGAAACTAAAAGATCTCTAAATCAAACGAATTGCAGTTTCCAAGCTCGATCTGATCTGAGCATTACCGAATTGCAGCGAAAATCGAAGATCAAAATCAAAAAAGAAATAAATTAAAATCCAAAATTCGCATCCAAAAGAATCTAATTACCTTACGGCACTTGCAGACCACCATTGCATTGGCTGGGTCGAACGGCTACGCTCCAGACGATCGAGATCGAACTATTCAAACCAAAAACAACACTCCCCAAACTCAAAACAGCCAAAATTATAGGGTTTAAACAGAGTTGAGCAGTGATTTATGAAATGAATGCAGTGATAGCAATCGCAGAAGAAAGTAGATTGAATTCAGAGAGAAATGTCAGATTTGCGAAGAGAAATTCAGTTCATAATTTTTACTTTCCGATTTGCATTTGTGGGAATAGCATTTTGCCGTGGAAGAGAGCTGTATCCTCTGCACGAGACCCCACCGTAAGCAGGACCAAATTGGGCTTTCACATCGACCAATCGGCCCACAACTTTTAACGTCAATTAGTCTTCTTACAAATTTACTACAGGCCCAATATAAAATACACACATATATATATTAAAGTTGCAATTTAATATAAAATTAGTAGTATTTAAATATGTAAGTCTGGGTGGTGTAGTTGGTTATCACGCTAGTCTCACACACTAGAGGTCCCCAGTTCGAACCTGGGCTCAGACATGTAATTTTTAATTTTTGGTCTGTAACATATGTTCCAAAAACCTCAAAATCAAACATATGTATTAAGCAGAACTGTTATTGGGTGTGAACTGTGAACAGATACAATTCTCATTCTAAGGCATGCCAGCAAACACAAAGAATGCGCATACTAATATGTATGTATTTATGTATAGGAAAACAATTATAGAATTGAACAAGAATGGCTGATGCTGTTAGAACATTACATCATCTATATATATATATATATATATATATACACACACACAACCACCAGTTATTCTGTGCTAGCCAAAGATGAGTTCTTGTAAGAACCGGGACCGTCGGAATGGAACGGGATCGAACTGGACAAGACAACCTCGACGGAAAATTGCGAAACCAGTAGCCTAAGACTAGTTAGTCATATATTCATTTGTTCGATCATTTGTTGTCCCGTTGTTATTGTACCTTCTTCTTCGCTACAAAAACATCGGTACCTTGTCAAAACATCGATCGCTTGGACAGCACATCTGGCCGTCGCAAAGGTCTCAAACTCGAACGGTCACTTTGGAGCATATGTGTTCTCAGACTGATGCCGTTAACCTGTAACAACGTTAGATAAAATAAAAAAGGTTAATCGAGGTTATCTCCGATCCGCAAGACGAGTCGAGTCTACCTGTAAGGCTGCGAGAAGCGATATGACGTCGGTGCATTGTTCCAGCCATGCTCGTTCTTCCGCGGTGACTTTTGCGAGCTCGTGAGCTGATTCGTTCACTTCCTCGACCTGAAAACGAGCAAATGTATTAACCCGAGACTCGGGGATTTAGATGTGGGTTTTTTATCGAGTTTTGGGAGTTACCTGCGGCAGAAGCAGATGTATCGACGACGCCGTCGCCTGCATGACGTCGACTGCCGAACCGATTGCATCTTGCAACGATTGGACGTTCGCCTGTTGAGTTTAAATTTAGAGTCGATCAGGCGAGCCGGGAGGTTTAATTGGCTTGCTTTTGGTGAAATATAGGCTGGTTTGCTTACGATTGCGCCTATGACGGGGAGGCGAAGTGTGCTGGCCTTCAAAGATTCGATGGCTCCGATTAGAGAAATCGAGTGCTGCTCGTCGAGCGACGCCCAATCTTCGAGAAAGCTAATCTACATTGGGAAGACGATAGATCTGTTCAATACAGTGATAATAATAAAGAGTCCATTTTTTAGAAAGAACAATCTTGCACGACACGACGATCGAAATTTGTTTACATGGCTTACCTCGCCTTTAAGAATGGCGGCGAGCTTCAGCTTCTGCCGCAGCAGCTGCAATCGATGCCTCTTTTTGGTGAGACAGTCGCGTAGATTCGAAATCGTTATCCACGCGTTCCAAAGATTCTTCTGCAAACACTCGACATTCTTATTTCACACGATATTTCAATCAACGCTATTCGAAAACACATAATGCATCACGGCACAATTCAATCGGATATAGTTCTCATACGATAGAATCAATCGTTCCAAAGCCGTTAACTTATCACATATAATCATCAAAAGTGTTAAAACGGCGATAGAAATGATCGATCCCAAACCATTCACATACGCTAGAAATAATCATCATTCCTAAGCTGTTCACATATCACATATAATCATCCAAAAATGTAAAGTCTCCGATAGAAATGATTGATCCAAAACCATTCACAATATCACGTATAATCGACAAATAAGTAATCGACAGTAAAACCATCTCACCTCCGCGCGCCGTTTCTGCACGAGCCGGAGTGCTTCGGTCCTAGCATTTACGAGCCGCCACTGCATCTGCCGGTTGTAGAGAAGCCTCAATACATGTGCGTCGACAATTTTATTCTCCCCTGCTTTCCTTCTCGGAGCATCAACTGAACATCGACCGGCAATTGGCGAATCACTAAAACTAGTACTTAGAGTACTACCGGAATTTCGATTCCGTGAAGGACTATTACTCCTCGCAGCCGGAGATGATCCCGGAGGCATAATGCCCTTGCTAGGCGACGCAGGTCTAATATACGGCCGGGGAGACGATATCAATTTCGGTGGCACAATTAGCTTAGAGGCAGGACTGGTTGACAACAACGGCGAGCCGGGATCCTGCAGCCTCCGCAGCCGCCGGTTCGTTTCTTGCCAAAACCGAGCTGAGACTATGATTCCATTTGGCCTGTTTTGCCCCGGCGACGACGACAACCGTCGTGATTCTTGGACGCCGGTAGTGCTGCCGGAGGATGCGCTGTCGGAATCGGATGCAGTGAGATCATACAGCCCTGATGCATAGTTGTGAACTGAATTCCGATCCTTCGGTAGCTCGGAGTCGCCTAAATCGAGACTCGGCCTCTGATTGCCGGCGATCATTGATCGCCGGAAGGAATGAATACCATTTGGGGATCCATTTACACTCGTAGACAGGGCATTCGCCGATCGGCTCCTCGCCGGCCAGCGATGCTGATGGTCAGGTTTAGAGTTTTCCGTATGATCGATTTTCCGGCGCGGCGGCGTGGCCGTGTTCTTAGCCGGCACCGGTTTAGACTTGCTAAAGGGCAGGGGAAAAGCTCCTCCTTGAAAGGAGACTGACAAGCTCCTGGTGGAGGCCACGAGGAGCTTCGTGGCGGCGGAAGAATCCGGTTTAGGATCAGGACCGGGCTGGGGGTGACGGGGACGGCTCCGGTCGACGGAGACGGACCGGTTCAGTGCGGCGGAGGCCGGGTTCGATGGTGCGGTGAAAGGGAACCTTCTAGAAGAGGAGGAGGAAGGGGAACGGGCGGCGGCCATGTATCTGGAAGATACGATTTTCGATTTGGGCTTTTTCAGATTGGCCGGAGAGTTGTAGTTGTTGTCCTTCTCCGACGGCAGCAACGGCGGCCGGGGATTTGAGGTTTTCGGGTTTTGTGAGTCGGCCGGCGCTGTCGAAGGCGCCGCGGCGGCCGCCACCATTTGGAATCGAGGAGCGGTCTACACGGCGGAGTTGGCCACTGGCATTTCGATAATTTGCAGATTTAGTCGGCAAGAAGTCACCATTGTAGACCTGCAAGAAAGATCAAGAAACGGTGATGGGTGATGATGACAAAAGGGAGAATCCTCATTGGGACAGATTGATTTTGTGTGATGTGTTGCAGCGGCGATGGGCTGAGAGACTGAAATCCGAGGAGAAACTTGTGATTCTTTCCGGCAGAATTGCGGGAGAGAGAGAAAGTGCGCCTGTGTATGTATACTAGAGAGAGAGAGAGAGAGAGGTGGAGGTTGAGATTTAGGGGCCAAGTCTAGCAGACATTAATCAATGATCAAATTGATATTAACTATTAAGTATGTATTCTTTATATGAAAGTAATTTATGGGATGGAAGGTTATAACTAAATGTTCTATTTTAGATTTAAATATATATATATATATGGAAGTATAGATGTTTATACTTCAAAAAAACAAAAAAAAAAACACTCTCTCAAATTTACATGTCCTTTTAAGTTTTTATTTGTATTTTTTTTACAAAATATCATAAAAAATAATTTTTTTTATTATTATTGTTTTGTTCAGTTGCTATTAGTAACAACACATGATGGTAAATGCTAAAAAACAAATATTGCCAGTGATAAAAGCAACATATAGTGAGACTATCAACTATTTAAAATGAAATAAATAAAGCAAAAGAAAAAAAGTGTAGTGCAGGGCAATGAATTTTATTGAAATGCGATGGTTAGAAGTCAATAAAGAAAAGGTGCAGTGTTGTCTTCACAGCTCTTTGTCCTTGTCAAGGTTTTAAAGTTACCACCATTGCAATATTGCTTCATTTACTCTCCACCTTGAGTTCTTTTGCAGGCAAGCACATTATTGATCAAAACCAATTTTTTTACACACACACACAAACACAAAAGGATTCTAAACTAATAGTTTTTACAACATAATTTTTGGTCTTTCCTAGAGTGTGCATAGTTTGTATCATTTTAGTACAGTGATCTGATCAGATAAATCTCTGCCTAACACTTGTCACCACAAAAGATTGAAGAATGTCTGATTTGTCTGATCTTTCTATGAACACACAAAAAATGCAATGTGCTAAACAAGGACAGGTCAAATCATGTGTGTGTAACATATATGTGAGTATACAGACAAAAAGAATACGTAGGTGTAGAATCTGGAAAAGAGGATAGACAGAAGAAGTGTATAGTTGGGACATGAAAAAGATGTCTTAATTAACTTTAAAATAACAAAGGTGGTTGGAGAATATGTGAATATAATATATGACTTAAGCTACACTTAAATGTCATCAGTTCAAATGTAATACATCCATCATTAAGTCATGTTTGTTATGCAAGTAATTAGTTAGCCCCACACTCCCCCCCTCCCCCCCTCCCCCCCCCAAAAATTCAATCTGCTTTCTAATCAAACCAGCATATCATTTTTCTGTCATTTTGCTAGTGCCTTAACTAATCAACTAAGCCCTACACTGCTTCTCTTCAAGTAATGTTATGTTCTCCACCAGCATTTGCATTAAAAGGCAGAAAACAGATTTAAAATCTACACATTTTCCACAAGAACAGTGGAAAGGGAGTTTTGGAAGCTCAATTATGAAGTAAAGATGAATACATACATATATAAATGAATGCTTGTGAAGAAGGATAGGTAAGTCAGCATCACATAATTCATCATGAGAAAACAACACTTCATCTTTTCATTGACCAAAAACAAATAAGACACTATCTATTTCAGTGAAAACATTCATATTATGATCTAATACAAAACAAATCACTGCACATTTTGACAATCCTTTGTTTTCTCCATCAGAACAAGATATCCCACCTCATTATTACTTTATTTGAGTCCATTAGCCATGTTTACTGTATTGGGCTATTAACAAATGTAGATTAAGTAATCCCTAATAGTCCAACTTAGCAAACACATAGACTGACAGTGACTATGTCCTCATCTCTGAAAACTTTAAATGATTCAATAATCTGAAATGAGCAATGCCCAGCAGAAAAAGTCCATTATGTGCTATGCAAATAGAGAAGAGAAGACTACACTGCTATGAAGAATCAACCTTTATAAATTTATCAAGAAGCTACAAAGTATTAACTACAGATGTGTGAAAGTAAGGTTGAAAATCACAGAATAAATGGAGTGACTGTTAGAGAGCCAATCATGGAAAATCTCAAGATCTGTTCTTTTGTGATTTCAAACTGAAATCAACATTGTTTACTCTGTACAGTTACCAATAATTATACACTATTTCATCTCACAAAACATCACATCAAAATAATATTCAAACAAAATCTCAAATCAACACTACATTTCAAATTAATTTCAAACTTGAAAATCTAATAATTGCACTTTGTATTCATACATACTCATCAGGAATGGAATAAGGGATCCAACAAAACAATCAGAGGAATAGACTGTAAGCCCCAAAATGAACACACAACACAATTTTCACAATGCCTCAAACAGAACACTCAAGACAAGCAAAAGCAGAAGAGTAAAACTTTTTTATTCAAATATCAAATAAGAGTGAGTCATAAGCTTGAACATAAACTGTCTTTGCAATTTATCTCCTATGTAAAAACTCCAACAAAACAAAAATGCCAGATATCATACTTTACCAATCCCATATAGGGAAAAGCAAAGCCTTTGTAGTGCCCGCATCCGTTCTCAACGATACTGCATATAAGAAAGACAGCAAAAAAAGGTACAGTCAAACATCATAGATTTTCATATCCAGCAATCAGCCGACACAAGCACAAGAGTTTTATCACCTTAATGAATCCAATTTCTTTGGCGTTGCTGCGGAAGCACTGCCTGCAGCACATCAGGCCATACTTTCTAATAATTCCATGGGGATTCCCGCACACGCGACTGTTACAGACCAATGCCCAAAAATGTGAGAAAAATACAATGTCTAACGGGAAGAGTAAACTTAAGCATACACGGAAACAATCACTGTTTAGTTTTTCGTTTAAACACGAGCACTCGACATGGAAAAGTGCTGCAATAAACTAGATTTACAACTACAAACATTCCAAACCGTTAAATCGCCGCATAAACAAAATTGATGTAGCGAATAATAGTCAACGGAAAACTTAGCAATTCTCTCGATCATCAATTTCACCCAACATACGAACAAAAACACAAACCAAAACTACCCTGAGAAAAACACATCAATTTCCAAAAAACAAAACAAAACAAAAACAAAATCAATCAACAGCATGAAATACCATGTGCGGGATCCAGGACCGTAGTTTTTAGGGTGGGAATTCCAGATGTTAGAGTGCCCCATCTTCCTTTTTCAACTCGATTAAAAGGCCGCCGATCAAATTCTCGTCTGATTCGCTCGTTGAAGCTTTAGGGTTTGAGAGAACACAATATATATACACACATAGGCGGCGCCCCAAAACCCTAATGTTGATATTGATATATCTAATCCCAGTTAAGGGCAAAATTGTCTTTTCAATATTAGGCAAGTACTTGCCCCCCTGTTCGTTCTTAATTTTTCCTTGGCGTCAAATATTGGATCCCTAAAATAAAAAATAATGACTGAAGTCTGATAAAATTTCCTAAATAATACAAAGAGAATCACATAAAAATTATACTCCCTCCGTAAAATATGGGATTATTAATGTAGATACGGAATTTAGGTAAAATATAATTAATAAATAATTAAAAAAATATATTAGTAAAAATAATTATGAATTAAAATTAAAATAAGTAAATAGTTTAATTAAAATTAAAAAAATTATAAAATTTAAAATACGAAGTGCATAATTATATTTTTAAAAATAGAATAAACAAGTTAACGGACAAAAATAGAAAATAGGGACAAATATTATTAAAAATTCAGAAAAGTTTTCATCTTTATTTTAATTTCCCATTTAATCAATTATCACTATTTAAACGTGCTTCCCATTAGTCATTTCCGTGAAGGCTACAGCCTACATGTAAATGGGAAAAGCGCTTATGGTTCTCTTGAACCAAAAAAACCAAAACACGTTTTTAAGCGCACAGAGAAACGCTTTTAGTGAAGTTATGAACTACCAAATATTGTTGCAGTACAAACTTGAAGCTGCCCTAAGAATGAAGACATTTCTGATACAACACTGCACAGCGTCACTTAAACACATCTTCGAAATCCATGGAAGTTCCCTGTAGATCACATGCCCGATTTTTGCAATCCAACTTGCCCCACCGGGCATCGACTCTTTCACAGGGAAAATTAACTTTGCCTAGACTGTGTTTGAAAGAGCAAGAAAAAAGAGTCAGCGAACCCAAAGATGACAGAATGTCTATCTATAAAGGCCAGAGGAATTAATTTGAATCCCGGATTAGGAAAAAATAAATCTAGTTTCTACAACCTAGAATCTTTAGATGATGAAGTAATGCTCCGGTTACCTTCTATTGACAACATTATGCACATGGCACATCCATTGCGAGAACTCGTGCTGCGATCCAGCCTGCACCGGGTTCGTGCTGCACATTTGAATATGGAGGGAATGTATAAATTTAAACATTGAAATGCTAAAAATGCTCTGTTTTATCCAGCAACAAACTTAGACACGCTTTTCGGATAATATTACTAAAAAAATTACAAATATATATATAACAAAACAAAAGTCAAACAATTCAACACAACAAAATAAAACTTCAAAAATTCAACACTAAGACTATTTTTTTTATGTTTCCATACCTAAACCGAAAACACCTAAAACGAAAAATACTAAACAAATAGTATAAATTAGTAGAGAAACAATACGTGTGAGATCGGATGCTTCCTTCCTCCACAAAGGCCCTAGTTGTTAAATTTTGAAAATCTTGACGTAACAACTACAGTTGTTATGTGAGTCAACCCGTGCGTTTGGTTTCTCAGAGAACGACTATGGGACATAGCAAACTAGCCAAACCAGCTATCTAATAAAGTTGTTATTCAAGTCAAACAATGTATCCAGTTTTGGCATTTATTTGAACTTTTCTTGAATCAAGTAAACAAGCTCGAACACAATTCATTAGTTAAAGAAATAAATAAGCCTTAGCCTTACTATATATGTACATTAAAAAGGTGCATAAATACATTCACATTAACGAGCTTTATGGAATTGAGACTACTCGAATTAAAAATTATTTGAGCATCTTTCAAAGTAACAAGTTGAGCTTGAGCAGCTTGAGTAGCTGGAGTCATATAATAGCTCTACTTTCCATTGTCCATTGTCAGCAAAAAAAATAAGGTGAATGAAAAGGGAATTGATTAAAATGCTCGGGGAGGAGTGTGAATTCGTATGCACCTTAAAACTTCTTTAAAGTGATCGGCACATTCTTTACAAGGATACATGCGAGATAATATTTCCATCTGCATGAAAAATGTAACTGTTATGTAATTCTTGGAAGCTACAGTATGAATCCATTTTTGAAACCTCGTCAGAATTATGAGAATAGTTTCTTTGGGAATCACTTAAACATAAGAACAAGCTACAAGTTCGAAGACCAGAAAGCAAAAAACAAAACTTGGCTGAGGAAATTCCCTCGTCACTCACAACAAATAGAACATTGTTGAGAAGAAGTAACCAGTCAATTATTCACTCAAATGCAATATTTAAAACAAAAAATGTAAATACAATCATACCAGCTGTTTCACATCATTCTTCTGCCGTCTGGTGGGCTTATCTGGATACTGAAATAGAAAAGATCAAATGCAAAACTTCGATTATCAATATATGTATGAAACAGCTATGTTTTTCGTAAATGCATTAGTTGCATGATATAGAAATAGAGTTCCAAAATGAGGGTGCTTGTGTGCATTTGTTGCAATTTCAAAAATAGAAATTCGAAGGAGCCAAGTTGATCGAAACACCTGAGCAGCAAGAGTGTGAAGAAATGTCCATGTAGCTCTTCCAAGTTCTTCTCTTGTAGTTGGACCAGAGGACTTTCCCTGTCACATAATCAGCATACCATTGTTTGGTGATCAATCTTGCATGTCAATAAACAGGGTGAGATTCAAAGCAGAAAACCGCACATACACCAGCTACAAATGGAGGAGTAATTAAGCATTTCGTTTAGAATGGAAAAAGTGATTCGATAAAGGAAATTCATTCAGGACTTGTGTCGAGCACCTTCCCTGCATCACACGAAGTTCACTCTGCTCCTAAAACTGACACAGAATTCGAAAGACAGGAGAAGAGCGGAACCTCTGTAAGAACTTCCAGCGGCTGAGCACGGCGAGGATCGACGGTAGAGCGTACGGACGGAGATGCAAGGGCAGTATAGTCTGCGCTGAGTGAGGGTGAATGAGGCCGGATGAAGCGAGAGAAATGGAGCTGGATGGATGTCGAGAGCTTGCCAAACCCTTGCAAGATATGCTGCAGCGGATTTTCCGACATCGCCGTCGATTTAAATCGGGGTCAATTGAAGATATGTGGATTGTTAGCAGGAAATCCGAACCCAACCGAAATAAAACCTAGATCAAATATATTCATCGAAGCCGTAGAAGAAGAAGACTTCAAGATGGGCGGGGCGGCGGCGAAAACAGAGAACAAGGCGATGGCGGTGGCGTTTGGGAGCTTTTGAGATGATGAAGAAGAAGAAGTCGAGGCTTGAGTCAGGTGGATTGAAAACGGACTGGATAAATGATTTCGGGAGGCTTTGAAATCGCTCGAAATCTTTTTTTTTTGTTAGTTTAGTTAATACACTCACCCGTCGTCGCAGATGATCCTTTTTTAATTTTTTTTGTACGTCCACAAAAATAATTTTATTTTTATTTTTATAATTTTATCAATTTTAAGTATATTTAATAAATATAAATTAATTTAATTAAATTTTTAATGTTTAATTTATTTAAAATCTCTTTATTTCTATCGCTCTCATCAATTAACATAATTTTTTTATTTATATTTAAAATTCATTTTTTATAAAACTGATATTGATAATTTTTTTTTATTTGTATTATATAAAATTTTATTATCTACAAAAGATATACCTATTGCATATATTTTTTCGAGATATAATCTTAAAAAATTTTTAAATACCAATAATGTTATTCATATAAAAAATAATAAATTAATATCATAACTTATTAATCTATACTACTTAAAAAAACCGTGTTTCTAATAAAATGGTTCATCCCTCACAGGATCGAGGGAGAATTTGTAATCAAAATTAAATTATTCCATCAATTTTATAACTATATGTTTAATTTCAACTTCAAATTTAAAGTATTATTTGAATTTTTTTGTCATTATATTTAATATTCTCTCCATCTGCGTCTAATGTTACATTTATTTTTTTCTTGTACAATTAAAATTAAAAATATTTTTATATTTGTATATATTTTTTTAAATATTCTCTATTACTATTATAAGTGAATTATTTTTTGTAATTTTTTCTTAATTTGTGTTATATTTTAATATAATAATTAATATTTAAATAATAAATTGGGACCTTAGAGCTGAAATAAGAGAGTATTAAATTGTTTTTGTTTTTATTAGTTTAGCTAATATTTATAATATGTAACATGCCGATTTGATCGAATTTGATTTGTACTAAAAAGAAACATAAATCAATCAATCTCTACTAATAAATTTTTTTGGCTTGGCTACCTTGAAGGGCAACTCGTTTCTTTGTCAAGAGGGAGGCATGTTGTCTCGTAAGAGATGATCTGGTGGTGCAGGGGTTAGACTTGTAATCACAAAGTCATGGGTTTAAACCTCCGACTCCTGAGATCACCTACCACATAAGGTTCACCTAGTGTGATTTTTTCGTCGGACTTAGTTTGCAGGGTATTGGGTTCGGCCTACTTAAAAAAAGACACATATGATTGTCAATACATGTTTTGTATATATATTTTTAATGTGTGTAGTAAGGTGAAATTTTTTTAAGGTTATGAAGATTATATATTTAATATAATATAATTTTTAAAAAAATATTGCCAATGTATTGTGCTAAAGTTTTAATATATATATATACATATTTATGTATAATCCTAGTGTACAAAATCAAGTTTTTTTTTTTTTTTAAGTTTGTAAATTAAATTTGACAAAACAAGTCATACTAGTCGAATCATATGTGGCAGACAAAACTTGAAGACATTAAAATTTAAACTCGTGATCTCATGGTCACAGATTTATTCTCACACACCGGTCAGGACAAATCAAACTCTTGTAACAATTGTGGATTACATGTTACTAAAAAATTAATAAAAACAAATGAAGAAATAAAAACAAAAAATAATATATTATGAAAATGGGTGGAAGGATAAAAGCACAAGACTGATATAGAAAGAAACATCCTACAAATTTATGGTATGAGTCACTGGCCTGTCTATTGGAAAATAATAATAATAATAATAATAATAATTTACAGAAAGACAGCCATCATTGCAGTATCATTAAGGTCCACGACCATGTTAAAGTTTTTTGCTCTAATTCCCAAAAACCTATATTGTCTTCTTTAAAAAGTTTACTACAATATTTGCACACTTGAAGATAACTCTAATGGGATCTTTAAAATTTTAGACAAACAAATTGACATAACTACAATAAATAAACAAATAAATTGTAAATTATATTTGTTGGATTAAAAATCTGGGTTAAATATAACTATTTGGGCTATCGTTTAAAGCCGATATTAAGTAATTTATTAATTTATTGGGTTTAGATGTATTTAGTAAGTGCGGACTTCCTATGCAGAGAAACCGATAATTTATTAATTGGATGATAAAATCAATTAATAATAATAAGAGATATAAATAGGGTTGTGATCGCAAATCTACACGCAACATCCATTACTTCTCATATCTCATCCCGAAAGTAACCGCAGAAACCGTAGCAATTTTCTCCGGAGGGGTTGCGCATTAGGCTTGAAAAACACAAAACCCTCTATCAATTTGCAGATCTAAATCCGACTATGCTGAGGAATAATGTTAGATATAATTTGCTTTTGCTTTATTATCGTCTCAATTATTCATGAGCTTATGGTTAAATTCCTAATAACTTCCAACAGTATTTACTCACAGTCACACACATATATATATATATATATGTACATTTGATAATTTTGGTACTCCATCATCCTAGATATAATGTAATATTTGATTTTCGACACCAAAATTAAAGTGAATAATATTAATTAAAAAAATAAAAAAATTAAATTATATCATAAGAGGGAAATATATATTTATTTATTTTATCTGGTGATATAATGAAATAAAATATAGTGCATTTAAGTATAATTAAAATTATTTTTATTTCAAAAATATTACCGAGTGTTGAGACATACAAAAAATATAAATATTTAGAAGATAGAGACTAATATTCACTAAGGATAATTATTTTTAAAAATATAATACTTTCAATTTTTTTTTTTATTTATCATAAAATTTTACATCAAATATTCAATTTTTTTACTGTTTACATTTTTTTTTTCAAAATTCTTAAAACTTCTGCATTAACAAATCCTTAATTTTAATTGTCTATATATATATATAATTTACATTAAATTTAATTTTATACAAATATACCATATTTAACAATCATCCTACCTAAAAAATAATACAAACTAAAGCATAAAAAATACAAAATAAACATATCCATAGCTTATACTCCCTCTTGCTCCATCCAATGTTTTAATTTAATTTATTTTATTTTAGTAAATTAAAAAATAATATTTATAATTTTTTTAGTTAATAAAAATAAGATATTTTGCTAAAAAAATATATATAAGTCAATTTAAACAAATAAGACGGAATCTTATATAAGGAAAGAATATACTCAAATAAATTACTATTGCAATTTGCTACTATACCCATAATTGAAGCGCACTGGATTTTGGGCTGCCCCAAACCTGTTCTCTTCTGTTCGCCGAAAAAAAGAAAAAAAAAAAAAAGAAATTACAGCCAAACGCGGTCTTATTGCCCTAGCTAAAACAACCCCAGCGAACGGCAGCGTCCGATCTCGGGCGTACGACGCGACTGTAGCTTTCGCACGAATTCATCCCTCCCAGTCTTCGCCTCTCATCGCTCTGTCCTAAATTGCTTTTCGCCAACACAATTCTGCTGCCCACTGGGGAATCGATCAAAGAAGCAATTGAAAAAGGGGGGGAAATAAACCCTAGGTTCGACTTCCACCTCTGCGCTTCGAATCCGGGTGTGTCAGTCAATCTTTTTTATTTATTTCTTGTTCTCGATTCCATATCGATTCGTCAATTTAGTTGTGTGCCTTTTGTTCCTCGTCGGAATGCGAAGTCCGTCGGGATCGCGACTTCGGGGTTGTTGATTTTTATGTTATTTTTTATTTCAATTATGTCAATTTAGTTTAATCTGTTTTGGGGGTTTCTGTTTAGGTTTAATTGATTGCTATAACTGTTTCGGATTATTGCTATTGCACGAATGCTGTAGTTGATTACCTCTGAATATTTCGATTGGATTGATTATCCCCAAATTTGGAGAAATTAGGGTTTTGAATGGTAATGCTATAGAAGTATCTGTAAAAGTTAAATCTTGATTGTATTCAATCGAAAATTAGTTCTTTCTTGAACTTGAATTAAGCTGATCCAAGTTGATATTCATGTTCATTAATTTTGTTGAATTTGGAATTGAATTCAGTTTCCTTAACTGCATTTCTTCTAACTGGATCTGTCATCTATTTCTTTGTACGCTGTGTAGTTTATATAGATGCCAACAATGGTGGCCAATCATCCGTTTACGCGTGTCGATACAATCGAGCTGAAGGATCATTTATTCCGCAAGATCGGTCCCCAGAGAGCCGAAAAGTACTTAGATCATTTAAAAAGGTTTTTCAGTTTGAAGCTGAGCAAGTCCGAGTTCGACAGAAGCTGCATTCGGACAATTGGCAGAGAAAACCTTCCGCTACACAATAAGCTCATTCGCTCGATCGTCCAAAATGCGTGTCACGCCAAAACCCCGCCGCAAAAGCGTCAGAAATCCGAAGGGCTCGGCGTGAAAGTCCCAAACGGATATCAGAGGAGTTGCATCCAATCCCTTTACGGCGACGCGTTGCCGCAGTCTCCGCGCAAATGTAGGTCCCCTGTTAGCAGGGACCGCAAGCTCCGGGACCGTCCAAGCCCTCTCGGCCCGCTCGGCAAGAGCCCGAGCATCACGTGCGAGGACACGGTCAGAACGCAGGAGCAGCAAAGCGCGACAGAGCCGCAGTCGCACTGCAGCCGGCCTCCCGTCGAGGAAGACGGGGAAGAGGTCGAGCAATTCTCAGGATGCGACAGGGTTCGGAGATGGAGGTCCGTCGCCGCTCCCTTCGGCGTTGCGGCGAATGCGGTCGATCCCCGGATGTCCCATCACTGCGGGTATAGTTACAACAACGGTTTCTCTGAGACGTGCCTGTATAGTTCGGAGCTCCCCGATTCGATTTCTTTAAGGACCCGTATGGAGAAGAAGCTGGCTTCAGCGGGAATCGGGGTTCCGCCGGAATGCGCGATCGCATTGAACAATAGCTTGGATGCTTATTTGAAGAGATTAATCGAACCCTGCATCGGAATCGCGGGATCGAGGCGCGCCTCCGGGGGAAAATCGAATGATCTGGGTATGGTCGATTTTCGTGTCGCCGTGGAGTCGAATCCTCGTCTTCTCGGGCAAGATTGGCCTATTCAGGTCGAGAAAATCTCCGCTTATGCGGCTGAGGTGTAAGCTTCAAGATTTTCTGCGAAAGCATTAGCTGATTTCGACTGATTCAGCCGCAGGGATTTAACGGAGTTCCCCCCGGAGAAATTATAGGAGCTGGAAATCGACTCCTGCAAGGTAATATAGGCAAGCAAATTTACATACACACACCATATCACATTTGATCGGATCGGATTGAGTCTTTGGACATTGTTCTTGACATCCTCGTCGCCTTGTTTAGTTGTTTCTATTGTCTTATAATTTCACAGTTTGAAATGATTATTTCTAGTTGTGTATCGATCGTCTGCTGCCCCTCCCCACCCTCCATTGTAAAATGTCAAATTTTTCCGATGGAATGAAGAAGCAAATTGATCTTGTGATCATTGATTTGGCTCTGGTTTTCTTTTTTTTTTTTTGTCATTTTATTATCTATAAATTCCTATCGGCGGTTGGCGAACTGCTTGCGACGGCACAGTCGATTCGATTCAGAACTGATCCGGACATACTATCAGGTAATTTTTTTTAAAGGGTATGTTGAATGTGAGAGTAATTATGATTATTATGACAACAAATTTTACACAATATCTTTGGTAGATTTATATTATTATGGTGGTAATATTACATAATATTTTAACAATTCATCAAAATTTGTATACTGCTCAACAGAATTTTAAAGAAAATTCAGCAAATAATATTGTTCCATATTGGCACAGATGTATTTCCAAGTTCAAATGATTTTTTCCATATATGCTCTCATTCGGTGTATTTAAATTACCTAAATATCAATCGAATTAAATTTCAAATCATTGTATTGCCGTTTCTGTGCTGGATTCTGCAATATGCAATTTTATTATATATATATATATATATTTTATCACAGGCAATGTAAATCAAATCAATTCACTTACTATATATGCAAACTAAAGAATTCAAAACTACAGGAAAATAATAACAGATGAAATACTTGACTGCTGCCATTGGCAAAGAGAAACATAAAACTGTTAAAACTTAATTCCTCAGTACTGAGTTGCAGCTTAGTTACCGTTGTTTTCGTTTCGTCGACTCGACTCCTTCTAGTGAATGAACTATGCAGATGAATCCTTCAACTAGCAACTGGTTTTCCCAAGCTTGCCATGTAAGTCATGTACACGGTCCATAAGTACGAAAATGAGTTCGCCACTAGAGGCTGCCAGATTGAGAAACAATGATGGAACCGTAAGCCCTTTTGTCTGACTAAAGAATTTTAACTTAGATTAAATAGACAGAGATTGAAACTAAAAGGGATGAATGAGAACCTGTAAATGAACTGGAACAAATCTGAATGTCACGAAATCACAAACTGGCCAGTACATTGCGCCGTTAATGATTGTTGGAAGCAAATCACGTTTCAATCTGGCAGTAATCTCTGAATTGCTCTCCCCTGAAAGAATGATAATGGTGAAATTGTCATTTCATGAATAACGCAAGAAATCCATCTTTTCTTGCACCTTTAAATGATAGAAATGATAGCCAGTAACCACATTATCGAGAACATCATTAACTTATAGAAAATGAATCAATGAAATGAATTCAAAACAAGTCTAACTTTGGACGATTGCATAAATAGAAACAAGTGCGTAGGAAAAATCGAGACTGGCATTGCTCAGAACTTTCAGCATTAGTCCAATCATCAACCGTTCTGTACAGTTACGAATCCCAAATTCTTTGTACACAACAAAATCAGAAATTGTGCAATATCACTGAGGATCCTCGAATAAATATTCAAGAACCGAAACCAAAACAATAACCACATTATCAAAAACCTCATCAATTAATAGACAATGAATCAATGAATTGATTTCAAAACAAGACAAACTTTGGACTGAGTGCATAAATAGAAACAAGCGCATGGGAAAAATCGAGACTGCCATTGCTCTGGACTACCAACATTAGTCTAATCACCAAACGTTCTGTACAATTACGAATCCCAAATCCTTTGTACACAGCAGAACAAGAAATCGCAAAATATCACCGAAGATCCTCGAACAAATATTCATGAACCAAAACCAATGACCACATTATCAAGAACATCATAAATTTATAGACAATGAATCCATGAATTGAAGTCAAAACAAGACTAACTTTGGACGACTGTATAAATAGAAAAGAGTGCATAGGATAAATTCCATTGCTCTGGATTATCAACATTAGTCCAATCATCAAATGTCCTGTACACTTAGAAATCCCAAATTCTTTGTACACAGCAGCACAATATATCGTGCAATATCACCCGTGATCCTCGAATAAATATCCACAAACCAAACCCAAAAATCGCAATGTAAGTATTTAAGTATCAATTCTTTCAAAATCACATTGAATTGCTGATTCTACCACAAAATTCTCTGGCTGTAACTATATTAACACACTATACTACAACAGGGCAAGTGAAAACTAGTAACTAATGATACCTTGTAAAGCAGCATTCATGGAGAAGAACACCGTAGTCATTGCAGGCCCGTACAGAAGCTGCCCCGAAGCCATTTTCTTCAACGTCGACAACAGATCACGATTAGGAAAAACTCTAGACATGAAATTGTACCAATAGTGCAATGAAGGCCCTAGTATAAGCATTCCATATCCAGCCATCCGCAGTGTCCTTGCATAATCATACCGCTCGCCAACAATCGTCTGTAGAACCGATTGATTGAGATGATGTACAAAAAGGCAACATATCATAATTTTGTAGGACTTCAACATTTCACCACTAACAGCAAATTAAAAAACGACTGACAAAACTGGTACCTGTGAGGACACATCAGCCGCAGTGTAAATTAGGGCAGATGTAAAGCTTTTGGTAGCAATGGGGCGTGACTCGAGCATGCTCAAGTACCAGCCAATCAACTTAAGCTTCTGCGGCGACGGCCACGGCGACGTCCTAGAGGGAAAACGGCAATACTCTCTTCCATAATCGGAGAGTTTTAGTTCCTTGACCTTGCGGAGGTTGGTGTCCGTGGAACGGGAAAACCGACGGAATTGATTTCCAAAATTACCTAAGGATGCATATGAGTAGCGCGGCGAGTATTCAACCCCCCAATTCCATGATCGGTGTAAATAACAGCGTTGGGCTCTCTGGAGGCAGTACTTCGATAATGCGGCGGCGGCAGCCATGGATTCCGGCGAAGGCGAAAGAGGGTTTAAGTGTACAGTAGAGAGGTTTTGGGAGGACGAAAAGTGAGAAATGAGAGAATCGTGAGGACCTAAATACAAAAGTTCTTTCTAGAAAGTAGTACGTGGCAAAGATTGGTTTTTGACAGCCCACCTGCAAATGCGCGCGTGCTTCCTTCGTATTAGATGTGTAGGTCAGGAGCGTGAAATAACTTTTTCAAAATTCGCGTGGCAAACCTTCCGTCGGCGCTCTGTTTTTCTAACATGAAATGGAACTCCATATTTTTTGGCTAGCAATTACGTTTCGACACGTGTTGAGTTTCTGCCACGTAAGCGTAATCAGCCAGACAACGTTGACTGCATTTTGTTGTTGCTTATGAATTTGATATAGCCCACACGCGATAACAATATATTTGTTTCAATTATTTAATAAAAATAATACTTCATCCATTGTAAAAGAATTTATAATATTGGATAGATATAAAAATAAATAAATATTTTATCGTGTAATAAACAAAAAAAAAAAAAAAAAATTTTAGAATTTTATTTCTTCTTTTTATAATTCGGGAACCCAAAGCAGCCATCGGGTAATGTGCTTTTGATAAAATTACATATAAACAAAAATGATAGCAGTAGAGGATATTATAGCATAAGAAACTGAAATTCGTAGAACTTGATTATTCTCTATTTCAACGGAGGAAATTTGAATAAATAATTCATTTCTCAAATTTTAATTATTTGATTCAAGCAAAACCAAATAAATGTCATTTTCTTTTTAATACTTCTACTTTTTATTTTACCCAACACACCAAGTAAATGTCATTTATGAATTTTGATGCTGTTCGTCACAGTTTTCACTTGATCATAATTCATATCTATAATTAACCGCAAACTCAATGCAATTCTAAAACATACTCGGGTTTGGAGTCGGGATGACAACCGGTCGAGCTCGATATGTTTGGCGGGAAAAGTTTAACGAACTATCCTGCCATTATTCCCTATCTTCTTCTTCTCATCTTCTTCAGCTTCGAGCCAAGCAGCCTGTCATAATATCAACATAAAAAACCTCTGTAAGAAGAAGACATGTAAAATACACACACATATATATATATATATATGATCAATGAATCAATGATTGATTGATGATTCACAACTTGTAGTGATAAAGAAGAAAACCTTTTCACGCTGAAGTCGAGAAACATGAGGAGGCATCATCATAGAATTTCCTAAGCTCAAACCTCCCCAGGCAGCCTGCAATTCTTTCTCCCGCGCCTGTCGTCTCCGAGACATTGAATGTCCGGTCGTGGCGCTGTCCTCTTCTTGCAACATCATAGAAACAGCAGCAGCTGTCTTTTCCCTCTCCAGCCGGCACTTGTGCTTGACTGACAATACCTGATCCAATCCCCCCTCCTCGTCCATGTCCCGGTGTGTCTCCTTGCGCTTCGGATTGTTCCGGGGCATTGTGTCCGGGCGAAACTCCTGTTGTTCTTTCTCCAGCCGCGACACACGCTTTGTAAGAACTTTATCCAAGCTTTCGTATGGCTCAGCTTCGTGGCTTCGAGCTGCTCTAGTTTTGTTCACGTCCATGTTTTCTTTGTCGTGCTTTCGAGCTTCTTGGACCTCTCTTTCGAGCCTCGTTATGCGTTTTACTAAAACTTTGTCGAGACTAGGAACTTCCTCCTCAGCTTCTTGCCGTGCGCGGCATAGTCTACTGTTGTCTGTTTCAGACAATGCCCCGTTCCTCCTTTTTGCTTCTTCGAGCTCCTTGACCTCTGATGAATTTTCGATAGAAGAAAGGTTGTCGTTACTGTGCTCGTTTTTTCTAGCATTCTTGGCTTCTAGAAGTTCTCGTTCGAGCCTAGTCAGCCGTTTTACGAGAAACTTGTCGAGGCTAGGAAGTTCGCCATTCGCGGAGCCTCCTTGCGCGAGTGAAGCCCTTGAAGCCCGTCTTATTACAGACGCTCTTCTCGTCGGCTTAAGACCGTTTGTATCTTCTGTATTCTCAACACCCGAGCTTAGATCGTGCCTCTTGCCGTTTCCCATTTCAGACAACACGGCATTCAGACCACTCGTCGCAACTATCGTTGCAAGAGATGCGAGTTCGTCTTCCTTCAAGCAACGAAGCCTGCCGAGCATCATATCGACGAGATTATCCATTCCAAACTCATTCAATTCCCTCCTTTTCTTACATGGTCCGGCAGCATCGTCTGTGACAACATCGGATTCAGATTCCCTGTCTGATGTCACGACGATAGAGGAGCTGCTGTCGGGATTCTCGCTGATTCTGTGCAGCAATTCTTTGAAATCGTCGTGGTTGATCGGAGGGCAGCTTGCAAGCTTGATGAACGCAGCTTTGACCGCGGCCGCTACTTGTCGATCAACCTCAAATGCAGTTTCGAATGTCGCTGAAACTGTATTAACAGTCAAATCTCCTGCAGCCAACGTCTCTGTTTTGCTCTGGTTCTGCAACGCTGAGTCGGATATGTCATTCATGATTACTCCGATTGCCCTTGCGGCCTCAAATGCTTCGGTTGCAGCAAGATCTGCTTTCGACAACTGATCCTCAGCTTCTTTAGTCTCAATTCTTTTAATGAAAGAAACAACAAATCGTAATTTAGCGAAAAAAGCGTAAAAACCAAACAAATTGAAATGTTATTGTTTGTTACCGAGCAGCTTGGAGTATTCGGCACCAAGATGCCTCTACCATGGCCGCCTTCCGAGCCATCATGGCTTTCTCTGCAGCCTCTCGTATCGCGATTTTTTCTAGCAAAACTCTTGAGTAATGTGGATTTGAGTCGCCGAGAGTTTCATCAAGCGTTGTGTTCATACCATCCACTTGCTGCACGTCAAGAACAAGCATCAATCAAACTTTTGAAAATCGAAAAATGAATGTGATAAAGGATGCATCCGTACGTACCTGCAGCATTTTTATCTTCCTCTTCAAATATGGCTCCACCTTTTTCCGTGGGAACCAATTGAGAGGTGACGAAGTTTTTCGATGAGTAGGCTTTGTGATTTGGGATGTGAGCTTGTTTAAAGCACTGATGCTGGACCTCATAGCATCCTTAGCTTTGTTAATCTTTAAGAAATGGAATGTAGTTCAAAACAGAGATTATTGTCTAATGGATGCTTGTGTCATTTCTGAAATCGAATTTGTTAGATTTCATTAACAAATACATATAACTGCTTTAAGTTTTCTCACGAAATCCACCGATTTTGTATCGACCTCAAATTAGAAACTCAGTCGACAGAATTGAATTCCTAGGATGAAGAAAATTCCAATACCAATAATTAGAATTTATTCTCTTCTCATAATTGCCCTAAAATCAACAGGCACTCAGATTTGAATCTCTAATGAACAATCAGTCAATCGATGTATAATATAACTAAAAACGATTCATAAATTTCAATCAGAACTAGAAATCAAGGCCTGTAGAAATCGGAGTTGAGCCTAAAATAAATCTGAAAAAATTACAGAATCGCGAACTGCAAAAGAGGAAAAAAACCTTTAAAGGCTTAGTTGCAGATGCCTCCTCCTCGCTGCTGTCTTTCTCCATCGAAGTCTCCTTGCTCGGCTTCTCAATGCATCCCATATCAATACAGCCGAGATCCATTCGATTCCCCTCCAAAAATTCAATCGGAATGCAAACCTATTAACTCGATTTCTCTTTTCAGATCCGTGTGATAACTGTAAAAGCGATTGATAAACCAGAAGCGTCTAGAGTATCTCGAGGAAGATTGATCCCAAGCGAAAAGCAAAAATTCCAAACGATCTTTCACGAATCGGAGGTTTAGACTTTACAAGGAGAGTGTGTGTTCTTGAATCTGAAGAAATTTCGTGCGATGATTGATAACTGAAGAGAATTTTTTATTTGTATATCTTCTAAAAACTATCCGTTGAAGAGCAGAAAAATAAAAATGGAAATGAAAAGATTTTAGTCTCCAACGGTCGAGTACTGAGCACATATCTGGTGGAATCATGTGCAGGATAACTACGGTGTTCCTGTCCGATCCTAAATTGCGATTTTGATATATAACCACGATTTAGGGGTGATTATATTTTATTTTCTTTAGCAATAAAAAAATAATTCTATTTTTATTATTTTTGCAATATTTTTATGTTTTTTTACTATAAAGATAAAAATTACACATCACCTTAATCATGCTAAAACATAAATGACCCTATTTCCGATGCCCGGAGTATATATATATATTATATTCTAATAAAAAATTAATATTTAATTCATATATTATTTTAAAATATAAATTAAATTAAAACTTTAAACAAAAACTACTAAAGTTTTAATTTGATGTATATGTTATGTTATAGAGTTTATTATATTTTAGGTTAATATTTATATATTTCGTTTTTTTATAAAATTATAAATAAAATATTCAATTTTTTTTAGTTATTTATATATCTAACATTATAAATATATTTAAAATTTACAATATATTATACAAATATTATTATATTTATGTATATTATCTAATACTATTAAAATATTTTTTTATCTTTTTAGTTTTAGTTTATAGTACATGGAAATATAATAATAAAATTTTTAAAAGAATATGTATAAAAAGTAAATAAGTATTTTATTTCGAAACAAATGAAGTATAATATTTTATATTTAATTATTTATTATTTATTATTTTTAAATATTAAATTAAAGAATTAAAAAAAAGTTTAATACAGTATTCTTCTATAAAAATATATAATTAATATAATATTTTAGAAAATATACTATATGTATAAAATTAATATAAAAAATTTACAAAATATATATGTTTTTTTTTAATAAGTTTGGTAAAATTTTGGTTTGAGTTTGATATTAAAATAATATTTGATGGGTTGTTTTGTGAGAGAAAAAAATATATTTTTTTCGGAAAACGCATAGTCCAAATAGTAAAATTTAGGAAATTTTGGATAAAGAAACATTATAAATTCCTAATATGGAAGCAACCTTAATCGTGACCAATTCAGCTTTAGAATAAATATAAAAAAGACTCGGTGTGGAAGATTGACTACATACTTTACTAATTGAATATAAGATTGACTACATACTTTACTAATTGAATATAATATACATACTTGTCCACAAGTTATTGAAAATTATGTTGCCTTTAGACAAGAGTTCTAGAAATGATAAAAGTTCTAAAATTATTTTAAGCATTAAAAAATTAATTACCTATATAATATTTTGTACAAATAAAATACAATCCTGTCGAAACAAACTTAACATGTACTTCGTTGTAAAAAAAACTTGTAGTATGATCTAAAAAATTTTTTTTTGTTGTATTTAAAAAAATAAACGTATTTTTTGATGACAAGAAAGTAGTAAACAAATTCTTCAAATGAAGCAGTCAATTTCTAAGCACACTGATTTGTTATTTATTAGGTTTATATTAGTCATCACAGATACTGTGGGTTCATTAGTTATATACTCCATTTATCAACTTATTATTATTATTATTATAATCATCATCAGAATTGAATTTGAAGGCTGTTTGGCATTTAGAATTGCCTGATTTGATTTAATGGAAACAAATAAAATAGAAAGGGTCGAGGAAAGTAGAAGAAAAACAATAAAGACGCTTGTTAAAGCAATTTTAGTGATTGTCCTTTTACTTTTATATATATTTTGTTGAATATGTTCTGTGAGAATTTATTAAAATCAATAATATATTATATTATATTATATTATATTATATAAAACTTTTTAATATATATATATCATGTACTATATATTGTATTACCAGACCAAACTTAAAAAACACAATCTCGTTGTATCCAAAGAAACAAACAAATAATATTATTATTATTATTTGGTTGTGGAAAATTTACGCAACTTGTCACTGCAGAGGTTTATTTAAAAAATTATTCCCTAGCCGCGAAACGATTTGAAATCCATAATTATGGAGTTTTTTCTATTAAAAAGGTCTATTATATATTTTTTTAGAAAATATAATTATTTAAAAAAAACTTTTATAAAAAAAAATATATAATTACACAAAGAAACGATAATATTACTTCCTCTTTTAAGTATGCTCTATTGATAAATAAGAATTTAATTCCTGATTTTGTAAATAATATCTACTACCAGTACACTATGATACGCTATTTATTTATTACACCAGGGACTGCGATGGGCGTACCTGGGAGTTAAGCTCCTGGAGTCAGAGTGTAGTTACAGTGGGTTGTGGGAGGTCCGGGACTAAGACCGGAGAAGCAACCGAAGCGCGTCGTGGTAACAATTTACTGCGCCGTGTCCTTTCAGCCATTGGTTGCCTTCAACGCGGTTTTTCTTCCACGGAGACTTGCTTCAGTCTCGATCGAATCCATAAAGCCTCGTCATATCAAAGGAATGAGGAATTGGAGTGTACCTTGATCCAGAAATCAACGCCGGGGAATTGCGGTTGAGCAGTAACTGAAGGTTGGGGCTTAGAAATTTAAAATCCGGCGATGCTGCCACCGTGCTGTTACCGGTGCTTCGGGCGGCGGAGCGGCGACGAATTGCTCTGGCACGAGGATTTGAAGCCTCACGCCTGCGGCGAATATTCAATTTCCGTGGTGCAGGCGAATTCCGTGGTGGAGGACCAGAGCAAGGTGCTTGCGTCGCCGTCTGCAACTTACGTCGGCGTCTACGACGGCCATGGCGGACCTGAGGCCGCTCGCTTCGTCAATCAACATCTGTTTCCTTATATCCTAAGTAATTTTCCTTATCCGTATTATCCTTCTCCTCAATTCTCACTTTCTGGCTTGCTCTCCGTTGATAATTGCGTGGAGAAATTTAGGTTTTGATAGAGGAGATTGCTCGATTGTGTTTCCATTTCATCTCCATGATTTCCTTCATATAGCTCTGACTGTTCGTTCAACGGAATTAGCTGACCATGTTGTGATATCTTCTGCAGAATTTTCTACAGAGGAAGGGGAGCTATCCGCCGAAGTAATAAACAAGGCTTTCAAGGCAACAGAAGAGGACTTCACACATTTAGTGAAGAAATCATTGCCTGTGAAGCCACAGATTGCTTCAGTAGGTTCATGCTGCCTCTTCGGCGCAATTTCGAACGGCGTATTGCACGTGGCAAACTTGGGTGATTCACGAGCCGTTCTCGGCAGGCGAGGGATTGCCGGAGCAAAAAAAGTGGTGGCGGAGAGGCTGTCCACCGATCACAATGTTTCCATCGAAAAAGTGAGGAAAGAAGTCGAGGCACTTCACCCTGACGATTCACCTGTCGTCGTTTACTGCCAAGGAGTGTGGAGAATCAAAGGAATTATCCAGGTAAAATAAGCTCAACCGTAGATTTACTCCTAGTTACATTTCTGAAGCTTCCATGGCTGCCTGCATAACCATGGAAATGCCCTTAAACCAAAATGAACCAAAATGATTCTGTTTTGTCGACGCCAGGTGTCTAGATCAATCGGCGATATCTATTTGAAGAGACCCGACTTCCAAAGAGACCCGATTTTCCAACATCATGTGAACTTTATTCCCATGAAGCGACCATTGCTAACAGCCGAACCTTCCATTATAACCCGACAGCTGCAACCTCAAGATTTATTTATAATCTTTGCAACAGATGGTCTCTGGGAACAACTCAGTGATGAGGAAGCAGTTCAGATGGTATCAAAGAACCCGAGAGCTGTAAGTTCCCTGTCATCCACACACATCAACAAATTTAGAAAGAAAATTGACACAGTATATGACTAGATAACATTTTGCTCGTTATATCTATCTATATGCAGGGAATAGCCAAAAGGTTAGTAACAGCTGCGCTTCAGAAGGCTGCAAAGAAGAGAGAAATGAGATACAAAGATATCAAGAAAATAGAGAGGGGAGTCAGACGCCACTTCCACGACGACATCACTGTCGTCGTGATTTATCTCGACGACAACCGAAGCTCTTCTAAGAGTACACATAAACCAGGCACAGTCAGCAGCATCACTGCCCCTACCGATATCTATTCTCACAATTCAGATGAAGGTTTGGATTATTCAGAAGATCCAATTTTTCCGAATGCGAAATTCCACCAAGAATGGTGTACATAAATAGCAATGGAAAATAGAATTCCTTCATTGTTGAAAAACAAACATAAGTGCTTTTTTGTAAACAGTTGTGCAGTGGATAAAGTATATAAGTGAATTGGTGGGGAGAATTTGAAGAACAAACACAGAATAAGCATTTCTTCAATTGGGGTTTTACATCAATGCTTTCCGATAGTAGAAATTCACTGATGGATGTTTCTTCCATATACTTGACTGTGTGAACTGTGTGTGTGGAAGCTACAGAACAAATCCTAACTTCTTACCATATTAATCCAAGAAAATGCAGTTAACACCAAGGCAGGCACTTTCTCTTCCAAGTGTTCTTCTCTGCAGCAACTAATTAAACGTCAAAATGCATATATTGTCAAAGAATTCAGATAGATCATTTCAAGAATCCAGCTCTTCCCAGCATAGTCACCCACAATGAATGACTATTGGTGGCTAAGACATAAAAAAATCATGATACAATACAAATACAAATTTATCAAGCAAGGGACCTCACACGGCTCGCAGACAAATAAGATTCATAAACTAAATATTCTGCAGCATATTCAAGACAACCAAAATATTTCCACGCATCTTAGAGACCAAAAGTGGATCCAAAAGGGCAAGGTTTAAATATGATCTTCCGGCGGAAAAGATTAATCTAAGCTAATTATTGCTAGTGTCCCATTTTCCAACATAAACCTCATTTACAAAAAGAAGGGGGGAAGGGAAATGCTTGCTTGCATGCATGCCTCGCGAATGGTGGAACCCTTTTCCGTTGTTACTTGAGAAAGTGTGGACTGATCAAACCTGCAATCTCAAGGAAACCCACTCGGTCCCTTCCTCCGAAAATTTTCTTCAGCTTCTCATCACAGATGATAACCTTCTTGTCTTCAGGGTCCTAAAATAGAGCCAATCAAGTCAGTTCCAAATACAAACATATATATATATGTGTGTGTGTGTGTGTGTAAGATGTGCTGCAACCATTTGGTGTTGGAAAGGGACTGAAAAGGCTATATGGGATTGATTGATTTCTAATATATTAATGTGTAAGCTTATACTTTAAGCATATTCAAGAACTTCTGAAATCCAGAGAATGGCATGTCTTATCAAATAGAAGCAAATGTTTACCAAACTTTGTAAATTTGCAGGCGAAAGGAACTCAAGAAATAAACTGACAATAAAGTATAAACAACATAAGCGAGTTCCGGAAAGCTTATAATTGGCTTTTGGAGCCATTACATTTCTTGAGACCACTAGTTAATTGCACAGGAGCACAGATAAAATTACAATTCATGGTTTACAGAACTCCTACAATGTCAGGAACATACCAGTCAAATCTTTACTATGGCCATGACAAGGATGATATTTCCATCAACTATAATTATCCAAATAATGCTGACACTTTGATTCACACATGTGATAATTTTCAATATGAAGTGAGAGGGAAGATAGAAAAGACCAATAATAAAGCATTCAAATAATTGACCCAAGTGGTTGAGAAGATCAAAACACAAAATAGAAAAAGTCATGGTGCCTGCCAAACCAACAGTCACTTTAGAACTGTCTACAGAAAAATATTCATTTATACATTTTAAACATCAATTTATACTTAGGTTTACAGAATCACATGCACAAAATCTCAACACATCAGACATAATTTCATCCTCGATATGTTCTTACTTTACTTTAGGAAAAAAAAAAAAAAAAACAAAAATCAAAGTCAATACTTATTCAACATTTGAGTTAACAGTATACGCTGCAAACGAGACGAAAGTTCAGTATCCGCGAAAGAAGGAATAAAAATTCCATCCAAAAAACTGAAAGAGTATTAAGAGTTAACTAAACAACCCATAACAATTACATCCAAATTAGTAGAAGTAAAAACAATAAATTAACAACGAAAAGAAAAAAAAATAAAATCCATGAGTTAGGGTTTGAAAACACGGATATACCTGGAGATTGTGCTGCTTGATGTGAGCCCAAATCTCTTTCAGCGCTTGAGTCCGTGGAATCTCCGAAACGCCACCTAGGAACGCCTGCATTTCCGGCGACACTCGGCGCGGCTTCATGATCCCCCTCGGCTCGCGCTTCTTCGTCTCCGTAGCCGGCTTCGAAGCTGCAACAGCCACCAAGCGCCGATTCAAAGGACCAAACCTTACAGCAGTCGGAAAAGAAGAAGAAACTCCGAACGACACCGTCTCAACCGGCAGGAAACTCGAAAATACACCCAATGACATCGCCATTATCAATCCAGAAACCAGTAGAGGGAGCGGGAAACAAAATCGGTGGAGAAATTCCGAAAATGAGAGAGAAGATAAGCTTCCGAAATGAAGGGCGTGCGTGGCAGAAGTAGGGCTTTTGCTCTTCTCGAGCGCCTTTGTCGTTTCTTTCTTCAGCTTGATCCAGTTTTGTTATTTACAAATTTGTCCTCGCGGCTATTGGGCTTCTCTCATGGGCCGTGGCCCGTTCAAATACATACTTCGTGGCCATCAATTTAAATATATTAAACCCAATGATGTATTGTTATTGATTTTTATTTAATAAAAGGGAGAAAAATATTACTTACCATTTTACTCCAAATTGTTTTTTTAGATATTGATTATTTAAATAAAATATAATTAGTAAGTAATTAAAAAATATAATATAATTATTATATAATAAAAATAATTATAAATTAAATTTTAAATAATTAAATAATTTAAGTAAATTTTTTTAAAAAATTATAAATTAAAAAATTCAAAATATATAATCATATTTTTTAAAAATGAAATAATAAATTATGATCAAAATAAAAAAAATAAATATTTTATATGAAACATAAGATAATAAATCACAATAATTAATTTTGCTCTCATTAAATTTTATTCAAATTAAAATTACTCAATTTTTTTTTTTTTTTCATAATCAATCATATTTAGATTCAACACACAAGTCAATGTATTTTTCAAAATATATTTTTTTTTAGAAAAGAAATTAAGAAAATAGAATTTTGTTACAAATTATACTAACAATCCTATATAGTATATGATTATAAAGTTTATGAGTTATATAAATAGTTTAAATAGTAAATTTTTAAATTGAAATGATTGTATATATTTTTCAAATAAATTTTAAAAAAGAGTTTCATATTAAAAAAATATATATATAATAAGATATTTTGTAAGAAAAAAATATTAATTTTTGAATTGTAAAATTTAAATAGCAAAATTCTAAAATTTTATATCAAAAGAAACATATCTCAAATAAATGCTAAAATTAATTTTTAATATAATAAATAAAATAAAAAAGAAATGTTTAATTTGATATTAGGGTACATAAATCCTTTAAATTCTATATTTGTCTTGGGCCATGATTAGCCCCTTTTCATTCTTTCTATGGGCATTTTTCTGATAATTTTAATTTCAACTGGTAATATAAAATTCCGAATTAGAAAAAACAATTTCATCTACTTCAGGCCTTTCTCCTCGCAACAATACAGACAAATTATCAAACGGGCGTCGCGTCGGAAGGATAATAATTGGAGCATCGTTATGGCTATCGACATCGGCACCTTGGAGAAAAGGTTAGTGTTTCTCCCGAGCTTTTCCTTTAATTTCGTTAGAGTCGGATGCAATTTCAAGGAACGTTACTTTGTTTGTGTTTGCTTTCTTGAGCTGATTGATGGGTTCTTCCTTTTCTTTTTTCGTTGGTGCGGGGAAATAATATTTGATTTCATCGTTTACCTGAATTTTAATGTCGAGGAAAAGACATTACAATTCAGGTAATAATTTCAGTAAAGTGACGGGGCAGCTCTAGTTCTTCTCCTCTAGTTTGGATAATTCTCAATAGAAATGATTTGGATGGGTGTAGATACGAAGTGCAGAAATGGGGTGCGATATGTTGACGCTTGAATAAAATTAATGATTATATAAGCTAATCACTTAATGAAATGAGATCAAATTTAGTATGGGGACGATTATAATGAAAATTGCAGTGCAGCAGCAACTGTTTGAGTGGCCAATAAACAACACAGTATGGTTTCTTGAACTGCCTGTGAGCAAGAGCGAAAAGATAGACTATATAGGAAGTGGCTCTTGATCATCAAATGCTGACTTGCATTGCATATCCTTGCTGATCTTTGTCTTCAAGGGCTAATCCATTATTAATTGTTGGTTGAATGATTGGGGAGTTTCGTAACCAGGGCTTACCTGTCCTATTGTTGATCTATTTAGATAGTTATACAATGCTCCATTTTCAGGTACTTTGATGGTTGCAAGAGGCAAGGAATTATGCCGAATAAGGCAATAGTGGCAGCACTATTCAAGGTTTTACATGATTATTGCACTCTTAATCCTTGCTTATAGTATTTTCTTTGATATTCTTTCCTTAAGAATCTATGCCATTGTTTATCAATGTTTCAAATAATATATATATATATATATTTGCGGAAGTGATTGCTGAAATTAAGTAGCTTATAACTTAGCAGGCACTCTGAAATTTTATAAGACACTGGTGCATGACATTTTGAAATGTTCTCCTAGTTATCTTGGAATCATCATCTTCTTGATGTCTTTGTACTTTTTATATGCAGCCTATGCAGTGATTCATCCTTGCATAAGATATCCATTTTATGTGTAGTCTCTTCAAATTTCTATATCCTTTTATTTGAGGACCCTATTTAATTGTTATAGACCTAATTGTTATTAACCCTCTAGCTGTAATATGCCTATTGGGGATCTTTGATATCCATTAAGTATCTTGTATTTCTAATACAGGCTAAGATCAAGAAAGCCCGGCATGAGACATGTACTCTCATGGTTTCAATGGATGACTTGAGAGATGTTGATTTCTACCCCCTTTTAGATCTATTAAAGGAAATTGATGTATCTGAGGTAGATGCAGTTGATATGGTAAATAAGTCTTCATGTGTTCTGGGTGGAGAATATGCTTCTTCTCTGCTGCATGCTATCAGCAAAAAGCTTCGAGTGGTTGATATTTGTGACATCTCATTTGGGAAAGATTTCTTATTGTATGTAGCTTATGCCTTCCTACTTCTTCCCTCTATATTTCATGCTTGATTTTTATTGAGCGAAGACTTGATTTCCTGGTGCCAATTTGACCTACACGTCTTTCATTTCGAGGTTTTTTGTCAACTTTAAATGAGGTGATTGGTCACCATCTATTTCTAAATTTCTTTTGTTGATTTTTATACTTGAGAATTGGTTTAGTGCCCCAATATTTTCTAGTCACAACATTTGTGAGTTCCTAAAAGTTTTGATGTGAAAGAGGTGCTTGTGCTGTATTTCCCTTTTGATGGTTGGCTGTTCTAAGCTTGTAAGGTCCCTTCAAACTCCTATTCAGTTATTCTATATCTTCAACTGCCTTGTTTGCTGGATGTTGTTACAGAAGAGTTTCTGAATGCAGTTTTTTTTTGGTCTTCTCTGCGATACATTTTATTATACATTTACAGAGTTTCAACTACCCCTTCTCCACTCTATGTTGTATAGACTTATCATGTTTATTTTCTCATAGACACAATGGAAATACATATGCAGAACATATTTTATCTCTCCCATGACAGTACTCTCTGTCTTACTTAATGTTTTGAAGAAATAATGTGAACTCACTTGGGAGTTTTTCTGCCAGGGATCTTGCTCAGCGAGGTTTATCATGCCAAGTTCTAAATTTAAGGTCTTCTCATTTCCGAAAGCTCAGTATGGTTGGACAATTTGTGCGAATGCAGACACTTAACCTAGATTTTAGCACTTCCCTTACTAGTTTTCGGGAGGATTGCTTTTCCTGTATGCCAAATTTAAGGTTTCTTTCACTATGTGAAACAAGAATTACAAATCTGTGGACCACTAGTGCAGCGCTAGAGAAGCTGCCTTCACTAGTTGAACTTCGATTTCAGAAGTGCTTATATTGTAGTGATATGGACTATTCTTCTGCATCACCTGGAAATGAAATAAATGAAGATATGAGTTCGAGTTATGTGGAACTTGGCTTGCATGTAGATTTACATTCTCCAAGTGATGAAGTTTTTTCACATTTACAACTAGATGTGGATGATGAAGATATGGGTAATTATGATATAGTTCAGGATGTCAGAAGTTCAAATGAGGGTTCCTCAGATGACAGTGAAGTTGACTTTTCAGGTCATCGTCAGGACTTTGAACAGCTGGAGCTTGCTCCTGATAGAACTCTTGGCTGGAATGAACTGACTGATATGCCAAATGAGGTACTGAAGTCTTAAGAATTTTTCCCTTTAGTTATTCTGCTGTGCTCTTATGTTCTTGTGGAGGAGCAGTGCAGTGATTTCAACTGGACTAAGTATTCTCAAATTACCATACTCCATATATTTTACTTTTGAGCTTGGCATGGGATATTTTCTCTCCACTCATGTTTGCATGCTGCTTGATTTTTGTGCAAAACTGGCTATTTAGAAAGCTTCTTTTTGTAAAATTAGAGTTAGATTGACCAACATGGAATGTAGTGTTGCTTTGAACATTTTGAGTCCTTCCTAAGGCGCCTTCATTCTGCAAAGTCTATGCAGTTGAGTTATAATTTCACTAAATGGAGTTCTTGTTTTTTATTCAGATATCATTTGGAACACTGGACATGCAACACGATGACCTATTTCCACATGAATTGGTCAACTTGAGTCCTCTTACTTCTACTGCCACAAAGAAGTACATTTCTCGTCATGCATCTCCAATATGCTATGAGAAACATTACAGGGATTACATGATAGCTTCCTTGCCAAACCTTAAAGTTCTTGATAATTTGCCAGTTGAAGAAGTTGAGAGGGAAAGAGCCAATGATATCTTCTCGCAGCATTTTGAATATCTTCCATACAACAGACGTTACAAGGAGAGTGTGGTTAGCCTGTTGCAGCAACGTGAAATCAAATCTAACCTATCTTGTACTCCTCCCTCAAAGAAACAGTTCTCCACTTCAAGAATATCTCAATGTTTCTATTCCAGATCAATATCTGCCGCAATAATGGGATCTTCTGCGTGGCCTATTTTACATCCTCTTTCGATTACAAGTGGTGTGTTGAGGGAGGAGAGAAGAAATTTTCGACCAAGACAGTTTGAGTATCATCCATCAGATTCAAGTCTTATGGTTTTTGGAACCTTGGATGGTGAAGTTGTCATTATAAACCATGAGAGTGGGAAAATTGTTCGGAACATTCCCTCACTTGGAGCTATGAATAGTGTGCTGGGACTGTGCTGGCTGAAAAGGTACCCTTCTAAGGTATGTGTCTATTCTAATGTTTTTCATATGGTTTGTTAGTGGCATCTGCCAATTTGATTGTGAAGACTTTATACGATACTGCTATGTATTTTTCTATTAATAAAGTCAGATTGTTGTTTAATCACTATTGGGTTGCCGTAAGTACTATGATGCACCTTGTGGTCTGTTTGTCCCACACACTAGATATTACACTACTAGTTTGGGAGTATTAAGGTATAGAAAAGTGAGGGAAAGACTTCTCACTCAAAACTGGACAAAAAGCTTTTTCGCAGGAGGAAGAAAGCTTTCCTTTCTTTTCCTTCTAAATTCATCCATGAAAACATTAGTCTCATCCATTGTTTTTTCTCCCATTAGGATTAATTCCTTTGGAAACATTTGGTATAATTGTTTCTCATCCGTAACACAACAGGTGAACCTCGAGTAAGTCTCAGATGAAATCATACAGTCTATAAATTCTTTGTGATGCAGTAAAGGGAGTTGAGTCCTGCCCTATATGTTCCCAACTTTTATCACTGCTGCGTAATGTGGCCCTTTTCTTTTGAATTTGGTTTCACCGCCATACCATCTAGAAGACTTACATGCTGTTATAAACACATTGGTTGTGGATTCAAAACCCAGTCTAAAACAGTTTTTAATGGTTTGTCTTTTGAGAAATTTCTTCTGTTCTTAAGACATAATATATAATGCTTTTTCCCATGTTTCAACTGTGTTCCCTTCTCATTCTAATTGCTTTGTTGCATGTCAGCTCATTGCTGGTTCAGATAATGGTTCGCTTCGACTGTATGATATAAAACATATTCCTGCTGAGGGTGGATGGCTGCATCACACTCCTGGTTCCATCAACTTTGATGAATTCGACCAGTTGACTTCAGTCCATGTCAATTCGACAGATGAACTTTTTCTTGCCAGTGGATACTCAAAAAATGTTGCTTTGTATGACATTGGCACTGGAAGACGGTTGCATGTTTTTGCAGATATGCATCAAGAGCATATCAATGTAGTCAAGTTTTCAAATCACTCTCCATCTATGTTTGCGACGTCATCTTTTGATCAGGATGTTAAGATGTGGGATATAAGACAAAAGCCAATACAACCTTGTTATACTGCTACAAGCTCTCGAGGGAATGTGATGGTCTGTTTTTCACCTGATGATCACTATCTTCTTGTTTCAGCTGTTGACAATGAGGTAATCTGGGATGGGGAGTTCGACTTACATTTTCTTCTTTTGTTTTAATCAGAGGAAACAGTCTGTTGACTGTCCTTTTGCTTTTGCGCTCTTATTCGGTTGTAGGGATTGAATGTAAACATTCCTTATGCAACCATGTGAGCTCTATCCTTCTTGTTTAGCTTCTTTGCTACAAGAAATGACTAATAATCATTTTGTCTGATATAACAATTTGATAAGTTACTGAGGATTGCCGGATCATGTGATGCTACTGACACAGGGTTGATTGATTTGCTTTATTGTAAGTAAAAAGGAAACAAATCATGTGGATTTTGGAGCTTATTAGGTGCTTCATGTTCTCTAAGGTTCCTTTTAGTGTTCAGATCACCAATAGGTTACCAATTAAGTTTGCGAACATTTAAACTGTAAACACATGAATAATCAGCTGCACACGACTTAAAAAACATACCATTTCTTTTTTAATTATTAATGATGTTTTTTCCAGGTAAAGCAGCTACTGGCTGTTGATGGAAGGCTCCATATGGATTTTGGTATAGCTTCCACTGGAAGTTCCCAAAACTACACTCGCTCTTACTACATGAGTGGGAGGGATTATGTAATAAGCGGTAGTTGTGATGAACATGTGGTTCGCATCTGTTGTGCAAACACAGGGAGGCGACTCAGGGATGTGTCATTGGAGGTCCGTGTGTTTATAATCATTTTTTTCCCAATGAAACCTTTATTTCTGAAGACAATAGTAGAAGTAGATTCTTTACATGGTAAAATTGAAAGTGACGAGTCTAGATCATTGTTTCAAACAGGCAGTTATGAGGCATAGCACTGTGACTCTCCATTGTAAATTTGGAATTATTTTCTAGTGGTTCCTCCCAGATGCCTCTGAGGATGCAAATGTAATTTAGTTGCAATTCTAACATTTTTATGATTGTTCTTGCAATTATTGTTATTGTCGACATTTTCGTTGCATAATCCATACTCTGATGGAGATATAATGATTATACTACAGGGTAAAGGTGTGGGAGCTTCAATGTTCGTTCAATCATTGAGAGGCGACCCTTTCCGGGTAATTTCACGAATATGGTTTATTGTCCCATCTCCTTTTCACTATAATATAACTTTAAAGTTGAGAAATACCACTTACACTTTGTTTTAGATTTGACAGTTTATTATTTAGTTTGAGGACATATTTAATTTCCAGTTATGATCATACCTGTATTTTTAAGATTTTGCATTATTGCATACACAAGCTGATGAGTCATATATATCCTATATAATAATTTATATTCTCTTGTTTACAGAATTTCAGCATGAGCATTTTGGCTAACTATGTAAGACCAAGTTCAAATTCAGAAATTGTTAAGGTATAGTATATGCCTCGGTTCTCATTCTTTGTATACACACTCTCTCTTGTCTTTTGGTTAACCACATTGTATTTATACTTGTAGGTTAACCTTTTGGAATCTAAGGACCATGAGAAATCACATAATTACAAGCAACAACATCACTCAGTTACTGGAATGGGAGGTTGAGATTGTCATAGTCATAGTCTACTAATCATTCGTCATATATACAAATATATAAGGTTGTGCATTATGAGTAAGTCGCAGCTGTTATATTAGGTTGTACATTATGAGTAAGTCACAGCTTAATTGAAAGAAAATGCTCAATTGAACTTCTGTTGCTGTTGTATAAACATTTGTTGTACAAAAGCTTACCTTCAATCCAACTAAAATAACTTATTCTGTCCCATCTCTTTATATATAAATTTTTTGCATCTGTAGCTCAGGAATTTCGAATTCTGGCATTGTTTCAATTAAATGCTGTGTGTTCATTCTTGGCATTGGAGATTATGTTGTACATGTAGTTATATATATGGAACTGCATCTGCCTGAAAATGCAAAAAAGCTTCACGGAGACGAGAAGAGTCGAGGCGGAAAAGCATTCAAGAGCATGGAACTGTTATTTTGCCTAGCTCAAATTCTACACTATGGTTTGGTTGGAGGAATAAGAACCCAGGTTTGATTTAGTTTTAAGAACTTATCAAACTATCTATGTTGGGATTGTTTTACTTGTAAAAGCATAGAAAACTGCACCAATGTCTCCCTAATATGAATCTGACTAACATTAATTCTTTCTGTCTGTATGCAGGCAAGTCAGCAGTGGTCATAAAGAAGCATCCTAGAAACAGAAAAATATCCTGTGTGGCTGTGAGGTAAGAAATAAGGAAGGTGGTTTTGTACCTTTGCTTGTATATGATCATCACTGCACCCATTTTAAAATGTATTTTATTTTTAAAATTTTAACTGCATTCAGTCCAATTCTGAAAGCCTCCTTTTGGGCAGTAAAAGTTGATTCAGTCAAATATGGCATGTATGTAAAAATCAGTTGCTGATTCACATGGCATCCATGGAATTGAATTGAAGCAGGTTAGAATGAGGCAAAGATGGATACGCCATATCCATGGTGGGGTGCACTAAAGTACATTGCCAGCCAGGTGGTGATGGTGCTGAATTCCACTGTAGTACTACAGAAGGTTAGTGCTGCTGTTTGACACCTGTTTTTATCTTTATCTAACGTGCTGTTCTTGAAACTAGGAATTATGGGCTTCTGCAAAATAGTTGTTGAGCATTGCCCTTATTTTATTTTATTTTATTTAAAAAAAATAAAATAAAATTTATGGTTTCTGGACACTGCTATTACTACTAATAAATATGATAGAGAATATAAAATGCATTGGATCTGGCATTCTATCCCACCCCAGCTGGCACCCACAGGCAAAACTACAACCTCCCACCGCAACCCCCTTATCATCCCATCCCATATTCCCATATTGTAAAAAAGGCAGATAGTACACGTTTCCAAAGCACAAAAAATGTGTTGTATGTATATATGAAGTATGTATTGTATATATATATTTTGTGTTAAAATCAATGATAATGTGTGTTGTGAACTATTGTCATTCAGTTTATATGTTGTATTTGTATATATTACTCCTTTCGTCTCACAAAAATATGCTCAAAAATTTTTTGGCACGGATTTTAATGTGTGGAGTTTTGATTGATATATATTTGTTATTTTTCGTTTTTTATGGTAAGAAAAATATAAATAATTAATATAAATTTTTACTAAATAAAAAAAATTAGAACATTTTAAAGAGATAAAAATAAAAAATAAAAAGTGAGCATATATTTAGAAGACAGAGGAGTAATACAAATCATGGGTTGTTATTTAATATTGTATGTATTGCTTGCATGTATTTAGTGTGCTGTTAGTATTATGCTCAAAGTTCTAAATCACCCCGATATAATGAGTAAATTGTATTATGTTTTATTATAAATACACAAAACATTTGTATTGTATTTATTGTGTGAGATGTTGCTTTATATTAAAATATGTCTTTTCATCCAAAATCGATGTTGTAAACTTGCATCTAACTATTGTATAAAGAGAATGTTTTGTGCATATTTTATAAGAAAATTTTATAAAATAAATAAAGTATAAGTGAATATTATGTAATTTACCCCCCTCCTCTCTTCTGTCTCTCTCTATATATATATATGGAATAAAGTAGTAAGTACGTACATTTGTTGTTGTTGGATGCATCCATAAAACCGTGTGGACCTGCAGTACTCACTCACTCTCCCCCCTGCATGCATTGTTTGTTAGTCCTATATTAATTAATTAATATATTTATTTATTTATTTATAAAGAAACCATGACAGGAATCTTTTGGTTTGGCTGGAGTAGTAACTAGTAGTAGTGTTGTTTTGGTCTATAAATACCTCTGTATATTTTCCATCATCATCATCATCACTCAATATTATTCTCAGAGGACAACGCAAATAATTAATGATGAAGGTTGTTTTGGTGGCTTCTCTCCTCCTGTTTTCCATTATCGTTTTGAGCAGCACCACCTTCATCCACCCTACAATGGCTGCTGCTGATGGTTTTGGTGGTAAGTTTAAGATAAATATATACTCTCTCCGTCCATTTCAAAGTTTATATTTGTTTTTTGCGTGTTCATTTTTAAATATTAACGTAGTACAAATTAAAAAAAAAAATTATAAAAATATTTTTAATGTTACTTAAATTTATTAAATGGACGGAGGGGGTATTTAGTAAAGTCAATTTAATTTTTTAAGCTCGAGTTTGTTTCTTGAATATAGCGAGCTAAAGGTCATGTTCGATTCATTTAGCTCAACTAACAAAGCTTATAACAAGTTGAGTCGGCTAAAAGCTTGTTTGTTTTATATTATAGCTCTGACATAAGTCTACAAGTTTAGGCTTTGTTTACCATTTTTTTAAAAATATAACGTGAAATATATATATTTTTTTCTCACAAAATATCAAATCAAATATTTATTTTTCCAAAACTTTCAAATTTCCAAAAACCTCTAAAAAAATCTTCTATCTAAACAAAGCCTAATAGTGATCATTGCTCATATATATATATATGTACGTACGGTGAGTGCAGTGTGCGGGCGGAGTTGCCGGATGCGGTGCAGCCGGGCGGGCATGAAGGATCGGTGCCTGAAGTATTGCGGGATATGCTGCTCCAAGTGCCGGTGCGTGCCGGCGGGGACTTATGGAAACAAGCATCAGTGTCCTTGCTACAGAGATATGCGCAACTCCAAGGGCAAGCCCAAATGCCCTTAGAAATTTCATTTATTCATTTTCAAGTTCGGCCTTCATCAATGATTATGTTATGGCTCGTATCTCGTTGTTTTCTTCGGTTGGCATTTGTGCCTTCTCTGTGTATTTTGGATTGGAATTATATATTTTGATATATGAGTGAATGAATATCAGGTGTGTTTGTTTTGTATATTGATTCGATGGATAATGAATAAAATAATATAAATATGTATTAAATTTAATTGATAAAATTTATATTATACAGTATATAAATTTATATTATATTTAACATATATATATATATTTTGGATGTGCTACTGTAACTACGAGAATTTAGATAAAATATAATTAGAAGGTAATTAAGAAATATTTATTATTTAGTAAAAATAATTATAGATTAAGATTAAGATAAATAAATAGGTTAATTAAATTTTAAAAAATTATAAAATTTAAAATTTAAAATGTGATTAAAGTGGATAATCATATTTAAAAAATAAAAAATAGGAACAGCGACGGATGGAGTATTTAAATTATATTTTATTTAAAAAATAAATAAAAAATTAATTTTACGTTGTTCAAAATTTTTGTTATTCAAATTTTAATTCAAAATTTAAACTTCCAAACAAATACACCCATGTGTATTTAGTTGGGAATTTTATTTTAATTTTGTTTATTTATTAAGTATTAATTTAACATTTAAAATATTATATTAATTATTTAAATTCAACATTTTTATTGTTCAAAATTTAAATCTAAAATTCAAATACATGCATTTTGGATCCGAGGAGCGCATGGCGTTATTAACTCCCATCTCCGTCTCAGTATACCTATTGAGGTTGTATTTTTTTTTTCAAAAAATTTATATGATATTTTATATATATATAAAAGTGACTCTATATTTGTACTGTTGATTCCATCTGTTCAAATATAAGTCTGTTTTTTGTTTAAAAAAATTAATAAAATAAAATAATTTATTTTTATTTATAGCAAATAATTATATATAATTTTTAATATTATATTTATTTATAAATACTATAATTATTGACAAATTCCCCTAAACTTTTTATAGACTAAAAAAGTTGTTATGAAAATTTCAGGAAATCAAGATGAGAAAACAAAGACAAAAGAACACAAGAATTTGGTAACCCAGTTCGATCACAAAGATCTACGTCTGGGGGCGCTGCCAAGCCAGGAATTTTACTATAAAGTACGCAGGCACATGTTAAAGTGAGAATACATGGATATTTATAGCCTAAGCCTTTGACAATAATATCCAAATCATATCTCTAAAATCTAAAATATAATATCCAAATCATATCCCTAGATTTTAGGATATAATCAGGCTTCATATCCCAACAATCTCCCACTTGAAGACTGATTTCATCTTCCACTTCAACATACCCCATCCAATCTCCACTCCCCACAATTCGGTGTTCTGATTCGAATCATTCCTTTACCTACAATTTTCAGTGTCTCATCATCTCCAAGATAGACAACACCAAAATTACCTGTGGTATAGGATTCCATGATTCTCGAATAACTGCATGAGTGAAATGACGTTCAACCAAAATCCATGACTCCATTGGACTGCTGACGCTCAGAATCAGCGCATCGGATATCTCCTCCGTTGCGTTTGCTGAACCCTGATCCTTCTCCGTCGCCCTGCACTGTCGTTTCAAGTGCCCCTTGCAGTTCCAATATACCACCTGACTTGCATCTTCCTTGTCCTTATTCTTCGGCTTCAACTTTGACTATTCTTGATCTTCACCCTTTCCTTTTGCCTCAAATCTAAATTCAGTCGAGACATTCTCCCAAAGGGTTAGTCGAACCGCACTCATCGTCTTCCTGTTGATCTTCTTGTATTCGGCTTCATCCATGTCTTCGGATTTCTCCTTCAATACCGCATCTAGATCTTTACCATTCATGTAATCTTCTATATGCATATTTTAGAAACCAAAGTTCATACCATCGAATACCTTGACAACATGACGATCACCCATCTTGACTCCCACAAACAAACCTAAGGTTCACTTGATATGAGAGCACATCGGATATTCCGCTGCGTTTGCCGAAACCCTTATCCTTCCCTACCAACCTTGCACCGCCTATCACAAAGGGACTCGCTGCCTGACCTACCAGTCGGGACCGACCCAACACCGCCAGGAGACTTTCGACACAAGGCACCTCCGCAGGTCACAAGGGATTCCCACAACGATCCAACGTCCGATTCCTCTCAATCCACCCTATCAACGAACTAGGCTCTGATACCACTTGTTATGAAAATTTCAGGAAATCAAGATGAGAAAACAAAGACAAAAGAACACAAGAATTTGGTAACCCAGTTCGATCACAAAGATCTACGTCTGGGGGCGCTGCCAAGCCAGGAATTTTACTATAAAGTACGCAGGCACATGTTAAAGTGAGAATACATGGATATTTATAGCCTAAGCCTTTGACAATAATATCCAAATCATATCTCTAAAATCTAAAATATAATATCCAAATCATATCCCTAGATTTTAGGATATAATCAGGCTTCATATCCCAACAAAAGTTAACTTCCACTAAACTTTCTAATTATAAATCTATTTTCCTATTTACTCTATACATTAAATTCTTTAACTTTACTTCATACTTATTTAATTTATTTTTTTATTTTTCCTTATTCACTTAAAATTCTTACAATATGTATATTTTTTTTTTATTAACTTCAATTTTTGTCTTCACATATAAACCTTAATATCTACTACTCCGTCCCAGATACCGAGACACGGTATTTTAAGAGGGGTGTAATTAGTAGATAATTAAGAATATATTAGTGAAAATAATTATCCTATAATATAAATAATTATAAATTAATATTAAGATAACTAATTAGTTTAATTAAAAATTAAAAAAATAAAATTAAAAAATTTAAAATTAGATTAAAGTGTGTAATCATTTTGGACAGAGGGAGTATATAATTTCATTTTTTACCATTAAAAAATAAGTAAATAAGTATATAGACACAATATGAAAAGTAAATAATTATAAAAATATATATGTAGCCCATAAATAATAATACAAAATATTTATAGAAAAATATCAAATTTGATCAAAAAGTATATGATACTCAATTTTGAAAATATTGTTAAGCAATAAGTAGATAATTTTATATATAAATACTTACAAATAAATTATATATATATTTAAATGTTCATAACTATTAAATCTTACTACAATTTTTTTATATATATTTTTTGTCATTATGCGAACAAAGTAATAATAAAATTAATAATTATTTACATAAATCAAGAATCAAGAATTTTGGATTACATTAAATATATAAAATTATAAATTAAATATTATTTTGAAGCGTAAAATTAAAAAATTTTAAGTAAAAATATATAAAATTCAAAACAGAAAATTGTTAAGAGTAAATAAGAAGTAACTAGAAACAAATATATAAATAAAAATTAAAAAAGAAAGAAATTTGTAAATTAGAAATTTTAAAGAAAATGAATAGTTATAAAAAGCACTATTCTATTTTATATTAAATATTAATTTTTTATAAGAAAAAATAGAATATACTAACAAACCCCGCACATAAATATTAGTAAATTTTTATGAAAAAAATAGAATATACTAATAAACCCCATATTATCACCGCATTTGGTTTAATATAAATGAACATATTATTAAAAATAGAATAAATGGTACAGTTCCATAAATATTGAGAAATATTCAAACCAATAGTAAAGACCCACGTGTACGGATACAAGAAGATTAAAATGATAATGAAGTTGAAAATGTTATAAAAATAAGACAAAGTGCAAGGCACCATTCTTATTATAATAATAAAGGAAATCAATAATTCCAAAAAAAAAAATATCTCAATTTTTAACACATCCCAAATGTTTGGATGTTTAAATCAATTATAATTTTTTTTTAAGAAAACATCAAATTAAATATATATTTATTTTATTTAAAACATTACATTGAATACATATTCAATTAAAAATCTAAATATTTTTAAATTCATACAAACCCCAATCCCACCTTCAAACTTATCTTAAATTATCGGGCTCTGGCCCAAAAAAGGGGTTGGATAAAGTTTATGAATTGGGCTTGGCCCAATTAACTTATAATAGGCTAATCCAGCCCACATACAGAACACCAAATTCGGCCCGGAGCTATTTTAGGATGCTCTCTAAAATAAATAAATATATATATATTTTTTAAAATTTTGTATTGCATTTATATTATAAATATTAATATAAATGGTGTATACAAACAAAAGCAAATAAGAGCAACAGAGATTATTGGCAAAGGTAGTTTTATTCCATTCCACGTCCAAGAAAGAAAAACAAACAAACAAAACACATTATTCTACAACCAACAAGAAGTCTCACAAAACAAACAAACAGACAAACAAACAAACCACAATGCCAAACACTTAATAAGTCGATGAATAGATAGATAGAAAGAAAATAGATAGAGATAAGAGAGATAGAGTAGAGTAAGAGAGAACTTACCTTACCTTATACCTTAGTCTCGCCTAATGTACCTAATGTACAACAAACATACAATCATACACGCAGTTTGTTGCCTTTGGTACGCGCAAGAACCCTTTTCCCGTGAGGATGGCTGTGCAAGAACGCGTAGTTCAGAAATATCAAGTCGATTATCGCATTACGAACCCCTCCCTGCACCACCACCAACATCTTAATCTCTGTTTTCGAATAAATTGAACTTATACCTATAAGTATATATAAGAAATGTGTGTGATTGACCTTAGAGATTGCGAGAGCAGATTGAGCTACATAGTTGCCGTAGGGATCCTGCAGAACCCTCACAAAATTGGGGCTGGAGATGATCTCTTTGATGATCCTGAGCACAACGTCGTTTTCGGATTCCTTGAGGCATTTCTCCACGACATTGCTTCCATATTTGTTGGTGGAGAGGGCGACAAAGTGGCCGGAGAGTTGTTCTAGTATCCCGGCTGTCACTCGGGGGTTGCGCAGGCCTACCACATACTGCACCACATAATTCCTGAGGTATGCGAAAAAGAACAAGATGATGAGGTTGGATTGGTGGAGGATGAGTTTTTTTATACACTGTATGAAATTGATTGTTACCCGTATGGATGCTCGGAGAGACGTAGTGCGTTGGATGATATCTCTGCAATGAGGCGCTCGCGTGGCTCGCCTTGAGCGTGGTGGACGCACTGCTGTAGAACACAGCAGCCGCTTTTGTCGGTGGCGATTTCTAGGCAGTGATCGGCTACTTTGTTGAGGATTTGCTGTTGATTGAGGAAAGGAATTGGAATTATTGGATTTGATGATGTGAAGATAGGTTTTGATTAATTGAAGAGTTGGATTAGTACTGACCTTGTTGTCTTCGGCGGAGAATATCTTCATGCAATGCTGAATCACGTGGTGGCCGCTCATGCTATTTGTGAGATCTACAGTTACGTGCCTGAGTACTGATATTGCTATTGATTTCTGCTCTGGTGTTGTCAGATTCTCTAGAAGCTTCTGCATAGCTCTTGTTCTGCCATAGACGATGAAATGATGAAAATTAGATGAAGAACAACAGGATCTAGAGATGTTGAAATTGATTAAATGACTGATTTATCAGAGAAAATCGAAGAACAGGATCTATAGATGTTGAAATTGATTAAATGATTGATTTATCAGAGAGAATTGAGGAACAGATGCAGAACAGGATTTTTGCTGATGTTGAAAATGATGGAAATTATCGAAGAAATTTGAAGAATTACAGATGCAGAACAGGAGGTTTATTGATAATGAAAATTGATGAAATGATCGAAGAAATTTGAAGAATTACAGATGCAAGACGACAGGATTTGTTGATACTGAAAATTGATGAAATGATCGAAGAAAATTGAAGAACAGATACAGATTGAGATTGAAATTTGATAACGTACCCGTAGCTATCGATGCAGATTTCCTTGAACTTACGATCATCCATCACCACATTCACTAGCAGCTGACTGACCTGTTCTTCACTGGACAGTTCCACCATTTTCTGCACCAGATAATTCCCAAACTGATCCATCATCAATTCACAAACGCGATCGTGCACTTCAGAGAAGATTACGCGCCTATCATCCTGATTCCCTTCCTCGAATTTATCCTGCAGGAATCTAGCGCCTCCTTGATCTTTAGCCACCATCACTATTCTTCCTCTCACCTCCTCCAGAGAGGAGAAATTCCTCGAGTACCTCGGTCGCGGCGGCAACAAGGATGCGGAATTGACGGATTCTGATCGGAAATTCGGATTGCTCCGGCTCGGACGGGACCGGAAACTGCTCCGAATTTGTCGAGGGGGATATACGTTCGCAGCGGCGTTCAAACTCCTCCCAAAGTAAGGGTTTCCGAACTCCGGAAAACCGTTTAAGCTACGAGCCATGGAACGCGCTTCCGGAGTCGAAATCGGACTGTTGGCTAACCCTTGGAAGGATTGGCGTTGCATTTGCGGTCCAATTTGCCCATTCGCGGCGGCGATTTGATGAACGCCGTCGAATTGCGGATGAGAGAATGGAAGAGTACTAACAGGCAAATTGTTTCTGAAATTCGATTCAAAGCATACGCCGGAGGCGAAATCAGTATAAGAAAGCTGCTGCTGCGGCGGCGGCTGCGGCTGAAGCTCCGGAGTGAACGCACCATCGCCGCCGCCGCCGCCGAGACTGAGGCGGCGAAAGTCCGATTCGAGCTGAAGGTCATACCGGAAATCGTTGAAATTAGGGTTTACACGGCGGTACGGACTGGCCTCCGGCAAAAATTGGTGACTCCAATCGGAAGCGCCGCCGCCGGACATGTGATTTACAGCCGAGTCAAAACCGGTTTCAGACCTCCATGGGTGGCTACCTGAGTTCCACAAACTGAAATCCTCCGCCATTGAAACGTCGTCGGCGAAGATGATGAGTCCAAATCAGGACTTTAATAATTTCCGTAACTGACGACGAATTGGTGATAACAGATCGCGATAAAATCCTAACTTAGGGTTTAAATGAGAAGATTTAAATAATCAAAAGGGAAGATTATCGGTTGCTGTGGCTGAAACAAACTCAGAGATTTTTGCGCGATCACAGAGAGAGAAAAACGAAGCGAAGCTGCGAGAGAAATCAATTTTAGGGTTTTGGGTAGAGATCTTTTCATGCATGCAAATATATATATATAGTCTTCCAAAGAGAAGGACGGTCTTTCTCAGGATGTTGACACGTGTCCTGTCACCAAATCTACGGATGGTATTTAACGGACTATTTTTAGTAACTGTTTGTTATATTGTGTAACTCTACCCCTAACAATCTCTCTACTAATTTGATTCGGTAATATTTCCATAAATTTTTTATCCACTCATTTAATTTGATTTGATTTAGAAAGATTTCATCTAATTTAAGTTAGCTAAATACGAAAAGTCTGGACCTCAAGATTTGGAATATATATATATATATTTATCAAATTTATATTTTGTTCGGTTATGATTTAAAATTAATTTTGATTTAAATTTTATTTAAATAGTATTTGTGTGATATTTTATTAGGGAAAAAAAATAATTATTGAAATTGTAGAATTAATAGTATGGATTTCAATTGGAAAAATATTTGTGTGTTACTATTAATGTTTTGGTCGTACCTATCTTATTTGTATCAATTGGGACTAATGGTGAAATTCTAGTTGGTAGAGGGAGATCGGATTAAAGTGTATAAAAATAATTATAAATTATTATTAAAATAATTAAATAATTTAATTAAAATTTTAAAAAATTATTAATTATGAAATTTAAAAATCCAAAAAATGAAAAAGAAAATATATATATATATAAAGCTGGCTGAAATGAAAAAATTAAATCTTTTACATAGCACAAAGGAAATATATATTTTGTATAAATATATGTATATTTTTATTTTTATAAAAAAATTCAGATTCTGATTTTCCTTTTGATTCTGATTTTATATTTCAAATTTCAAAATTTCAAATTCGTTGGAATTTGCCAAAAGCTACCCATATATCCCAATACTCACTCCTAAAATTGTGTGTATTGACAAATATTAGAAAAAAAAAAAAAAAAAATTGTAAGCAAAATGTTTTTTAAATATTTTTTTATTTTTAAATTAAATAATATTTTAATGTAAATTTAAATGAGAAAAAAAAAATCTTATTTGAACAAAACTGTGGTTTTTCTTATTTAAAATAAAAAATAAATACACCCTTAAAAAATTTATTTTAGAAATTTTATTTTTAATAAAAATATAGTAATATATAGTTTTTATATAAAATATCACATCGCACTCTTGACCAGCTCCAAGATAAAAATTAAAATTGAAAACCTACAAAATTGCGAACTAGGATTTTTTTTCACACATCTTTTCTGCGATTCCCTATTAATAGTGTAAAATATATATATATATACACAAACTTACAAAAATATGTTCATACATTTTCTATCGTACAAATTTATGTTTATTTTTTGTTTTGATTGGTAAAAAAGTTATTTTTTGTTTTCTATTTTATTAAAAAAATCTATTATATATATATATTTCTTTTATGAACTATTTTAATAAAATTTGTACCAACCAAATTATGAATAATTTTTTGTTATGAAAAAGGCATTACTTGTTAAAATCATCAATTTAAAGTAAAATATTATTTTTCTTTTATAAAATATAAATTATATATTTTTTTATGCTTACCATAAAAGTACTACTCCCTCCGTTCCAATACATAGTCTTGTTTACTATTTTTATCAGTCGCAAAATAATAGTCTTATTTTCATAAATAACCATATTACCATAAAACTACCCCTACTTTTTCATTTTTATTAGTCACTACTTTTTACACTCGTAAAGGCAAAAAAGTCTTTTATCCATATTTTTTACCTATAACCAATATAACATCAATATTCTTTGAATCTTGTGCCCAACCCAATTAAGACTATATCAACAAAAACACCATTTGTTTTTTGCACCTAATTTTTTTTTAATATAAGTATAATATTAGTTTGTAGTAAAAAAGAAAAAAATATCTATGATATAATATAAAAATAATGTCATATTTGTGTAATATATTATTATATGTTGTAAGAGTATTTATTATGTTAAATAAGTAGTATAGTTACTAAATTATGAAATAATATCTTGTTACGGAGACTGATAAAAATATAAAATGATACTCTCTCCGTCCCAAAAGTATAGTCTTATTGTGTTTGACACGAGATTTAATAAATATTGATATTATATTGGTAGTTGGTAAAAAGTAATAATAAATAACTTTTTTGCCATTGTGAGTATATTAGTGTAAAAAGTAGTGGTAATTGTATAATAATAGTAATAATAAAGTAGAGATAGTTTTTATGGTGATATGGTTATTTATGGAAATGAGACAATTGTTTCGGGACAATAAAAAATGGTAAATAAGACTATTGTATTGAGACGAAAGAGAATATATTTTTTTTGGAACGAAGGAAGTATATATATACATATTAAAGCTAAACTACATTCGGTTAAAAGGTCGCTTTTCTTATAAGGTTAGAACTTAGAAGGATAACTCTGCCCGACTGTTTGATTTTAAGGGTGTGTTTGTTTGGGAAATTTATTCCAAATTTTGCTATTCATTTAATATTTTTTTCTTAAATATAAAATTAAATTATATATTTTTTTTATATTATATTAAAAATAAATTTTATATTTAAAATATCACATCAATACTTATTTATATCACATCGTACAACTATTCAAAAATATCCTGAACATTCCATAACATGGTCGGCAGAGTGCAAAACGGCCGGAAATAATCAACCGCCGACAACCTGAAGGCAACAGAATTGAAGAGCATTAATGATCCGGCGACAGATTGATCCCAACGGAAGCGTGACTACGTGACTAAGTCAAACACCGTCGAATGTTGGTAGGGCGGCGCAGTGGCCGGCACCTCACGTGGTCCGCACATGCCATGCGGCGGCGCAGTATGGGCCGCGCATGTGACAGGCTTGGGCCTCTGGTGGGCCTGATCAGGCCATATTCTATTCACGTGGATCATTACTGCCGGGCCCAATAGGCTAGACTGACAACTCACAGTCAAACTCTGAAAATTGAAAATCTAATTATTATTATTATTTTGTTAATTAATTAATTAATTGATATACTACTATACTACTTTTATGGCAGATTCATGCATAAACAACAACACTTGATGATGTTTTTTGATTTCCAAAATAAAATCATGTCCCAATAATGACATGTCATGTCCTGTCGTGTCGTGTTATTCTGTGTGCAAACCTAAACTAGCACCATTTTTAAAAATTAAAATTTCTCTAAATATAATTTAAAATAATTTTATAGTATATATGTTTTTTTTATCAGATAAATACACGTAACAAAATTGTACTAGTTCATAATAATAAACGGTACGTACTTAACATAATACTAGTAATTTTGATGAATTTGATTGAAGAAATTTAAAAGTGCGATTTCTGTAATATTTACCGACAATGTGCTGCAAAAGCGCTTTTTCAGCTTTAGCAATTTTAACGTTCATGAATGAGAAAAAGGAAAACAGCAGAGCAGAGCAGAGCAGAAAACAGTACAGATTTAGGGCAGAGGAAAAAGAAATGGTAAATGAGGAGTGCTTTTTTCAGGCAATGGTGGAAGGTGGCCGGCAATGCTGTCCGGTGATCCGACGGCCAAAAGTAGAGTGCACTGTTCGAAATCGACCTTTGTGTTTCCTACTGTTCTTTCTTTCTCTTTAATTTCTCAATATATTTATATATATGGAGAGAGATATTTTTAAGACAAATTATTTTTCGCTCCATTTAATAAGTATATGCTCCCTCCGTCCTATGTATTATGGGTCTATTACTGTACATACGGGAATTTAGGTAAAATCTGATTAGTAAGTAATTAAGAAGTGTATTAATAAAAATATTTTTAGTATAATAAAATTAATTGTGGATTAACATTAAGATAACTAAATAGTTTAATTAAGATTAAAAAAATTATAAAATTTAAAATAAGATTAAAGTGTATAATTATATTTTAAAAAAAACAATGGACAAATTATGTGGGACGGAGGGAGTATTTTATTACTTTATATTATTAAAATATGAAATATATATTTTTTAGTATGTATAAATTTCACTCCAAATTTCAAATATTTTTACATTTATACTTATTTATATATAACTTGTTACAAAAATTCCAGGAAATCAAAATGAGACGAACATTGACACAAGAACACGATAGTTGGATAATCCGGTTCGATTACGATGATCTACATCTGAGGTCGCTGCTAAACCGGGAATTTTAGTATAAAGTACGCAAACGCAAGTTAACGTGAGAATATATGGGTATTTATAATCTAAGTCTATATCAATAATACCTAAATCATATATCTGTAATACCTAAATCATATCACTATATTTTAGAATATACTCAGGTTTTATATCCCAACAATATTATTTTAAAAGATAAAATAATTTTTACATATCATAAACTATCACAAACTATTATTAAAATTTAATTTTTACATATCCCTATATTATTTGTCAAACTTACATCTAATAAAAAAAATATATTTAAAAATAGTATTTTAATAGTAGAAAATTATATTTATTGTTTGTGAATGGAAGATGACTTGATAGTCTCACTATTAAAATATTTATTTTATTATTTTCGAACTGATTACTCTTAATTTTAATAAGTGTAGTCTCGATATAATCACTCTGTGCCTATTTATTTAATCATTTATGCTATTTTTATTCTTCTGAAATTGATTTATTAGATTCTTTAATAATGTTTCTTTTCCACATAAAATTCGAAAATATATATTCTTATATTTGACTAAATATTATTTTTGTTGTCCGGAATAATTATGTCACAATGTTCAAGCACTAAAATTAAAATGATGATGTCATATGAAAGTTATTAGAAATTAATAATAAAGTGGTGGAGCATGTTAGAAGAAAAAATAGCTGCAAATTGCTTATCATGTGCTAAAGTAGAGTAATAAAATTGTAGAAATAAAATTGTTTACTTACACATGAATTAAGCATAAGTTTAAAACAATACTCCCGTCGTCCCAATACAATAGTCCTATATATTATTTTTGTCCGTCTCAAAACAATAGTCTCATTTTCATAAATAACCATTTTACTATAAAATTATCTTTACTTTTTCATTATTATTACACAATTGTAACTAATTTTTACACTAATACACTCACATGGGCAAAAAAGTCTTTTACCCACTACTAATATAATATCAATATTCCTTAAATCTTGTGCCAAATATAATGCAGACTATAGTTTTGAAATCGAGGGAGTATATATAATTATCCAAAATGATGGGAGCACAGGAAAGTCATCAAATGAGTCTTAATATTCATGGAATTTTAGGGATAAATATGATTTTTTATCGTTCTACTAAATCATTTATATATAAAAATATTAATATTTTAAAATTTATATATAAAAAACGAATGAATAAATAAACAATGGCTAGAATGAATACTATTATTACAAAATCTGTATATAACACTACTTTATTTTTACCATATATTAATTATATTTTCAATAACATTTCAGTTAATATATACTTACAACATATAAAATACTTTACATAGGTAAATGAATATATATATATATATATTACACATACAAAAAAAAATAAAATAAAAGAGGTAGTATATATTTATATTCTTGTGTGTTTTTAAATTGAGGGTTTTGAAGTAATAATTGCAGTCACATGGGATCTACACTTCTAAATCTATATAAAGATCTAATTTTATTGACAAATATCATTCTTCAGTGGATAATATTAATATAAACATGGTGTGTGGAGAAAATGGGCAATAACATCTCCAGGCTCAATATATACAAATATTAAATATTTTTATTTATGTACGTCTTTTTTTTTTTTTTTTTTTTTTTTTTAGAAAAAGGGTTAAAAATCGATCTTGAAATTGAGATACAATAATTAGTGTTATTATTTTATAAATTTATGTAGGTATACGTGTCGGCAACGGCAAGAGATTGCATTATTGAAAGTGGTCAAATTATGAGACTGAAATAAAATTAATTATATATATATATATTATATATATATAATAATTAATGTATGCGATGAAATTAATTTTTACTCCACGATTTTGCTTTTGGTTGATGTAGCTTTAGAGTGTCTGGTGCAGGACACTTGTCTTAACTTTACAGTACATTTATGATTTTATCTCTTTCACGATGTACACAGACAATCCATACTATTTTTCAAATGGATAATGTCGAAAAAATAAATATAAAATAGGGAAAGTAAATAAATTCAAAACTTGAATAATAACAATTAGAAAGCAACTAAAAGATTCTGATGTACACATGATATGCTTTGCATTTTGTGTGCTTTGTTTGTCTTGATCTGATCTTCCCCAAATAATACAAAAATGGTTTGGATTACATTATATTATAATAATAATTATTATTACTAATACATATGTTCAGACAAAAAGATACCTCAGAGAAAGTCCAACTGGATATCATTGTGTTGACAAAATTAAGTTTTGTGGTGCTTTCTTGTACGAAAGGATGATTTATCGGTCTATCGTAAGTATATATTCAAATTTAAATAAATAATAATAATAATAATAAAAAGTTCAATTCATTGAATAAGCCCCAAAGCGTCACGTCGTCTTCGAGCAGAACTGAACCATCCATACAGATTTAATTTTAATTAATTAAACCTAACATTTTTTTTTTACTTCTACTTTGCACACCTAATTAAATTAAACACATTGAAGAAGCATAACGACAGGGAACGTAGAAAATTAAACTAAGGGCCGGATCGGGTCGGGTCAGACCGGAAGGACGGCTCAGCGGCGGCGGTCGGGAGACCAATGCGGCGGCGAGGGGCTGAAGTGTCGGGAAATGACTCGGGAGTCCAGGAGCTCCATGATTGGGGTGAAACTGACACATCTAGGGACTTTGTACTGATTAATGGAGGCTCCTCGAGAAATGGCGTAGTCCATGAGTTCTTCGAAGGTGCCGGTCTGGACGACCCGGATCTCGAGCGGTCCGATCGAGTTATCGGCGACTCGGCATTGCCGGTAAACCGAGTTAAGCGACTCTTCCATGGCAAGGCAGCACCGGTCGAGCACGTGACCGGCAGGTGGGGTGTCGCCGGAGTTTCTGTCGTCTTTAGGGAGAAGCTCCCAGTAGACGACGTAGTGGCCGGGGATGGTGGCGGTGTCGGCGTAGCTGGTGTACTCCACGACGGAGGTGTTGAATTCGCGGAGGAGGCGGGAGGCGGAGTCGACGGCGGACTGGAGCTCCGCCTCGTCGGTCTTGTCGGCGTCGATGCTGAGGAGGACATTTTTCCGGCGGACGAATTGGAACTGCGGGGCGGCGTTGTGGAAGCCGGTGACACGTAGGATGTCGCCGACGCGGTAGCGGCAGAGTCCGGCGTAGGTTGTGATGACGAGCTCGTAGTCTTTTCCGACCTCCACGTCGGCGAGGTCAACGAGGTCGGTCAACGAGTTGGAATTAACGTTATTGTTGTTGTCATGTGGGAGGAACTCAAAATACGCCATGTTAGGCATTATGGTGTAGGAGACTTGGGAGGGTTTGCACATGGGGTTAAGGTTGAGGCCGAAGTAGCATTCGGATGACGCGTACATCGTACACGCTTTGGGCAGCCCGCCGCTGTAATAATCCAGCGTCGGAATGTACTGCGCCATGGCCCCGGTCACGATCACTTCCAGGTATTTCGTGTTAGGCCACATTCTTGTAATGATTTTTTCCCAGCTTGGGTTGGAGCATTCCTTTGTGATGAAGTCGGCCAAATCTGGGTCGGGTCGGGAGATTTTTCGGGTCATGCATTCGCGGATGGCCGGGTCGGTTATTTTCGGGTTTAGGGATCCGGTCCGGATGTCGTGGGCCAGCTCCGGCCAGTTCTGCTGGAGGAATTTGATGGCGCGGAGGAGGCCGGAGGCGAAGACGGCGCCGACGCGGAGGACGTGGTGGCGGTCGTAGAGGCCGCAGAGCATTTGGGTGTACATGCTTTGGAAGGAGTCGGGGCAGAGGATGGCTTCGTTGGGGCTGGTCTGGACGTTGTACGGGTCGTAGGGTCGGTTTTTGAAGTGGTCGCTTTTGTAGTAGCTGGTGAGAACGGGTCGGGCTAGGAGCCCGCCCGGAGTCTTCGTCTCGGATTTGATGAACAGGAAGTAGAGGCCTTTGCCTTTGTCCAGTCCTTTCACGTATCTGTTGGATTGGAATTGAATCATGCAGTTGTTAGAAGAAGGAAGCGAATTCACTGCCAATAATTAATTTTATTTTATTTTATGCTTACAGGTTCATGACAGGCTGCAGAAGACTGTAGAGCAGCTGGCGACGATCCAATTCTTCTTTGATAGTCGGCATCAGTTTTCTTTCACCGGCAGAGGTTCCCGAGCTGTATAAATATGTCCGAATACGAAATTGAAATAATCAGCTTCCCTCGATTAAACGAAGAAATCAAACTCCATTCATAATTAATTATCAATTAGTTACCTGGTGAGGAATTCGGAGACAGGATGAGACGAGAGAATCGGAGATTTATCGCCATTAGCGATCCTCTGAATCAACGGCTGGAGATCCTCGTACGTCGCCATCGGAACTTTCGACTTGAAGGTGTCTCGGTCGGTGGCTCCGCCGAGGTCGAAGCTTTTGAGGTATTCTGTCTGAGCATTCCGAGCGAGGATTTCCGCGAGGACACGCTCCTGAACCGAGTCGGCATTCCGAGTCATTTCCTCGATGAATTGAAGTGCCTTGGCGTCGCTCTCGGTCGCCGGAGGTCCTAACGGAGACGAAAGAATCGAATCCACCGCCATTCGAATTTTCCGACAGCGAAATCAAAGTAAAGAAAAGAGACTCCGAGAAAAGAAAGAAAGAAACTGTAGATGCTTGTCTGTGTGTGGATTTGTCTGTTTAGCAGTTTTCAGATGGATGGGCTGTGAGGAAAATGCGGAAGGGGAAGCGCTATATATATAGCACGGGGGGGGGGGGGGGGGGGGGGGGGGCGGGTGTGTCGTGCACGCGCGACGTCACGTGCCACGTCACGCGGTGGCCGGAAGGCTAAAAACGTGCAATGTAAGAGGAAAGTCAGACGCGTAGGGTTAAAAAAAAAATGAAAAAAAAAAAATACGACATTGTGAGGGGTAATTTCGTAATTTGCAGTGCAGTGCGGAGGGGGGACATGGTGGGCCCCGGCCACGTCCTCCTGGCTCCGCCAGGGGGGTTCAGCCCGGGCCCACAGCCTCCACGTCAGCCAACCAACCTGGCCCTTTTCCGGTAATTCTGCTGGTCCACGACAGCGACGGGGGCCGACGCCGGCGACAAAACCCACTGTTGTCTGTGCACAGACACCCTTCCTTACGTAATATCATCATCCAGTTTTATGAATAATTTAAATTATTTTTATTTTAAAAAAAATAAATTGAATATTATATACTATTAATTCAGTGTATTAATTCGTAGCAAATTACATTTTGGGGTTGTCTGGTTTGTTAAGTGGACAGGTGTTTTGTCTGTAATGGCACTGTGGGGATGGTTATGTACCTTGTTTTTTATTTTTTATTTTTATTTATTTTTTGTTTCTGTTATTTTGAAAGCTTTTACAATTTCCTTTATGGGCATATAGCCATGTTCACCACATTTATAATAATTATACTCAATTTCGAATTTTTATTTTATCTTGTTTATTATTCAATTATTAAATTATTATGTGGGATTCGATTAGGGTTAGCCAAGAATTACTACAGATGCAATTTTGTGATATTATTATTTTTGTTTATTGTGGTAAGGTTATTTCCAGCAGAGTTCCTGGAATTTCTGTTGTGTGTTTCTTCCTAGGAAAAGTAATCCATCCTTTAGTGGATTTTGGCTGGGAGTCGAACTCCCGGGACCGCCTGCAACTGCGAAGTATTATTTAATTGTATAATTCAAAGATAAAATTGTAATGTATGTATCTATTTATAAATAGGGTTCATCAACTGAGAGTATAAAAAAGTTTGTACTACAGCAGCCAATAAATTAAATAAATGAATAATTAGACGTATGCACAGTACAACTAATTAACCTATTTAACTATAGTTTAGACAGGCTAATTAAAAGAAATTAACAACTGTATTATTAATTAATAGACGTGATTAAACTATTGTAATAATTAATTAACAACCGCCCCCAATAATGCATCAGCCGACTAATCCAAATATTCAAATTACATACATGCAATTAATTTAATTTAATTTAAATCGATTCGCCCATAGATTAACTGTAACGAATTTTGTTTTTATTTAATTTGTATGTCTAACCGATTGATGAATGTCCTACCTATAAATGCGGCTGTGTCTATAAATGCACATGATTTATAAATTTAAATTTAATTTCTATTATTTATAACGGGACAGGTAATAGAAGTTGCAAACCAATTGTTGCAATTTTCAATTTTTATCAGACAAATGCCCGACGCATGCATGTGCATGGCTGAGGGTATTTTTGGAATTTCAGTATTAAATGGTTCAATTGATCGAAGGATGTCTCTGTTGTGTTTTTAAATAAATTCGAGTTTTTATTTATTTTTTTTATTGTTGTTGTGTTTTGAAGTAAAAATATGTATATTGAATACATATATATATATATTTCTTTTTCAAGGTTTTAGTTTGACAAATGTGTTGTGTTTTAACAATATTTAACTTGTACAGTTTCTAATAAAATACACAAATTTCTTATAAAATGTCACATTAAAATATTATTTAAAATAAAATTCAAATAAAAATCAAACAAACCCGTTAATTTGTTAAACTTGTTTGGAAGACAACACACCCTAATGATTTGATTGGAATTTGAGTTTTTTATTTGAATTTTAATTTAATTAGTATTTGGATATAATATTTCATAATAAAAAATAGTATACTTTTTTGAAAAAAATATGAGTGTTTATTAGCTGAAATGATTAGTTTATATAGAGAATAACAAAAAATCCATAGTGAAAAATGAATAATAATAATAATAATAATAATAATAAAATAAATCAAACAAAGCATAAAATGTTTAAAAAACACAAACAAACGCACTACAAAAAAATATCAATTTTGTAACAAGATTTTTTCATTTTAAATCCACTTTTTCCGTTACTAATAATATTAGAGACGGAATTATGGATGAAATTACGTTAGCTACGTGAACTTTAAGAACGAAATTCCGTTATAAATACTATTTTTTTTGTAGTGACGCCACTTTAAGTATTTGTGAGCTCAAGAGGCATGCACTTAGTCCATAACTAATTCACTATTAAAAAATAGAATGTTTTGTGTCTAGTAATATTTTCCGAATAATAATTAAATTACAATATTCAACATTTAATTTGTAGGTCCCTCTATTATTAGATTGATAATTTTGTTGGTTTGTTTTTTGTTATTATTATTTTTTTAAAAAAAAAAAGAAAAAAAAAAAGACAAACTCAGATAAAAAGAAATTCAACTAAAAAACAAATAAAATATATCCTATGTTAAAAAAAAATTAATCATATTATTTTTAACCATGTTAGCATTTCACTCTAATAATTGATTATTTGAATATAACAACTACTCATATATTACATTATCAATTTATTCATTTTATTTACATTCATGTTAGAAATTCAATTTAGAACATCAACACAATTATTTATTTATTTATTTATTAACTCATCATAACCTACTCATTATATTTATATTTAAATAGATAATTAATAAATGATAATTACCAAAACAAAACAAAATTTAGACCAAATTTGTAAATTCATAAATGATAATTACTATTTACTTAAAAGTATATGAAACAAATAGAATATGTAGTGATAATTTAAGTAAATTACAAAAATAGCATTGATTGAATTAATTAGTGGACTGTTACTTGTCACGGATACAAACAAATTCACGTGCAATTTGCAATAATAAAATAAATAAAATTGAATTGTTATTTAGGTAAAGTACGAAATGGGTATAAAAAAAAAATTATTGTACCAAAGTGTGCAAAAAATAATCACGGCGCTCAATATTTGTACGTACAATAAATTTCCAATTAATTAATTAATTAATTAATTAAATTTGGGCAGGGGAAGTGTGCAATAGTCTTCATTATTTTTATTACTACAACATAGTAATAATTTGTCGTTACGTGACATCAAAATTATAGTTGTAGGCTGAATTTGTACCAATAATAATACTAAGTCAAAGATTTTCTCCAGTCTTCGAGGTAATCCCCCAATTTTAGACACACAAAATCACACAAATAATAATTAAATAATAAACTTTCAAATTTAGGAAAAAAATACATATATATATATATAAGTATTTTAAAAAATATCATTATACATAAACGTGTCCCATCATCCACGTAAATACTTTCTTCTTCATAATAAACACTATTTTGACAAGCAACAGATAGTTTTTATTTTTATTTTTAATTTTTTTATATTGTAAAAATAAAAATAAATGAAAAGTCAAATGTCAATATTTTGATGCAGTTTTATTTTCCATAGCTGCCTAAGATTTGTTGGGGTTTGGTTTCTATGGAAAATAGTATTTAAAATAATTTATATTATATCAACTTTTTATTTTAATTAAAAAAAAAAAAGGTATTATTTTCAAAAGTTAATCCAAAACTTTATCCAAATGCAATCACTACTATCTGTCGTATATCTTTTGATTTTTGTTTTTTTCTTTCTCTAATTTGTATTTATGTAGTATTTTGGAAATGTAATAAAAAATTGTGGTAATGGTGGTTAAAAAGAGTCACTAACTATTGACCAACAATTAAATTAAATTAAATTGAAGAGTATAGTAGTGGAGGAGTAGGTGTGAGGAGAGTGGTCCAAACAAATTAAATAATACTAGTAAAATTAATTAAATATTGCTAAGTCAAGAAATGGGACACGATAAAAGGTTTCCTACTTTTGGTTGTTCAGTCATATATGGATACCTTAATTCTTAATTCACCTAATATTCTAAAAAAAAATTATTGAAGTTCAAACTGTAAGTATAAATAAATTACATTATATATACATATAATAATTTTATATTATTATAAATAAATTAAAATTCGGACATGTATCCCCAAAATCATAAATTCTTCACATGGAATCATTATCCCTGTCTGAAGATTATATACAATATATATATATATATTCATGGATTTTCATTTTAAGCCTAAGTTATACTTTGCCACTAATTAATTTTAAAATGTGATAAAAAAAAAAAAATACTCCCTCTGTCCAATGTTGGATGTTTAAGTCACTGTAAACACAGAAATTTAAAATAAATATAATTAGTAGATAATTAAGAATATATTAGTAAAAATATTAAAATAACTAATTAATTTAATTAAAATTAAAAAATAATAAATTAGAAAAATTTAAATGAAATTAAAGTGTATAATCATTTTAAAAAAAATGAAAGTAACATAGGATAGAAACAACAATATGGACATGGTAAGTGAGGCAGATGGAGTATTAGATTAAATAATTGTTGAAGTAGATATATGCACGCTGATGATTTTATTAATCAATTGAACACCTAAAATGATTTTAAAAATCGTAGATATTTTATAATTTAATTATTAAAATATATTTTGATAGTGTTGAATTGTCATATTCATAACAAGAACCGTATAAACTCAAAATGCTCCCGACCAAAAATTATTATTATTATTATTATTATTATGGAAGCTCTATATATTGTCGTCCGTAAAAGTTAAGACCAACTTTGGCACTTCCTACTTATAATGAAATAAAATAAAATATAAAGTTATCGAGTAGGTAATAAAATAAAATAAACGTATGTAACGAAGGACTGTGTAATTAATTCCTGCTGTGTCCTCACAACACATCAATGTCATTTTCATCTTACAAAAAAATAGACCACAAACAAATAGTCTAACCGACAATTAGGCTTTCTATATCCAATAAA